GAACACGTGGGAGGGGAGGAAGCGGCCGTGTAGAGAATTTTCATCTGCTGCAGATGCTTGGGGATCTCTGCAGAACGCACCCTTCCTCAGGAGGTGAGCACGGAGCCCTGCACATCTGCAGAGTGTGAAGGCAGAAAGGTTAATGGCTTCTCCTCATCCCTCGCTAGTGTTTACAGATAAGAACACGGACAGTAAAAGAAAGTGCTGAGATAAGTGGAGCAACTTGTGCCATTCCTGCGGGCTTCACCTAAAAAGCCTGCATAATCAGTCAGAAGTCATTTGTTAAGTTACCTTAAGTAAAGCAATTGGTTTCAGGGGGCTTTGCATGGAAAATCACTCTAATACAATGACTTTGTAGAGAATATGTCATGCCATCTAAAGCATGATCATTTAATTATAATCCTCTACTCTCTTCCTACTGATTATACCGTTTTTACTGGTGTTACTTTGTAGTCTTTCTTCCAAGTAACCTAAGAGATGCTGCAAAAACTGATTTTAATCAAGTGTTAAATGCAATACTAAATACAGTTTGTCACTCCTTGCAACTGTAAAGTAAAGATAAAACCACAGATGATACTTTTTCTTTCTATTTATTTATTTTTTGTTGTTGTCAGGCTTGGTTTACCTAATCATCTGGTTTTGTTCTGAAAAAAATTTAAAACTACCATGCCCAGCATAACTCACCAAAAAGTCTCCTGCCTATTGCCTCCCCGTTAAGCAAATTGCACTTCAAGCATTACAGCTCCTCTCTGCATCCCTGCCCCATCTGCCACCCAGCATTATCTTGTCACTTTACCAAACAGCTCGTGGTCCTTCCCTCTGAAACCTTTAGATCTACATCTTGACACCTAAACATTCCTATAAATTCTGCAACCACATCCCCTAAACTTCCTCTATCAACCCCTCCTCTGTCCATGTCCTTTGCCACCAGCTGCACAAGTGACAGCAATTAGTGTGAAAGCCGCAGCAATTAGTGTGAAAGCCATCAAAATCACTGTGAGCGTTGCATCCAGACTGCCTGTGCGTACAGGAGGCTGATCTTACTTCTCTTCTCCACGCAAGAAGTTGGTATCTCTGCATGTTCACGTCCCCTTTGACTTTATTTGACACTAGTTAGTGGGTTTAGAAGTTAGCAGAGGAGGTTCCCGGTGGTCAGCACCACCAGAGAGACCCCCCCATTGCTCACCCTTAAATGAGAACAGCCAGGATACGTCTGTCCCACAAATGAAGTTCCTAATAATGAAGATGCTGAATTAAAACAAACAAACAAACATAAGGTTCTGCTTTCTGAGATGGGAAACTGTGTTATTTATTTATAATGCGTGCAAGCAATTAAGCCTTGCTGTAATTCCGGTAAAACACGTTTTTAATTTGTTTTCCTGTACGGTCTTCTCTTCCTACCCAGACACTGCAGCTCTCATTGGGTGAATCAAATGAGTAATTGGTATTGTTTTTTTTGGATCTTCTAAGATCTGAGGCCTTTACAGTCCAGTTACATTAGACTTCCTTACAGGCTTGCTTATACCATCCTGCGTGTGGTTTATACGTGGCCTGTTGTAGTCCTAAAGACAAAGGATGTAATGCTATGTCGGTGTTAATTTCACAGAAGCTAATTGTCAGAAGAGCTAAGACCGACTGCTGCTGGGGGATGTTGAAAAATAGGGCAGCGCAGATGAAAGTATTTAGATTTTCATTCAAGCTTTCGTGGCTTTTTCTACACTATGAGGCTAATACAATTTATGGAAAAGGCTTGGTTTGTGGAAAAGCTGTGAGGATTAATGTGGAAAGTTGCTGTGAGTATTTGCTTGGAAAGTCGTTGCCATAAATGCAATTTTTGAGCTCATCATTTTTACTAGAAATCTGTGATTTTTTTTTTTTTTTCGTTTTTTTCCCGTGGGATGTTACCAGCAGCTGCTGCAGTGATGTGGAATCTTAATTTTGATTTTAGCTCAGTGATGACTTACATAAACCATAGTGAGAGAAAGTCGGCGTAACTAGCCAAAGATGAGGCAGAGAAGCAAATAAACCAACCTAGCTAAATAGCACACCGTAAGGACTGAATTATTTCATAACTGGAGAGGCCAGATTCGACTGAAGCTACGGAACGTAAGCTAAGCAATGGATAAGGGAAGTGCAACTTCTGAGACGGAGTTTGAAGAACAAATCACTAAAGCTTTAAAAGCAAACAAAAAGTAGTTTTAAAATGCTGGAAGCAGAAAGTTGTTTTTTTAAAATAATCCCCAGACCAAAGACCCCCCATAAAGGAAAATCTGCCATACCTCGCGCATGAGTTGTCACCGATGGAACAAATAAGACAGATCATTTCCTGATCCCCTCTGTGGTGAAGGAGAAGGCTACAATTCCCTGCTGTACCTTTTAAAACTTCCGATGATCTGGATGATGTATTAAACGTCAGAAAAGGGGATACTGGATCAAACTGATAAATTGCTTTTTAAATCAAGTCCGAGAATTGTGAAAGAAAATTGTGCAGTCAAGCTGCTAAAAAAAAATATATAAAAGGTGTCTCTAATGGAAATTGTTAGACTGGACTGTCAGTGGATAATACATCATGTCTCCATTTTTTATATGAAACTGCATGCTTTCATTTCTAATATCACTTAATGGCTCTCGTGAGGAGGCATGACAGGAGCCGTGTAATTCGGGGGCAGTAAAAAAGTTACATGGGCTGAGTTCAGTGCTGGTCAAGAAAAAAAATGCGTGCATTTCCCTCAGGCCCTCAATATGACACAGTTATAAAATATCCAGTTTTATCTCGCTGTATGAAGGAACTTTATAATCCATTCCCAATAAAGAAGTAGTATCAGAAATGGAAAATTGCAGCACCTTGGAAGTGTACCAGCCTATTAAGGATCTTTGGAAAACAAAACAAAACATCACGTTTTGTTCCTCTTTACCTTCTTAATTTTTTCTTTTCCTCTTCTTTTTTCCATTTTTGCCTTGGCTCCAGCACCTTTTTGTGGTCTAATGTTTGTTAAAAAGGATGCATTTTTCTTCTGAACTCCACTGGGCTGGAAGTCCAACCAGCAACGAGACCATTTCTTCAGCTGCAGCTGTGCCGTAAAATAAACCTCTGGGGAAAGATATTGCATGGCCAAATGAGACAATTGTGAATTCTTAAATGTTGGTTTTGGCTCAATACCTTAGAAAAAAACATATTTAATCAGATATTAAATAACGTTTTTGGAAACTGTGTTCTCAGTCTATTACATCAGTAACAAACCCCTAATAAAGCACTATACAGAGCATAATGGCTAATCTGTGACCCTTTTTTGTAAATCTTTAAATGAAAATATTACTGTCCCTTCTGAATTAACTCAAGACATCCCAGGGCCTGACGAGCACGTGCAGAAACACTGGGTTTTCACCCAACGTTTCTTTGGGTGGTTTGAGTGCTTTGGCCGTGCATGGCCAGTTCATGTTTTTTGGTTCTTATTATCTATAGAGTAGATTACTCCCAGGACAGTCACGGCAGCTCTGTTTTATGGTAATTCTGCCTCAGTGTATGACAAGAAAATAGGGAAGGGCAATTCAGGAAGGTGTTGGCAAGGAGATCCAATGGTCACTGCCTGACCTTCCCAGGCAACCTCAGCAAAGGCTTCACACATTGCACCTTTCTTGTGTGAGATCTACTGATATAAGGGATTATAGTTTTAGGATTTTTTGTTTGTTTTGTTTTTGCCTAAAGCACACACACTGGGTATCCTTGCTGCGCCCACTGCCCCCCAGTCACCCGCACCAAGCGCTGCTGCTCCCAACGGAGCCCCGTTGCTTGGTACGAATTAATCACAGGCTGAGCCGTTTCTGTAATTGGATTAGGAGCTGAAATGGGTTGAGGAGGGAGGAAGGGCTGCGCGCTGGGAAAGGGCTTTGATGGGCTGCTGAGGGCTGCAGCCACACAGCGCCGCCATGGGACAAGATGGCTGCCGGCGCCAAGACGAGCCTCCCCTCCTTGCCCCTCTTATATAACCTTGGGGGGCGGGCTGACAGCTGTGATTGGCTCTCCGGCCTGTCCCTCTCCTCCCTCCTCCCCTCCCAGCACGTGCAGGCACTATTTACCCGCTCTGATTGGTTCCGCAGCCGGCGCGGGGCCCAGCAGCCAATCGGCAGCGGGCACGGGGGCGGGGCGAGTGCTCCCCTCAGGTTCCCGCTCGGGGCCGCCAGATCGCGCTGTGGAGACGGGGGCGCCCGGTGGGGCCCCAGCGCCTGAGGGAATTGTCCAAGTATTTCTTAAATTCCTTCAAGTTCAGGGCCATGCCCACGTCCCTGGGCAGCCTGTCCCAGTGCCCGACCACTTCTGGGTGCAGAACGTTTCCCCAACACCAGCCTGACCCTCCCCTGTCCCAGCTCCATGCCGTTCCCTCAGGTCCTGGCACTGTTCCCACAGATGAGCTGCACTTTTTGCAACCAACCTCTTATATTCTGACAAATGCTGTACCCTAGTGTACTTTTGCTCACTATAATATCCTTATAATACCAAAACACACCTCCATCCCAAAAGCTACCCACCTCCCAGGTGCGACCACCCCTCACCAAGCTCTGAATTTCTCGGAGCCTATTTAAACAGAAATGGGAGAATTTTTCCCCAATCGCAACTAAGATATGCTTGACTAGAGCCACTCAGGCTCCACCTGAAAGATAGAAAATAATATAAATTGGCCCAAGAGAGAGGGGATGTTAGGGAAGATAGGTCCTTAGGACCTCCTGGGCCCAGTCAACGGGCTGAGCCTCTCTTCCCCTCCCAACAATTGGGATGTTTTTGGGTGAGATTTGAATACTTGGTTATAAATCTTTCTAGAGTCTTTGATCCTTTTAACGCATTAATTTCTAGGCTCTGCACCTGTGTGACCTGTGTATTTCATGCACGCTAGCTTGCTTTTGTAGACAGTCACTATCACTGGCAATCCAAAGAACCTGTGTACCTGTTGCTGTAATAAATCACACTTGATTGTGTTGTTCCTGGTCATGATAGCTCTCATTAAACGCAACTGGAGTAAGGGTGGATATACGTTATTTGTGAATCTGTGATTGTGATAGTTCAGTGCTCTCGGAATCCAACCAGACCCCTAATGGTTACTGCGGTATTGGTGAATCTGTGATTGTGATAGTTCAGTACCCTGAATCCGACTGGGCCCAAAAGACATATTTGTGCGTTAGGAAAGGCCCAAACTGTGGCTGCTCTGTGGTAACCTGGAGATAATACAGGCTGTAAAGCTTTTTATTCCTGCCTGCTCTGGTTGCTGAGTGGTTCAGTGCGTGTACCAGATCCTTTATCTCCAAATGATGTTCGTATCTTGTCGGGTTTCATCTGTGAAATGCCCTGAGGTTTGCTGTTTTCTACAGAGGGGAGATGTTAATTAGTCTTAGACGTGTATTAAGCTGTGTTACGGAGATGTTGGGTGTCTTTTTCTGATGGTTTGTTGAAGAAACTCTTCCCAATAACCGGTTGTATTCCTGGCTCTGGTGGCCCTTGGAGCTTCTTGAGCATCACCAGACTGGAAGTGCCACCATTCCTCTTCCCTCAGCACTCCGAGGCAGCAAGGAGCAAAGTGACAGCCCTCAGAGGGTTATTTCTGGAAGGACAGAGGACCCAAAAACCACAAAGGAGTTTGCTGCGAGCTCTTATCTGCCAGGAGGCCAGGAAGGTGGCAGAGCAGAGGGCATCACCCAGTGAGCTTAAGTCTTTAAGTGTTTCATGTTTCCCTTTTTTAGTAAAAGAGTTCAGAATTGATTACTTGGCAGTCAAAAATGGACCTGAAAATTCTTGCAAATGTACCCAGAAATCCAGGATAGCAACTTCGTAAAATGATGCCCTTCCCAGCAGTTTTTGTCTTGTTTTAGTGGTGGAGGATGGCACTGCCCCTCTTCTTGTTCTTCTTGCTTATTTGTCCAGAAGCTCTTTCATTGAATACTTAGAAATTTGCAATATTTAATCATTTTTCTTCCTATTGGTGTGCTGTGTAGTTTTTCTTAAAGATCCAAGCCAAGTTGCATTGAGGAAAACTGCAATATTTTGGAAGGATGTTGTGTGTTTGTTATTTGCAGCAGAGGCATGTTAAAATGAAGCTTTATTTTAAAGTACTCTTCCTGATTTTTTTGTCTTCATTCTGCTCTTACAAAACAAACAAAAGAAATTGCATGATAGTACCCTGAAAGATACTGGTGTTGTCAGATTATTCTCTCAGGAAGTACTGTGGCTGTGCTACTGCTCTTTCTGTGGTGTGTTTTGATTGTTTCAGTTGTGTTACCTCATTTATTTTTTTTCCCCAAAGTCCTGATTTGTTTGGTGAACTGGATGCTGCTGACTGAATAGCTACTTGTTCAGTGTTTTCTTTGTGTTTCAGGCTGTGGCCAGGCCATAAAAACTGCATGCTGTTTGGAACATGGCTGGGAAGAAACAATTATTTTTTAACTACAGCAGAAGCCGTAGGGTCTGAGCACTTCTGGGAGCTCTGGTGTGAGTAACAATCAGCTTCAGCCCGAGCGCTTGGCTTGAGAGAGCAGCTGCAGCTGCTCTGGAGGTTCCCTGTATGGTCTGCACTGTTAAATCAGCTTTTTTTTATCACATTCAATCTGCATATCTGCCATAAAATAGCGTACCTAAAGGAACGTCATCATTTCCAATTCAGAATTAGTGCAGAAACATAACGAAATACTGACTTCGGAATGGGTAGTAGCTGAAAAGAAGAATGGAGTCAGCAGCAGGTGGGGTTTTTCACTTTTGGCTTCATCTTGATGTATTCTTGGCTGCTTTGCATCCCTCCAAAGCAGAGGAAACAAGGGGGCTGTCCAATGGGGCACGCCAGGCAGAAGCTTACAGATCTGTACTATTTTATTCTCCCTGCTTCTAGACCCTTTGTGTAGTTACCTGTCATTTAACGAGATGTTGATGCTCTTTGCTCTATTATTAGTTAATCTCCAGGAGTTTTTTTTAGAAGCTAAGACTTGAAGCAGAAGAAATATGACTTCTAGTGGGCTGTTCTAGCTTAAGAGCTGAATGTGCCCCTGTACGTTGATCTTTCTCACATCAGTCTGTGGCAGACTCGATATATTTTGAAATCGACTTCTTTATATATTTTGAAATTGATTTCTTTTTTTTTTTCGTTTGTTTGTTTGCAACCGATCTGTGGAAACTCTTATTTTCTAATTTTGGGGACTGCTGTTAATATGGTAGCTCCTCTCCAGAACTGTGGAAAGCTGGGTGTGCATTCTACACCTGGAAGATCCCTCCCTTCTGGCAATATGCCTAAGCTAATGGCAAAAGTACGTGGAGTTACTCTTCTGTCTGGAAAGAAATGTTGTAATTGATGTAATGGGGCTCTGTGAAACAGCAGTTCTGTTCCACCTTGCTTACCTGATGTGTCAGTTTGCTTAAACACAGGTTGTGTGTGGCTTACTGTCTGTTGGCTACTCTTGTTTTGGGGGCAGAAGGCGAAATCTGCTTCGTGGAGTCACCCCAGCTTCAGCTGCGGTGCTGCAGAACAGCAGTTACCGAGGCTGTGGGAAGTGTGATGTGCCCAAGATACTGATGCTGGTGATAATGGCATAATGGTAACAGTAAATGTAATATATGCTTCGCTAATTATCCGTATGAATGCTCCCACAGGTTGTCCTGTGTTATTTTCCCGAATGCTTGATGTTTGATATAATTAGTTGTATGATTTTTCCCAAGAGCAATTTAGTGCTAATAATTGCCTGCTGTTACGGATAGACTCCTGTTTCATAGTGTAGGCATTTTCTTTTCCTATGGTCAGATTCCTTTTTCGTTTTCTTCTCCTAGTTTTCCATACAACTAAAACCAGGAGAAGCCCTGGGAGTACAAGAACTTGGCTTTTACAATTCCAGTGTCAACATCTGATTTCTGTCCCTTTGGGTGTTCTGGGACTCCCCTGGATTTGAGAGATTCAGTAAGGGTACATATTAAGAATTCATTTCTTAATTTCTTTGCAGTTAACTCTCCTAGAGCAGTTGGGAAGCATCAACCCATCCCTTTGAGATGTTAATGGAAAATGTAAGCACAACTAGAACAGGTTCTGAGGCCAAAGGTAGAGATCTGGGGAAGCTTTCAATTCTCTTTGATACAATCCTAATACTATGGAAAATAATGATTCCTAAGGGCCCTAGACTTCCATAATATCAGTGTCTCATACAACACAGCAAAATACAGGAAAACAGTAACTTTTCAGAAGCTTTCAATCTTTTCTAAGTAACTGGAACTGGTGCTAGCTCGATGTCAGTATTTCTTCAACCCACTTAGCTTATGATTATCTTTAATTTGCTGTGAAGCAGTTACTGTTCTCAGGCAATTATGATGTTTACACGGAGATGAATGCAGATGCATGCAATAAGCTGATTGTTCTGCATAGTATTTCCTTCCGTGCACAAGTACGTGCATAATTACAGCACAGGTGCTATACAGCACAGACCACAGCGAGTAACCTTAACTCTCCTGTAAGGAATGCTGACCTTCCAGCTACCTTCTGCACTGTTCTTCTCTTGAGGAGATATTTTGCTGGTGTGAAAACCCATTAAGCTACTGGTAAGCACATTAAACACTGTCCAGAGACGTAGCTTAGTGTCTCAAGTGTTTTTTTTTTTATTTATTATTATTCCACAGAGCATGCACTGGTGAGGATGAAGAGGCAACGCGACTGGAGCAGTAGAAACTGAACTGCAAGGTGGCCAGCTCTCCTCACACATGATAAGAAGGAAAAAGTGTGGGAGGAGAATGGTAGGCTTAATTGTGGCAATTACCATGTCCTGAGCAGTGCTCATTAATTACTGCCATGCTGTTCTAAATAGTCTAAACTCTCAGAACACTCTAGAATAGCAGTCACTGGTGGTCCATGACCAACACCAGGTAATGTGCTGAGGTCTGTGCTGTGCCTTGTTTTTCTTTTTGCTGATCTCAGTTATGATTTCTTGTACCTGTGAGCTCTGGAGGACCTTGAAAGCAGAAGGTTAATGTTTACTCTCTAAACAAACAAACAAACAAAAAAAACCTCTCACCTTCGTCTCCTACCCCAAAGCGCCCTGTAGGAGATGCTGTTACCTCTTGTTTCCTGTAGAACGTGCAGAAGCAGGTCAGCAATCAAGAACCACATAATTCTGCAATGATGGAAGTGAAGAAATATTTTCATCATTAAACCAAGTCTTAAATCAACAGCTGTGTGATTTGTGAAAGCAATTTTATAAATCACACTGAATAATTTGATCTCATTGTACTATTTTAATGTTTCTTTAACTTTTTTTTTGATATTTTTCTTGTGTACTAGTGTATCATCTGAATCGGTTTACCAGTAATTTGCACTTGGTGTGTGATAACTGCACTTGCTTCACCTTTTGCTTTTTGAAATCTTGTGGTTTTGTGTGTTCTTAAAGTCTTGCTTCTGTCAGATTGAGTAGATAAACGTTGTTAAAAAAGGAATTTTAAAGCCTTGTTTCATCATTGCAGCACTAGGAAGGGGTTACAAAGGGGTTACAAATTATTAACTTACGAATTTGCATGCCCACTGAATCTGTGCCAAAGAAGAGAGTACTTGGTGCAGGACACTTTGAACAATCCAATGGCAGTAACAAGATAACATATTTATTTATAAATTATATATACTTATAACTTTTGTATATTTTAACAAAATATGTTTTATTGAAATTGGACCTGCCAGATATTTTTCTCTAAAACAATACCTGTTTTTTTTTTTTAAAAAAGACAACAACATCAACAACCAAAACAAAAACAAACAAACAAAAACAGAATAGTTAATTCTACAAAATTTGCAAGCGAATTCTTGCAGGTACTCCTAGTGGAAGACACAGGACAGCCTGGCAGTGTGTGTACCTATGTGCATCTCCAGGTGTAGAGAATGAGGAGCAGGAATCAAAATTGCTCTTGGTAAGTGGATATTTTGGGTCTCACGTGTAGAACAGTCAAAACCCCACTGTGTTCACTGCTCACAGCTACCTTTTTTATTTGTTTTATTTCCAGAAAGTTGGAAAGATCCTTTGCTCCTAGGACAGAGCAGGGGAGAGCATCACGAATCTTGCTTCTGAGTCATTTGTGTATAGTGCCTGGCCAGTGGTGCTTCTGCTAAAATCTGTCAGAGCAGCTGCTTCCTCTTGAAGGAGAGACTAAAAGAATATTTGTAGTATCTTGGTGTCTGAGAATTGCCTGTGCATTCCTGTGTGGTGCCCTCCACCGCCAGCATCTGATAGATGAAGTCAGTCATTCCCAGCCAGCTCGTAAGCGTCGTAGTGCTGGAGAGGCTTCGTGATCAGTGCAGCCAGCGATCTTTTCATCACCTGTGGTTTCAGGCTGAAGTTCTCCAGGAAACCTTGTTTACAGGTCAGTGGAAGTTTAAAGATAATTTCAACTGAAATTGACTTTGCAACAGCAGCTTTTAGCTGGCTGTCACACTCTGCTATGAAGTCACATAATACTTAGCTGGCAGATGTATTTTTTCCCCTCAGTGAGTAAGATAGAACCTGAAAGGTGGTGGAGTCTGACCTGAATGTCTCTGTTTATACATTTTTGCGTGGAACAAACTATAGGATTCATCGTTAGTGGACGCTGTAGAGATAAATGGTTTCAAAAGTTTACTGGAGAAGTTGAAAAATGCACTGAGAACAATTCAGCACAGAGATGTCACCTCTGGCTCAAAAGATCCTTGAGCAGGAGGTTGCTGCAAGGTGCAGAATATGCAGGCAGAGCATTGATACCTCCTGCTTGGGTGTACAGTTTTTCCTAGACATCAGGAAATAATGTCTAGGAAATGATGTCTTTCCATTCTTAAGAATCTTTTCGGGCTAGTATCTCTTGATGCAAGCTGATGGACAAAATGGGGGGAAATTTGCCTGAATTGTATTTGGCAAATTCATAATGCCCGCGGCTGTGCACCAAGACATTTGCCTCTGAAAGACTCCAGGCTGAGCAGCCCCAGCTCTCCCGGCCTCTCCTCACAGCAGAGGGGCTCTGGGCCCTGCGGCATCTTCCCGACCCCACACCAGGCTCTCCCCAGCGTGTCCAGGTCCCTCCTGGACCGGGGGCCCAGCACCAGACCCCACACCCCAGGGGTGTCTCGCCAGCACGGAGCAGAGGGGCAGGGCCCCCTCTCTTGACCTGCTGTGCAGATTTCTCCAAGTATACATTTATTTGTTTATTTCTGCTAGTGATCAATAACTGAACAAATTCCTAACAGATTATCCCCGTGTTACACACAGGAGCACTGCTGATCTTCTAAAAGTGGCTACTGCAGTTCTTGCACTTTAATTCTGCAGATAAGAAGCCTCATTTTCAGTTGACTTATATTATAGAAATCCAGAGGATTCTGGAGGTAGTAGACCAAATTATAAGCTTCTAAATCTGTTTAAACAGCAATCTTAATCCACAGTTGCTTGCAACATGGTATATCAGGTCTCTTGTTGTACTTTAAGATAACTACATGCCTAACTCCTCAGCCCAGCTGAAATACTTCCTGCTTTCTGTATTTCATGACATTTTAGGCTTGCTCCCCTCGCTATTTTCCTTAATCACAAGGAAGGCGTTATACTTTGTGTCACCAAGTTTGGTAAAAGACCCTGTATTGGTAGTGCTTGCTGCACTACCTCCACGTCCCCCTCATCAATAGGGCACACCTCTTCGTAGGGCAGGCCATGGCTAATAGTTTTATTAGGATGAATGTGTCCCTTAAATCAGCCTGCTGGGGTTCGAGAAGCTCTGATTTAGTGAGAAGTGCTGCTTGCTGTGCTGCCAGTGGGCTGAACTGCTCCGTGCTTGGTCTGGTGGAGGCAGGTGTGCAGGCAGGACAAGGAGCAGCAGGAGAACGGCCAGGAGCAGGGTTTTTGGCAGCATTAGTGCTGCAAACACAAAAGGGAATTGGGGCTGTTGCTTTTTGCCTTATCTACCTCTGGATGGTGAGGAGTGGAAGAAGGGGTGCTGCTCAGCAGCCAGGCTTCCCTTCTTGTTACCTCAGACCTGTTGTTTGCTGTGTAAAACCCAAGTCTTGATCTGTTTAGGTCTGGTCGCCTTCATTCCAGCTTGTTACTCCCCAGCCTGATTTTCAAATCGTGCACAAGGCAGTGTTTTCACTAATTTAAGCACAGTCTGTTCAATTTACAGTGGTGGTTCTGTCTTTGCCTCTGGTACATAAACGCTTTTAAGATTTTTTTCCTCAGTGCTGTTTGCTCCTCTGTAGAATTGGCTGGGTGCTTGAGCTGGGGGTAATTTTCTAATAAGTGGACTCCGAAAAATCTTTAAGATCATCCGTTGCATCTAGCTTCCATCCCAAGATGTGTGTGAAACTAGAAGTGCCCAAACTGGAATTCTTGTCATACACTAGGAATTTGTTCCCCCCTGGTAGGAGAAGAGACGAGGTGGTTTGGAGCATGTTTAAAATGAAGACTTCTGCTTTGGAACTCGTCAAATAAGTTTCTGAGGATAGTTCCAGTGCAGCGTGGTAGGATCTATCTTTGATCACTCCTGAACAAGTAGATGCATATAACACAAACCCAAAACGTAAATGTTTTGTCTCCAGCTTTTTTAATTAAAAAACTTTCCCTCTGCTTGTGTTGGAAACAGTTCAAAGTAACCTGCTTGTCTCGTTCCTGTGAATCTAGTGATGGCGTTTGAAGCTTCTCTTGGAAGGAAGGATTTGCTATCTCATTTGTGTAGATTTCTGAAGTGTGTATTTTACAAGCTATGCCATGTATTAAGAAGCTTTTAAAATATAAAGTTTATTCAACAGTCAGAAGAGAATGAAAGCCCTAAAATTCCTCAGTATTTGGCTTTGATACGTTGAGTTTCAACATGAATAGAAATTTCTGTTCATCCCTAGCTTTTATTGGGTCACCAGGTATGCTCGTAACCAAAAATTCACAGTGGAAATCTCGTGCTAATTTGTGAAAATAGGTAGAAGCATTGGGAAATTGCAAATCAGTTACCTACGTCTGCAGTTTTTTTTTTTTTCCTCATGCTATTTAGATGTGGAATGCTATAAAATTTATAAATTAGCATTGGAAATTAGTTTTCTTTGTTGTGTGACAAAGAACAATAGTGCAGACATGAACACATGCGTATGGGTTTTTGTTGGAGATGAAGGTAGTAACCGTTTCTGGGCAGCAATCTTTGTTTCTTGTTCCACGTACCTGGAATGATGTGGCAGGAACTGTGCAGTGGTGGCCTGGTGCCAGAGGCCTGGACAAAGCTGCAGCCCAGCTGGATGATGATGTGAAGAAGGTCTTGTGACAACGCACTTCCACAGCTGGCTCTGGAATGAGAGTGCTGTGAGGCTACAAATCTACTTATTGAAATCTAAGATCAGAATTAACCACAACTTCGTGGTGAACAGAGAAATAGAATATTTGCCAGTGTCATTTTTTAATGTAAAATAAATCACTTATTTTTTATCAGCTGATAATAAAACTGCTGACTGAAGTGTTGTTGAAGAAGGAATACACGTTATTAGTGGCTACCACATCTGCATTGATAGTAAGATTTTCAGTCCTTAACTAACAAAAATATAGTCATTAAGACCCCTCAGGTCTGTTCCTATGTTGAGAATTTATAAATCTCTGTATCCCTTGAGGGACGATTTAGCCAAGACTAGTAGTGTGCTGAGAACAGAAATGCAAGCATTAGCTGCTGATGTAAATGCTGTGGACATCACTGCCACAGTAACCGGGTCCTGCAGCTTGCTGCTCTCTCCCTGAGGTGGTTATTTTTCATTTGGTTGCAGTCTGCATACTGACTCCTGCAGCAGCACTTCTCAGATCAGCTTGAAAGTTGCAGAGATTTGGTGAACAAAAGCAGTTTAACAGCCTCTCTCCTACACCAGGGTACCAGAGAACATCTGCATCACTGCTGGAAACCGCCCAGTTTGCACGTATAAAAAGCATGAGCTTGTCCAAGCTACTGCCGTGTCTCACTTCAGCAGGAAGGTAAGTGGAAGTTTTGCCCTGTGGTTATTCAATTTTGCTGCGTTTTTATTTAGAATATGTAGTTTTATTTTTAGCAGAAACTGTCATGATGTTAGACTCTGGTCTAATAAGTTTCTAAGCACTTTCCTAAAACTTATATTCCCAGGTATGTTTAAAGAAAGTTGCTAGTTCTTTATTTAACTATGGCTTAAAAATTGATTTAGAAATTTAAGTCCTTAATAATCAGGTAACTGTTTCCTGAATAATGATGGCCAGAGCACACCTCAAACTTTTAGCTTGGCAGCAATCTTCAGCCGTTTACCTTTGCGGAGCTGATTACCTTGGAATTGTCCACAGAGAAGGGAAAAAGAAGGGAGGGGGGGAAAAAATAGAAACAACAAAACCAGCCAGCACAACCCCTCCCTCCCCCCCCGCCCCAAAAAAAAAAAAACCCAACCCACCCAGAAATACATAAGCTTAATTAAGGCTTGGCATGTGATTGAGTGTAAGTGGGTTATCATTACTCAATTCTGAGATATCAGGCCTGATGAAATAAGCATCCCTTGGATGCAAGCTGCGCGATGGTGAGTTACTAAAAATGTCTAATATGTTAATTCTGACAAAGAAATTCTGTGGTCAGGTGCAGTGGTAGTTCAGTACCCTGCTCATATCTTACTTGCTTACTAATAGCCTTTTTCATTTACAAGTAATTTGATGAATACAAGTGTTCGTTTACAATTAATTGAATGAATTACAGTGAATTAACAAGCTGCAGATCAAGACAAAAAGATTGTTACTCTTTCTAGTCTGATTATACATATTTTCTTTTCTCAGAGCACAAAGCTGATATGACTTCATTCAGGGTCCTTAGGCTATAGGTAAATGCACTATTCGTACCTCCTCTCCTGGTCTGATCTCACAGCACCTGGACAGTTTTAGGGAAAGAGGTATTTCTTAGCAACAGTGAGGGGAAAAAGTGGTTGAGCAAACTGCCAGGGCTATTTCAGTTGCAGCTTACACTCCAGATAGACAAGTGAGCTAAAAATGGAGAATAAGACAATGTCGGTCAAAGTGACAGATGCTGCTGTCAGAGGATGGCTGGCCTAGCAGTTTTATCAAGCTTTTTGTAAGCACCAGAGCTGTAAGGAGCTTTTAAGGAAAATGAGAATGAGCAGCATGGGAAAAAGCATGGATATGTTTGAAGTGTTCTTTTTCTTTTAAAAAAAAAAAAAAAAAAAAAAAGGCAAACAAATATTGCAGATTCACTAGAGCTGCAAAGAAATAGCCCTGTTAGCTTGGAAATAGAAAAGTAGAGACCAACACTAAACAAGTCCCTTAATGCCCTTAATTTTCTTGATATGGTAGCTCATCCACGGTCAAGATGAGAAACAGCCTGTTGTAGTACTCTTGCACTCCAGTTTTAAAGCATTTCTGACTCTTGGCTTTATTTTTCACCCTGCAAATCCGCTGCTGGTTCCTGTTAGTTGTGCTGGGGTCTCTGTATTTGTCAGCATCTCCTCAGCCTGGAGAAGGTTATGCCGGAGAGGTGCCTTTCAGTTTCTCAGTGAATGGAAACTAGTGTACCTATAGAATGCAGACTTGGAAGTACTAGGTCTAAACTTCAGTTTTATTTATTAAATCTGAAGTGTGCTTCCCTTTCCAATTGTTTGATCTTCTTCTGCTAGCTGCTGAAACCTCTCACCATAAAGTGCAGCTGTGAATGGCCCAACTCTTGCATCCTGTGTAGCTGCAAAACCTCTCTCCAGACAATAGACCCCGATACCATGTCCCTAGGAGAGCAGATAGCCCTACAGGACCCTGGCTTCCATCCCATACTGTCCTTATCTCAAGGTAAGTCTAAAAGGATCCCTTGCTGAGCCATTGCACTCTTTGCTCTCCCTCCTTACATAAAGGAGGTTTAAAAATATGTGAATTAAATTGTAACCACGTTTCTGGAGGGTAATGAAAACCAGCCAGTGACGTTCTGCAGCTCACCTACAGACACTCCATCTTCAGTGCAAAAAGGATGCAGCCTGGAGATCTCTGAGCCTCGGAGACCATGCTGTGCCTTGGCTCGTGTCCGAGGTGATTGTCATAACTTGCTTACTGTAAGCTGGATCACTGCTTGTAGAACCAACTCTGTGCCTTCTCTAAGGGATAGCCTAATTCTGGAGACTTGCAGAACAATTATTTTAAGTTCCTTTTAACCCTCTGCCTTGGAGAGCTACTTGAAAGCCTCAAAATCTAGCACTGCTTTTAACAGGCTGTGTGGTGGTGGTTTGGCAGACCCCTGGCACCAGTTTTGTGTGTGTGAAATCACTGAGTCTGACAGGCTCTGCACTGAAACACTGGTGGCCTTTTCGGTGTGTTCTGTACTAGTATGAACTACGCTTCCTAATGCTGTGGAACTTAACGTTCAGTTTCTGTTCAGATATCTGAAGAGTGCAGCACTGTCAGTGCCTTTAACCACGGGAGGAGAAGAATGTGCACTACAGAGTTTGTGAGCGGGTTGAGGGACCACGAGGACAATACCCTTTTGACGGTGCAACTGCAAAAGCATAACTCCACAATGATTTTGGTATAACTTACTTAAATCTCTCAGCTCCTCGAATAAGGCTGCAAACAAGTGCCAAGCAGCATGTAGCTGGCTGTCGTTCAGTTCAGCACGCTGCAGGGGTGGGAAGGCTCGGTTGCCAGGTCCATGCTGTCAGGTTGCCAGGACAGAGGCTGCTGATCTGGGGCCGTGCTCGTGCTCCTCACTCTGTATCCCAGCACCAAAGGGAGGGAAAGCCTGCAATCAACCACACTTACTTTAGTTACTGTGCCACTTTCCTGTTTTATCAAAGTACTGACAGATGCGCATTGCTAATGATGTGTGTGAAGAGAAATCTTGCGGTCACCAAAATAACTTTTCTTTTCAGGCAACCCTCTCCACTTACACTTTGACACCTTGTTAAGAGAGGACAGATTGCACAGACTGCTGAGCCATAAACTCAGGACTCTGAAAATGTCCAATTTTGGAAAGAAGCAGGATCCAACTAGCAGTGCATTCCCAAAGCTACCCTCTTCACTTCTGCTCGCCTCCGGTAAGTTAAATAAAACTGAGTTTGAGGTGACGTTTAAAAAATTAAATGTGGGCTTTTAACCAGTACCTGAGGGCAGCCAAAGTATAATGGAGTCAGCAGCAACCTTTCTTCCAGGGGAAGGTAACTTGACCTCTGTCATATAGTAACATCCAAGCAACTGAGTCCAGCAATTTGTAAGCTGTAGAAATTCTGACTGTCTTGGAAGGATGCAGGAATTCTTGCTTTAGCCAAGATAAAACAAACAAACAAGAAAAAAAAAAAAACACAAAGAAACAAACAAAGCACCCCTTGCTATTCTTTCTTTCTTTGGTAGGGAAAATGCAACCCAAAAAGAAGCTGTTACGAACCTTTGTTTTAAATCAGATTAAATCAATATTTCCTTGGCAAAACTCTGACAACTTTTTCTCATTCTTCATCAGCCCATATCAGCTGATGATTTTAAAATGATCGATGGCAGTTTAAGGTGAGTGACAGAAGGTTCAAACTAGTTTCAAGCTCAGAAGAGGGCAACCCAGCTAAAACATATCCTAGTTCTTTAATGAACTGGGGTTGCTGTTCCATTTGGCGTTCTTTAAAAGACATATTTTTATGCCAAATATATATTTTTAAAGTAACGTAAATGGCCAGCTTACAGACTGTGTTTCCTTGACACTCTTGTAAGGGGACAATTCCTACATGTGCAGTACTCACTATGTTCTGCGGTTGCTGGTGCAAGCTGTAATGAACAAACCCGATGGAAATAGGAAAAAAAATAATACTACAAACAAAAGAACCCAAAACCCTTCATGTTGAAAGCACATCAGCAGCCTCCAGTGGTGTTCTTGGCAGTCAGGACCTGAGCTACAACTTCACGATGTTCAGTCTGAGCTGAGGTAATTTAGCCTTGGATGGGGATGGATCTTATTGCCTGAGAGCAGTGCTGTGGAGGTATCACATATCAATATGAAATATCCACAAAAATATATATATATACAATATGAAATATCCACTATATAGATATTCAATATGATATACCCACAATATATACACCCTTCAATATCAGCTGAGGACGTGATGAACAAATGCAAGGAACCTGTTGGAGGGTGTTTGAGCAACACACCAGGATAATTCTATCAACTGCTCAGCAGCTGTTTGGCTTTTAACTGATCTGGTTTCCTTATACCTCTTTCTTTTTTCAAACGTAGCCACAAGCTTACACAAAAGCCATCCCTATTGATGGGCAGTATGTGTGCAGGGGGGGTGTGAGACACCGACCGTGGAGAGTATGCACTAAGGGATGGTGCAGGAGGATTTTTACACACTTTTTAACTCAAAGGTCCTCACAGAGCTGGGTTTGTAGGAAAGATTTGGCTAGTGGAGTCATTTGGCACAACAGGCTTAGAAGATGGCTCCATTTGTGGAGCGTGGAATAAGCCAGTCCCAAATGGAAAAAAAAAAAAAAGTTAACTGACATAGAAAGTGTATCAAGTTAAGGTTACGCAGCACTTCAAAGCAGAACACGTTTGTATTAAAATCAGCATGGTTAGTAATTGGAGAGGTCGTTAGAGGTGGGACAAGCCTGACGAGTTCTACAGTGAGGTAAGCTTTTTAAAGCAGCTGTACCTGGACTGTATTTTTGTTCTTGAGGGCTGTAACTTCTTCACCTCCTGCTGTATTTGGGAAACAACCACCCTTCTGGAGCTGACACGTTCAGAGCTGCAGAGCATTGGCGCTCCGTTTGAGGCTCTCGTGTTACATTTATTCTCTAATTCCTTTTTTTTCTGCTCTGTTTTCCCTTGGGGGGAGGTAACCTTACAGCGGTAGCAACATAACCAACCGGTCTTAGGTCGGTCTGACTTCACCTTGGGTTTCTGTTCGTGTTTTATGAACAGGTTTGTTGTTGGAAGGGGAAAGGCAGCTCGAAGGAACATCCAGTCACAGCTCTCCTGTTTCCAGTCCTCAGGCACAAAAACCCATTTCTCTGCACCATGCACTGGCCGCGTCCCCAGAGACTCCTCCAGCCCCTTCTTGCAGTCACATCCCTCTCACTGGCAGCTGGGCGATGGTGAGTTGAAAGAAAAGCTGTGGAAAATTGATCTGAGAAGGGGGAGTAGCCTTAGAGGAGCTGGGGAATACCTCCTTTACCTAGCATTGCTTGGGGCTGCGGGCACACGGGGCACTCAGATCGGGCTTTGCTGCTAATGGACTGCTAGGAAATGCATTTTGGATGCTGTTATTAAACGAACAGCAGCAGCTACTTGCTTGTTTCCACAGGCGGCGCTTGGCTGGCTGCGTGCCTGCTGCAGTGCTTCCCCAACCAGATGGGTTGGTTTTGAATTGAGTGCTGAGCGCGTTCTGCTCATTCCTTTTTTTAAGCATGGAGCTAAAAACACGTTACAGGGCTATTTTAGCTACAAGTTAATAGTAAAGAACTTAATTGCTTAACATGTATTTATTTATAAACTTAATTTTGGCACGTAAAGTGTGGGGGAAGCCCCCAGTGTAGGGTCATCAGCCTCTTGAAACATCCTGGAAATGTGAACTCCAGAGCGTTCACTGCTCTTAAAATTTGGGTTTGCTTTGAGTATACATGTTTTTGTTTTATTTTGGTAAAAATGAGTAAAAGTTGAACTCTCTGCCTTTCCCTCAGTGGGAGCAGCAGTAGGCCTGTCTCTCCTCTTGTTATATTTTGAGAGCTTCCTATTTTTGAGACCAAAAATCAGTTAAAATCAGAGCTTCTCTCCCAAAGCTGACATTTTCTGGTGTTTTCACAAGTTGGTGAGCAGCAGAGGGGGGAGAGGGACTGACAGAGCATCTTGTTCTTAATCCCCACTTCTGGAAAAAGGCCAAAATAGTGCAGTCACCTGGGCAGAACGATGGAGTGCCTCCAGGTAACTTCAGCTGTAGCAGTTCCCTCTAGTGCTGGTATGCTTTTCTGCTTTTGTCTTATTTATTTTCCACAAGTGTTTTTTTTTCTTCCTCTCTTAATGCTTAACTGTTCTCTGCATGCTCAGGATTGCAGTGATAGCCCAAGAAGCCATGAGATGCTTAGGTAAAGGACCAATTTAATTAAATTAGTGCTTTAATTGCTTAGTTAAAGGACCAATTAGGCCGTGTGACCATCTTGTGTAGAACAGATAAAGCAGTTTGGCCCAAACCATGCATCTCAGCTCACGTTTTTCACTGTACAGTGATCTTACTTTTACTTGGGTTTCTTGTTTTACCTAACTAACCGTGCTCCAAAAGCTGCCTTGGTTTGGGTCCTCCAACAAAGCAGATGGCTGATGGGCTGGGCAGCCTCTGCCAGCTCCTCCAGTTACTGGGTTTAATTGCCTTAATGATCTGTACCTGCACTCTTCTACTAGCTCGTGTAGCCCTGAGGCTTGCAATAACTTGCAGTCCCTCTGTGAACAGCAGGACCAGAGCGATGCTGTCTTGAGGTGAGGACGCCAGATCTTCCTGGAAATGCTGGGTGAAGCAGTAGAGGTGAGGTTACTCTGGGAAGGTGGTGCTTGTCTGTTCTCCAGGGATCTGGCAAAGAAGTATTGGGTTCTTGACATGAAAATAATACCAGTGGTCAGAGCAGGATGATACTGTAGCATAAGTGTGTAAAGGCAATGCTAGGGAAAGTTAAAATTGAAACAAGTCTGAAATGGAAGCCTGTAGAGGCTGGTAACTATTCACCAAGTTATTTTAGTATTAAGTACTTAATATTTAGTACTTTAGTATTAAGTATTTAGCTGGCCTTAGCTCGCATGTACACTTCTAAAAGAATTACACTGGTATATAAAGTGAATTCCATGAAAGGTGTTTGAGCTACCTATGGCTCAAAGGATACTTCAGCTGCTGTGAGTGCCGAGACATGGGCTGGCTAAAGGATTCAGAATGGGATAAGCAAACTTTCTTCTTTGTTGTCATTCTAAAATAACATTGATCTGGAGTTTGAGATCACTCCTGGTGCGTGGGACTGAGTTACCTATGTGACAGTGAATAGTTTCAGATAGTTGCCCACATTATGAGATTACTGTTTTTGTCAGAAGGTAATTAACTTTGCCATAGATTAATTTCTGAAGCTACCAGAAGAACTGAACTTCCCTTCCATCCTTACGAATAGTCTCACAAGCACTGTCTTATGCTTCGTACCAGATCTGTGCTGTGTTTGGGCTCAAGTGCGCAGCATTTGCTTTGGAAGCCTTTTCAGATGAGCCTGTGAAGAAAAGGAACCTAAGTGGAGGTGGCAAGGCAGTAGACTCAACACCACCAATGGATAGCTGAACTGGTGATCCTGGAAATGTGAACTCTGAAGTATTTACCAGTCTTAAAATTTGGGTTTGCGTGGGCACACTGGCAAACAGAGCTAGTGCTCTAAATTGGATCCGGGTGTGAGCTTTCAGCAGGTGTTGGGGCTGGGATGAGGTGAGTATTGTAATATTCTTTGAGCATGATTCTAGGCTCTTAATTCCAGCAACTGCTCCTTCCTCTCCTTTTCACTCCACAGAACATACGGCCTTGGGAGCCTCGCATGTTTTCTCTTCTGGATTCTGCATGCCAAGGTGTGGGAACAGCACTTTGCCTTTCAAAATGATCTGTGAAGCTCAGATTTCTGGATGTTTGGTTGTTTTTATTCTCCCCAAGTGTCCTTCCTCGCAAGTATTTATTTCTGGGTTGGAGTGTTCAGGGGCGGGAGGAGCTCTAGAAACTTGGGGTAAGCTCAGGAATGTTTTTATATCGGGATGATTTTGATGCAGAGCTGTTTTCAGTCTAGATTTGATAAAGTGGCAGTAAAAAAATACCCAAGCGTAGCCTAGACACGTTCTGTAAAATAAATTTCTTCATTCAGTGATACTCTGGTTTAGTGTTCACATAGCTCAAAGGCTGCCCTCTGCCAGAGGGGTTTGGTTCCCTGGTGTAACGGTGCCTACAAACATGCAGACAGGTAACTGCAGCCTGGCAGGTAGGGGTAGGTGCCTTAGTTTGTACCAAAATGGGGAGTTCAGGAAAAAAAGAAGAAGCTCTAGGGTGAAATGGGGAACCACCCCACCTGTGTGCAGGTTTCTGTTAGTGTTTGTGTGAACCAAGGACTTTGCTCTTTAGGTTGGTTTGAAAAATGTGAAAATTGGAGAAGCCCCCAACTTTGCCATTCACATTTTTTTCTGTAATTGAATGAAAACTGAAGTATGAAGTATACTCAATTTTCTTTACTAGAATTTGACGTATTGTATAATTACATACAGATTATTTTCTGCCTGTCACTTGTTGAGTTTTTTATTTTGAATGATGGGATTCACAAATTAAACATTAGTAAAATGTGTTTTCCGAAGAGGAAAATTGGAGAAAATTGGCTCATAATGACTTACTACACAGTACTAGATGTGATTGTGGAAAGATACGGTAAATCTGAACATACCCAGCAGTGAAGACTTGGTGCAGATCAGTTCATTGCATTTCAGTCCATCTGATTATTATTATTTATTTTTTTTTTTTGAAGCCACAATGAGCACTATGTTTTCATGTGCTTTGGCTCCCATGAATCTGTCTCTGTTTGAAATCCTTCGGGCTGTGAGATGGAGCCCAGGAGCGTGATCCCAGCTGCTGACTGACCCAGCACTACTTCTCCCTGCAGAGGAAGCCTCCGCACCCCTGCCTGTTCCCAAGCGATGCTCTGGGATCTTCTGATGAAAGCAGACAAATTCTGCTTAAGATTCACTCGGGAATTTATTAAAGACTGTCAGCATCAAAACTGGGTAGTTTTAAATAGGGTACATTCGCACCTTATTTACTCTCTAGTTATGTTTCTCAATTTCCCTATCTATCTTCCACTTTTTTTTTTTAATTCCCAAAACACTGTTTATGAGATGATTATCTCTCTGTATGCTCTGCTCACCAAGGAGCAGTGCTCCCAGCCCGAGGACAATGGGACTCTACCACATCCTGTGGCAGCCAGTTAGGGAACAAACAGCCTGAGCTGAAGCTGCGTGAGGTAAATGCTTTTTGTTTCTCCACAGGAACACAAAGATTACCTGCCCTATACCAAGGGCTCAGCTGTTTGGGAACAGTGAAGGGAAAAAAATAAGAACCTAAGTTCTGTAATTACTGTAATTACAGCTCCCAAGGGACAGCTGTGAGGAAGTGTGTGGGCTTGATGGGCAGCTGCAGGAGGGCGCAGGGCTCTCCACACAACTTGGCAGCCCAGGGAAGTGGTGGAGTCCCCATCCATGGAGGTCTTTAAAAGACGTTTAGATGTAGAGCTTAGTGATATGGTTTAGTGGGGACTGTTAGTGTTAGGTCAGAGGTTGGACTCGATGATCTAGAGGTCTCTTCCAACCTAGAAATTCTGTGATTTTTGGATTGTTCGCTTCGGGTGCTGCGCTGCCACCCTCCCCTTTGTTTCTGGTAGCACTTTGTGGCAGTGAGGTCCATAGGCTTCCTCCTATGGAGCGGTTCATTAAGGCTCTGCTAGGCTGCTGTGTTTTTTTGTCACAGAATCGCACAGAATCACAGAATTTCTAGGTTGGAAGAGACCTCTAGATCATCAAGTCCAACCTCACATCCCTAAGCTCTACATCTAAACGTCTTTTCAAGACCTCCAGGGATGGGGACTCCACCACTTCCCTGGGCAGCCTGTTCCAATGCCTCACAACCCTTTCGGTAAAGAAGTTCTTCCAAAAAATATATATATATAAAAAAAATAATAATAAAAGCCGCTCAAAAACCACCCCGAGCCGGGCTGTGAGGCGACCCAACCCCCCGAGATGTGAAGCGAGCGTGAGGCGCAGCGCAGGCGCCAAGATGGCGGCCGCGCCCTGTGTGTGTGTGTGAGGAACCGGGAGGGAGGGAAGGGGGGGGGGGAGGTGGCTGCGGGGCGGGGTTTCCCGGTCCCCCCCGCGGGGGCGGAGCGCGGGGCGGGCGGCGCTCGACGCATGCGCGGCGCGGGGCGGGGGGGAGGCGCAGGGCCGCGGCGGCGGCGCTCGGGGAGGCCAACAATGGCGGCGGCGGTGGCGGCGGGAGGAGGAGGTGGAGGAGGAGGAGGAGGAGCGGGGCCCGGAGCGGCCGCGGTGGCTGTGGCGGCGGCAGCGGCGGCCGCCGCGGCTGCTGGGGGCGGCCCGGGTTTGGCGGCGCTGTCGGTGGCTCGGCGGAAGGACGGCGGCCCGACGGGCAAGTTCTGGGAGAGCCCCGACACCGTGTCCCAGCTCGACTCGGTGCGAGTCGTGGCTCGGGAAGCACTACAAGAAGGTGAGGGGTTTTGTAGGGGGGGGGACACCGGGAGCATGAGGGGGTGTTGGCCTAAAGGGCGGGGGGTGCAGCGGGGGCCGGCCCGAACAAAGGCGGCGGCGGCTGCTGGGGGGGGGGGGCTGGGCCGAGGGGGGTCGAATAGGGCCTGGGGGGGGGCAGCTGTGGTAACCGGGGGCTGCTTCGGGATGAGAAGGGCTGGGGGGGGCAGCTCAGGTAACCGGGGGCAGGTCCGGTACCCGGGGGTTGCTCAAACTGGGCCGGGGGGCAGCTCTGGTAGCCTGGGGCTGCTCAAACCGAGCCTGGGGGGCTGCTTCAGGGCACGGGGACCGCTTGGGGATGGTCCTCGTTACCGGTCCTGGCCGTTCCGACATGAGCACAGCAGCTCCAGGCTGGGCCCTGCACTGCTGTGAGCTCCGAAACTGGCTGGGAAAGCAGTCTCAGGGTTCGTGGCTGTTGGTAAGAAACCGTAACACAAAAAGCAGCGCCCCTGCTCCCTGCCGTTACCGGTCGCCAGCAGCATCGTGATCCTGAGCTGGAAGAGCCCTGTGAACCCACAAAACTTCAGGTGTGTGAAGTGACCCCGGGCTGGTACCGGTGTCCAGCAGCACCGGGTCCCCACGGCTGGCAGGAGCTGCTCCCGGTGCTGCCCCCCCAAGCAGAGCCCCGCAGGTCGGATCTCAGCCCCGTACACCCCTTATCTGTGCCACGCTCCGAAGCAACCCTCGTCGCTCATAATTAGGCTGCACTTATCGGCGTTACCGGCTGTAAAGATTAGATACCTCTGTTTGTTCCGTGGGCTCCGCGAGGTAATTAAAATTGGGTAAAGAAACCCCCCCCCCTCCACCCGCTGGATTTCAAAATATCGCTGCGGAAAATCCTTTAAAAATTGGGAAGTGATTCTTGGCTGGGGAGACAAAGAAACGGGTGATTGTTGTAGGCGCTGCTGGGGTTTAGAGAGTGTCTGCAAGGCTCCCGGTGGACGCTGTGGTTGGAGCTGGGTCGTGCTGCTTTGTGCGGGGGATGCTTCGCCCTTAATCCCGTTTTCCTGTAGCCCAGGTGGCAGCTCTGCTGTGCACGCACGGCCTCTTTCAGGAGAGCACGCAGTGAGCAGAGCTGACCTTGCCCAGCTCGGTGCTGCCTGCCCGGTGTCTCCAGCCCCGAGGGCACCGAGGAAGCCGTGGCCGTGTTGGAGAGAACCCAGCGAACCACAGCGAGCACGGCCCAGGTCCAGGAGTCAGCCAGCGAGGGGACAGAGAATTGCCTTTGTGAATCTGCTTGTTCCCAGCTCCAGATTAGCCAGGTCTTCAAATCCACAAGAATTCTCCGTGTCTCTAAAGCGCAGCTCGAAAAATGAGGTTCAAATAATAATATGGGCAGCTTGTGCTGCGTAGCAGGAAACCAGCCCTTGTTAACCAGGAGCAACGGGCTGCGCAGGCAGCGTGGCTGGTGATAAATTTGTCACGGTAGTGGCGTGGGTTTTGTGACCCCACGTTGCTGCAGAAGGGCGTCCTGCTGTCCCAGCACAAACCTCCCCTGCCCCGCTCCTCCGTGGCCAAAACGCCAGCAGCGAGGAAGCCAGCGATGGGCAAAAACACACCGGGGGCTCCTGCTGGGCAGGGGGGACTCAGCTGGTTAGTAAAGGGTGCTGCTACAGGGCGCAGGGACGTTGGGGCACGCTGTTTGTGAGGGCAGATACGACGACAGAAAACGATAATTGTTTGTTGAAGCCTTCAGCCCCGTCCTGGCTGCGTGTGGTGCATGAAAGCCGCCTTGTGCTGTTTCCCCGGGCTGGCAGCTGCAGGACCCGGCTTCATCCCAGGCCCTGCTGTGGGTATTTGGGGCTCGTGTCTGAATCGTGCCGGGGTTTTAAGGCCTGGAGGAGCTGAGAGTCCCGTTTCGTAGCGTTTGGTGTCCCTTAGAAGCAGGAATTTGCACTTTAAAAGCAGGGGACAACAGGGCAACGCACTTATTGTATAAGCGCTCAGCAATCTCGGGTGTTCCGTGTTCAGTAATTCCTTTGACATTGAGCAACAGATGGCTTATGTGAAATGCCTTGTCATGAAGTATTTAAAATACCTCCTCTTTTTTTTTTTTTTTTAACTTTGCATGTGCTAAGAAGGATACGGAGAATAACCCCAGCCTTACAGTTGCAGTCCCTGAGGACCATTCCCTGCGTGTTAGCATCTCCAGCTTGACACTTTGGGAGATGTGGCTACTTCCTGGCTCCAAAAGCCGTGCCACTGAGACAGGAGGCTGCAAAAACATATTTTTTGGGGTGTTTTGTTTGCTTTTTTTTAAAGAGCAAGGGGAATGTTGCCTTGGAAAGGAGTTAGAGGAGAAGACTTGAGCACGGGCTGTTCGTAGGGACACTAACCCAGTGTGAGGTAGGGCTTGGCAGCCCAGATGTTTTTCTGAATATTTAGAACCCACTTTTACAACTTCAGGTGTTCGGTGCTGAGAAGGGGCAGGGGTCTGGGTGCTGGGTGCTCGGCTTGGGGGCCACCCACCCACTGCTTTGCCACGAGCTGAACCTGGGGTGCTGACCCGATCGGGTGTTTCTTGGCAGGCTGGCTGTGGTTTAATAGGAGGGGGGTTTTCCTTCAGTGTTTGGAGCTCCTTTGTGCTCTCACCCTTAAAAAACAGAGCTATAAGCTAAATGAAAGTATTTTAATGCTGGTTTTCCCCTCCCCGTTACCTAGCTATTTGAGCTGAAATGTTCTTTGTTTGGGAGAAGGAAAGGATTTTGTGTCAGGGCTACGCCGTGGAGCCGTAACGGGGTGATTTAAGGTTAGCAGCCACATCAGAACTGGACGTCCAAATCTGTCCCTGGGGTCTGCGGCAAGGGCTCGTCCGGTGCAGCCGTAATGGCAGAGCTCGCTGGGGAAGGTAAGTGCTTGCTGCTGCTAGGAGTGGATGCAGTGGTTCTTGGATGACTTGAGTTATACTAAAAGGCTTCCGAGCGTGTGCGGTTGCTGTTTGATGCCAGCGCAGCTCAATGACGCGTCGTGTTTTTTGTGTTCGTAGTTGGCAGGGAGGTGTGCAGTACGGATCAGCCGTGACCAAAACCCTCTTACACCGAAGCTGTTGGTCCATCATTTCTAGAATTTATCCTTCAAAGGTCTTTTTTTGCTGCAGAATCGCTCTCTGCTTCCGTCTGCTGTGCAGAGCAGTGCAGGTGTGTTGGGACTTCAAGCCTTCTGTGCTCCCCCGACAGCCCCGAGAATCCCTCAGGAAATTATCCACCTTAATTTTGTTTCCCTACAGCCTATGAAGCCAGATCCGTTTGTGTTCCCGGCTGGTGTGCGTGATGAACGAGAGGTCTGGGTTCTTGTGCTTCCTTCTGAAGGCTTTGTCCTCATTCAGGGGAAACCTCAGGCAGGGAAGTGCCTTTCCTGCACAAAGAAGGGGCAGAGCAGGGTGGCAGCGGGGGATTCCCAGCCCCTGCCTTCTGACAGCCTCCAGCCGGTGCCGCAGGGAGCAGCTGCTTGAGAACTCGTGTCTAAGATTGTATTTCCCAGGCATGCTCATGCCAACGTGCCTTTTTAAGGGAAAACATTACAAAAAATGCAGGAAGCCAGTATCAAAACCTCACCTCTCGGACTCGGTTCTGTTCAGACAGGTGCTGGTCCTGCTTGACCTGAGCCCCGTGTTATAATCAGTGCTCCTCAGCCCTTAAATCACAGCCACGTGTCCCCTGCTGCTGCTGGCAGTGCTGACTCCCATCTACAAATGACAAAGAAACCCCCAGCTTGGATGTTCCCTCCTCAGTTCTCATTTTCTGGTTTTGTTGCTTTGTGCGAAGAGCGTTCTCTGGTTCTTTCCTGAGTTACCTTCCTGTGGGATCCTCAGAGCAGGAGCCGAGATAAGTGTACCTCAGGGATTATGCAGAAGGCAGAACGAGGCTTTGGTTTAGTGCCATGAAGAAGCTGTGAGCTTAAGTACACGAAATGGGTGGGAAGGGCGTGAGCTGAATGCAGGTTTGGGGTCAACGATTGCTTGTTTTGTTGCGTGGCTTCAGAGGAGATGTGCAAAAGCCACTTCTGTATTATTATTTTTTTATAATCCACCTGGAGCGTGCCTCCTGTGCATGCTAAAGGCATGGTGTCACAGTGTACTCTGTTTTTACTGGGAAAAATTCTTCATCCCTCAATCTGTGTATGCACACAGAGAGTGCTGTGGGTAGCTGGGTGGACAGTTCCACCTCGAGGTAGCTGGACTCAAGCTAGAAGCAGCGGTTTTGCTTTTTGGATGTGTTTAACAGGTACGGCGTGTGAGCATCTGCAAGACCAAAGCTGTTTTGGTAACAGGAACGGGATTATTTAATAGGATTGGGATTGTTTCATCCGCTGTGCTTTTATTTTCATGCTCGTGCAGATCTCAGGTCTGTCGTGCAGCAGGTTCCTGCTTTGCCTGCCCCTCCGAATTTGTGTTTGGGTGCAGGGTGATGGGCCCGGCTGAGCTGTGAGGACTTGGGTAAGGTGATGGTGTGGGGTCGAATGCCCAAAATGATGGGGGCTTTAGGGTTTCTAGCTGTGACGTGCTGCATCCGTGCACATCCTGGGTGCGACAGTCGCCTGTTCTAAACCTGTACGAAAAAATATTAATTAACAGCTTTAAAAATGCACAACGCTGTATGCATGGAAGTAATCCTTCTTGGTTTAGCAGCCCTTAATGAAAAAGGGTTCTGGCAGGAGGATTGGAAGCGTTATTTTGTGCCTCCCTGCTGGAGGGTTTGGCTGCCCGTGACAAAGGCAGGAGAGGGGCTCGCTCCCTGCTGAGCCGCAGCACCTGGCGAGGGGCTCGAAGTGCAGATGCTGGATTAAGTGAGGCATCTGGGCTAGTCACGTGCTGCATTTACTGTCCTGCCTCGCATCTGTAATTCAACAAAAGATTGCTTAAAACTGCTCTGAATTCAGCCACAGCAGGCAGGGCTTCTGGTTGGAAAATTATATGTATAAAAATAGTTGCTCGCTGAGAGGAGAGCGAGGCTAGGGGTTTTAAAAAAGCCTGAGAGCAAACGTCTTCACTTTTGGTTGGATTCTGACAGCAATAAAGACTGATTTATCGCTGTTCTGTATCTCTGTGGTAGCTGACGGGAATTGATAGGAATTGTTAATTGCAGAAAATTGTCACAACTGCCTCCTTTCATGCGGGAGGGAGGAGGAGCAAGGAATAACCAGCTTTGGAAGGACACCGAGGGAGTCTTTGGGGTGTTTGTGTCCTTTGTTGCGAAGTTTGAATTTTTCACATGTATGTCTGCTTGTTTTAACTCGAATCTTCAAGTAGTTGGATACTTTCCCATCCGAATGGGAAAGTCAGCGTGTTCGTGGTGTCTTTCACTACATGGACGGGACTTTGGAAAGCTTAGTTCCTGCTAACACCACCCCTTTAAACCTTCGAAGGTTCTGGCTCCGGTTTTAAGTTATTTTTTTCAGGTTTTCTGGCTCCTTTTACTTTAAGAGGCTGTAGGAGAACCTGATACGGTACAAAAATGACTATAGGGTAGCTGATACTGCCCTGTATCCTATGTGAACAAGGAGTGGTTGTTCTGCTCTTGGAGGTCTGGCTTGCTGAGAAAAATACATCTAGTAGGTGAATATAGTATACTACAGGTACTGAAAACTCTGCAGCCTATTTCTTTTTTTAATTCCGTGCTGTGATTTCTCCCTTTCCATGTATGCTTTCTATTAGAAGTGTAACTTTGGGAAATGTTCACGTTGTTGCAAAGCATATGCTAAAGTTGCTGCAGAAAGCCTTGGGTATGTGTGGGCCAGAATTAAACCCGTTCCTTTAGTAGGATCTATGAAACAGATGGAAGTAGTTAATATTTGTTTAAAACACCCGTGGCTGTCATGGATTGATGATGATTCACAGATAAGTCCTATGTTTTAGGAGTACAGCTTGAAAAATGTGCGTCGTGCTCGTTCTGTGTGTGCCCAATCCTCCCTCCCCTGCCAGCGATCCTTAAATCTTAAACTGTGCCCTGCAACTGATAAAAGCGCTCTGGGGAATTAATAACCCAGCCTTCGCATTGTGTTATCCTCTATTCCAAGTGAGCGTGTGTGTTTTGTCTTTCAGTATGTTCAAGCAGATGCTCCTACCAATAAAACGCTGGCTGGGCTGGTGGTGCAGCTGCTGCAATTCCAGGAAGATGCCTTTGGAAAACATGTCACCAATCCTGCCTTCACAAAGCTTCCTGTGAGTACTGGGGTTAACCCTCTGCTGCTACAATAGCCTATTTTGTTCTTCATCCAGGGGCCGCGCTGCTGGCGTGCTTCCAGGTGACGGGGAGATGTGTGTGTCGTCTGAAGCTTTTGTTAGTGCATCCTCTTGGAAGGGGTGAAATTGCACGCTCCTTTTTGAAAAGCTGGTTTTCAGTTTAACGCAGCTTATTTTCTATACGTTTGGAAATGATTTCCTGAATGCTGTGGGAAGGTTTTAATTTGTGGTGCACGTTCTGTGTAATCTGCTAAACCTTGAGTCGAATCCATTTGGATTGATGCACCCTAAATTGACTGAATAACGTGCACTTTCCAAAAAAAACAAGTTTAATCAACAGAAATGCCCAGTGAAACCTTCTATCCCGTGATCCTGTCAATGCTGAAAATTGGCTATGCCATGTTTTTGGTAGTGCATAGTTACCTAGTTCGTCTAGGACAGTTTTCCAGCCACTCAGAATATTGGTATACAGAGATAATATTTTTGAAAATTGCTTTTACCATTTAAAATTCAAACTTGGTACATCATTACCAGCACTATCTTAGTGATAATGTTCAGAGATCAGCCCTGTTGTGCTTGGAACCGTGTACACCATGAAAAGATTCTTGCCCACATGAGTGTGAACTTTAAACACTTGGTGAAGAGGGATGCAGCAGATGTTCAGGACAGTAAGTTTGGGATTTCAGTTGTGGAGGGCAGGGACTGCAGCATCCTCATGGTATCAAGCACCCAGTTGGCTCGTTTAGGGTAGGTTTTGTGAGCCAAGACAGCTGCCATAAATGTGTTTGTAAGCATTGTGGACATCAGCAAGGAGGGTCTGCACTTATTGCCACAAAATACTGGGAACCTAAGATTGTGCAATTTAGGATACTCTTGGATATACAAATTCAGTTAGGAATGTTTATAACTCATTCCAGTATCCTAACCCGAAGTTTTTCTGAAAATGAAAGTGATTCTATCTTTGCTTCACCACTTACAGAATACTACTGTTTATTATTTTATGGTTGCTTTTTTCCAGCACAGTTTGCTTGTGTAACTTCTTAAGAGTGTGTACTCGTGCATGTTGTTTCCAGAAAGAGTTTTCAGACTGGCTTACTGGGGGATTCTTGCGATGTTTGGGGACATACCAGGAAGCACCACAAGATGCCATTAAAACGTAGCTCACCTTCTTCCATTCTGATCTGGTGACATCTCAGTGGTGGTGAAAAGGATCAGAGATGAATGCTGTGGTGCTTTACTTTGACAGTGTGGACCATAAAACTGTACCCATTTCTAGCAACAAGTTGGCACTTAGTACAGGGTGTTAATTCTGAGCTTAAGTTCCTGTTGTTGGCAAAGATTTGGTACAGGAAAGGATCTGTAGCTGGATGTGGGTTAGATGAAGGACTGATACAGTGTACTTGCAGTCCTTGTCTTCTGATCACTGCATTTAAACGCATGTTGTCTAACCTTAATAGTTCTCAAATACAAAAGTGTTGATTAATTGTCTTAAAGACAGCTTTGCATGTTTCAAGCAAAGATAATGGTAAGATACTAACTCTTAAAAGACAGCAAACTGTGAGGTCAGTTGGCATTAATTGCCTCGTTGTGCTGGATTTCGCTGTGTAGAAGTGTTGGGGAATCTGTAGGAGGTTGCTGACAGTTACATCTCGGCAGAACAAGTTTTGTCTAATTGCTAAAAGCTATTTCCTTTCATTAAACCGGCCGCTGCCACTAGCATAAGAGGGTCCTTCTAGAGGCTGCTGACGGTAGGAATGGACGCCAGTCTGTGAGGGGAATTTGTGCTGTTCTTCACAGTGAGGTGTTGGCCGGACCTCCTGTGCATGTTGGCACGGCCAACACCTCCCAGAGCCTCCGGTAAGACAGCCAATACTCCGGGGAAGGAATTACAGCCTGGAAGAGCTGTAATTCAGGCTCCTGATCAGCCCATAAGGGACTTGAGGTCGCTAAAGATAGTGCTGAAACACGGGCGGCTCGAGCTCAGGTACGTGTGTGGTCGCCTTGGATCCTGACCTCTCTCTGCACACAGGAGGGCTCTCAACAGATGGAGGCCGGGAGCGGCTCTGCTCTCGTTGAATGCTTGTGAAGGATTTTGTTTATGTTGTTCTTGGACGCTGGCGTATCAGATACCTCACAGAACTGCTTTTCTTTCCACCAGCAGCCCTAGAGCCAAGGAGGGCAATGTTTCGTTTAGTTCCCATGCTCCCATATTAGCTTCCTGATTGAGGAATGAATTTTAGATGCTTGTCAGTAATGCCACGAGGATAGCTTGAAAAATGTGCGTCGTGCTTGTTCTGTGTGTGCCCAATCCTCCCTCCCCTGCCAGCGATCCTTTGGTGTTCGTTCTGTGTTACCAAAAGTTCCTGAAGCGTCATTTAACTCAGTTAAAGAAAATGACCTAGTCTGATCGAAAAAAGTAAGTTAGAAGCCAGATCAGAAATGTTTCTGATGAGGACAAGCTGCCCCAAAGCTGCCGTGGGTGTGCAGTGCCTCCCTCTTTGTGTGCCCTCGGTTCCCTCAGAAGGCAGCTCGCAGGCGGCCATTGCTGTCTGGAGCCTGGCCACCAGGCCGCTCCCAGTTCTGTTTGCAGAATTGTGCGAGTTTTTTAACTGAGAAACATAAACCAGGCCAATCCTGGAATGTTCAACACTCCTGAGGGAGAATGGGTTTAATTTCTCCTTCCAGTACGGGGCTGGGGTCTCTGCAGCAGGCCCCTTGGGGTAGGCGCTGCCTCAGGGCTGTGAGGCGTGGGCTTGCATCCTTCCTCGTGCTGCCAGGGGACACGGACACCCAGGCAGAATGTGCCTTTCTGCTCTGGAAGCTTATCTGGGTGACTGACCAGCCTAATTTTATCAGTTGGGTTTATTATTAGAGCAGCTTTCTTTAGATGTGCCTGAAGTTGCCTGGGGAATGGACCTGTTTGCCTAAGTAAACTCTTCGAAAGTCCTGGTTTTGTATAAAAGTTGCCAAGAGCAGCGCTGCAGTTATTAGAAAGAAGTTCATGTTTGTAACTAATTACATGGCTTAAATAAACTTAAATCGCTTTCTTTTTGTGGTTCAGTCAAATTGATTTATTAGTCCTTTTGGAAACAATCTGTAACTAGAGAGAAGGCCTGGTGAACAGAAACAGTTTTAATTTGTTCTGTAATCATGACATGTCAGTTTCTTTAACCAGTTTAGTTCATAAATGCTGTTGCATGTCTTTCTCCTTCCTGTTCCAAATTGTGTATTGAGAACTTCAGATCCACAGCATGTCAGTACCCTGGGGACCATGCTTAAAACAGATTCCAGTGCTGCTTCTGTCTGGCTCAGCTGTAGCTGAGCTCTCCAGTTCTCCTCCATTGCTAAGATTACTTGACAGTAACTTATTTTTTCCGAGAATATACAAACATCATCATGGGAGATATTAGCAAGATAGCAAAGAGAATTCCAAACTAAAATTAGGGGAAAAAAAGTGCCTTTCTGTGTAGGCAGCAGTCCTGCGTGACTTCAGAGAACAGGCTTGGTGAGACTCAGCAGAGCTTTCTGTCCTGCTTGAATTTCACTTCTTGTCAGAGTACCTGTTTGTGAGAGTGAAGAAATGAGTTGTATTTAGCGTTTTAGGGCAGATCACACAGTGACAAGGTGTAGATGTCTGAAACTCAGCTGCCAAGTATGTATTCATTGTTAAAATGATGACATGAAAGTGAATGTCACTGTTCTCACTTTCCTTTCTGGTTCTAGGCAAAGTGCTTCATGGATTTCAAAGCTGGAGGTACATTATGTCACATTCTTGGTGCTGCTTACAAATATAAGAATGAACAGGGCTGGTAAGTTTTTATTTTGATTTATACACCTACTGCATGAAATTAAGCACATGAAATGGCTATGCAAACTACTCGAGATTTAATACTTTCTGGAGAACTGGGTAGGCAAGGGAGTTGGAGATGGGAAGAGGAATTTTTTTCCCCTGTTTTGCGGATGATAGCTTTTTTTTTTTTTAAAGACATGCCCTCACTCCTAAATTTAAAGACAAGTTGTCCAAGTTTGAGCTCTTGAACTTCTAGGTTGGGAGCTAATTACAAACTTGAGACTTTTACAATTTATGTGCTGTATAACTGAGCAAACTAACTGGTTATCTTACAATTTATTTTCCAGCTGTAAGATACAAATATATCTTACTGTACTGATTATAGGGTTTAGTTATGGCTAGGAAAATATGAATTGTCACCATCACAAAGTAACGAATACAAAGTGATCCATTGTTTATCAACCTCCATAAATGAGGAATGTGAGTAGTTCAGACACTGCCCATGTAGCTATTGACACTAGTATTAAAACTATTAATGTGATATCACCGTGGTGGTTTGACTTGTTCAATTCTAAATTATAATTTTTACAAGAAGGCAGTAGCATGAATTATGGTATTTGAGAACATGGGAAAAAGAATTGAGGATGAGAAGTCATGAGATAAAAGTAAGCAGAGATTGTTCTCATACATGAATTTTAATAGCTCTTGATCTGACGTTGTGCAGACCTGTAGGAGCATTCCTGGAACTGACTGTTTCTGTGGCCCACAAGAGCAAATTAAAAGGCAAAAAATCAAGTTATTCTAGTACAGCCGGTTGTTTTTCAGGAGTTGTTTATACTCATATCAGCTAATTGGCTCTCTAAGATGGTTATATCAGAAAGCCATTAGTCTTTTTTTTCCCCCTACTCTGATATTGCCAACACCCAGGATGTGATATCTGTAACGTTCTGTGTGGCGTCTCTTTCAGGAGTGCCTTGCTCTGCCTTAAGGCAAAGGAGTTAAATATTCATGAGTAGGACATACTTAAACGTTCCGCTTTCTTGCCTTAACAAATTTAGTTTTCATTCATTGAAATTTGTCAGCAAAGCTCAGATACACAGCTGCCTCCTCTCGTCTCACTCTCTTGCTGATTCCTCAAAACTAGTGGGTAGTGCCTTGTGTTTGTGCATGTGGGATGTAGAGGGAAGTAATACTTGAATTTAACTCTGTGGATCAGACTTAGATCTTGGAATGTATCCTTCACTGACTCAACCAAATAATATGTGGTGTTTTGCCTGAAATATGATATATTTTTTTAATGGTATGCATTGTCGCTCTTGCTTAACCTGTTTGTGAATGATCTGTCTTATAGGAGAAGTACCTTTCCTCGTCATAATAGGTATGTCTCAAAAATGCACTTATCCAGTGCAGCTGGACATACCTTGTCTATCACTGCAATTCACGTAGTTGTTGGCTAAAACCTGCCAGAGGGTATCAGTTAAACTGAGGACAGAGAATTGGTACTACCATTTTATCTAAATGGGCAACTACGAAGTGTTATTTCTTAATATATTGACATGCTTCTCTTAACGTATGGATTTCAGAAGCAGGTAAAAGTCTGGGGGCATGTATAGCATCAAGTGAATCTGGTGTAGATTTTAGGCAACCAAATGTAAAAATTTTGGTCAACCTTGAATGCTTTAAATGTCTTTTGTTTCATGGTTACTGAAGACTTTTTTTGGGTGTCTTGGAAAATAGTTTGTATTTATTTGGCGTTTGTTTTCTTTCACTTCCTTGAAGCTCTATTACACTTACCTGAGAAGCATACATTTTAAATAGACTATAAAGCTGTCAGTGCACAAATCCTGGAGAAGATTTTGGCTCTTAAAATCCTGTGCATCTAGGTGTAAAATACTTTAATGCATTAAGTTGTGTTGTGCAGTGAACTGGCAGACTTCTTGATGACTTCTTCTACTTCTAGAAGTCAGCATTGAGCTTTCAACATGCACAACGCAGTCTAGAGAGGTCACAGTTCTCTTTTAAAATTAAAAGAAGATTCTAATAAACATGTCAAATGTTATCATTAGATTATTTGCCAGGTCCTGAGAGTCCATTTGAGGATAGAAACAGGCTTAGACTAACAGCGGATATATGCTGGTGCTGCCCAATGCTACAGCATATTTATGTGGTGCCACCTGCTTGGAAAACTTCTTTTTGAAAATACTAGAAAGCCTCAGACGAAGAAAAACGTGGTGGCCTCAGCTGCGGGGTCTGTTAAATTTAGTAGTATAATGCTGGTGGGATGCCATTTTTGGGTAGTAATGGGTTTTGTGCCTCAAAATCAATTTTGCTTTGCTTACCTTCATTGTATATTTATGAACTTTTAAAGATTGATTTGCTGTGTTACTGGAAACAAGCTTGTGTTTAAAAGAAAGTGCCATTAAGGATGCGGCTGCAGCAATAAATTCTTGTGCTTGAAGTTGGGTGTGAAGTGAAAGCAGCCTGTCAGTCACCCCCGGGTAATTAGAGCACGGCTCCTTCACTGCATTAAGCAGCATCTTGTGCTAAAATCCCGATTCCCGCCCTGACCGCCAGCTCAGCACTCTGGTTAAGTGCATTTTCAGGCTTATTGACAGCTTTTTTTCAAAACTAGCAGTGCACCAGGCAGTGTTTGACACCTAAGAGTCACCAAGCTGATCATCCAAAGCTGCTGAGGTGTGCGGGGTCAGGCCCAAATCCCTCTGAGGCCCCTTCAGCCCCATATCCAGTTAGTGGCCCTGAGTTGGTGCCAACGCAGGTGCTGAGCTGTGGCACTGGTGCCCTTACTGTCCAGCCTTTCCAGTTCTCTGGGGACACTGCTCCAGTTCTTCAGCTGAGGTGATTTCATCCATGACTTCTACACGTGTCGTGGGACCTGGCAGAAAACATGCTGAGGGCTCTCGGGGTTCTTCCTCCCCAGTAGAAAGTCTCAGATTGTGTCACTCCCTCCATTTCTTAAACCCGCACCGTTATTTCCAGAGTTTTGGTTACTTTGTCAATGACGTGGGGAACTTGAAAGTACCAGAGTCCAATAAAGACGATCGTAAAATGCTGACATGGATTAATTAGCGACCTACATGCTGGGGGTGGGGGTGTTCTCAGGCAGGTCTGTGGTTCAGGAGATCCCATATAATGGGTTGCTCTTTGTTCCTGGGTTAGCATCTGGGACTGGTGGGTGGGTGCAACTAAAAATAAGGAAAACACAAGAACTTGTTCGCGAGTTTCCCCCTCTAGTCATTGAAACCTACCTTGAATATTCGAGTACGTCCCTATTTAATTATCCTTTGCAACTGTAGTGGAATGCACAACCCTGCTACAGGGTTTTTGCTGGACAATTTTGACCTTCATGTTTCCTAAACATTTCACAAATCAGTTGCATTTTGCTGATTGCTTCATGGTGATTCTTTTTCTTGTGAGAGTTACCAAGTGAAGCAAAAATATTTCTGATCGTGCTTCAAATGTTGTTACATAGCTACCGTATTACACTGCTTTTTATGTCAAACATGAAAGATTCTTTACTACTAAATGGAGGAAAGTTATATTTTTTTTAATATTTTTGAATCATTTCCTTCAACAGGCGGAGGTTTGACCTGCAGAATCCATCCCGAATGGATCGAAACGTGGAGATGTTCATGAACATTGAGAAAACACTAGTGCAGGCAAGAAACTTGTACAAAACCAACTAGTTTCTCTGTATGTGTTCATGTGCTCAGGCAAAGTGATTCACTAGCACGTGTACCTTGGTTGTGATCCACTGAAGAGCTTCATCTGTAACTTCTGGGGGTGCATTTTAGACTCTCACTTGTTTTATCAAATGTACAGGGTTACTACCAGAAGGTAGTAGGTAACAGCTGCGTGAAGTCTGATTTGAAGTTATTTTTTTCCTTTTTTTTTTTTTTTATGCTGCATGTGTATAACACAGTATTTTTCTCAAAGTCAAAAACCTGTGGCTTATACTCAAATAACATAGTAAAAATGTAACTCTCAGGTGCTTGTCAAAAATAGAAATAGGAGGAAGGACAGCAGAAATAAATGATACTTCCTTATTAAGAAGTATTACTATTGTATGGCTGCTTTAATACATAAAGTACATGTTAAAATTGCAAATAGAACAAATGTATATGTAGACTGTAGAAGTGCACAAATCTGCATGGCAGATGAATTCCTTTTCCCGTGAAGTCTTCCAGAACCTGTCAAAAATTCTTTGTAATCCAAGACACAGTTTTCATTATAGATGCTTTTGTGAAAGCAGGAACATAAGAACAGCTACAATGGGTTGAGTTCCTCCATCCATGATAATGTCCCTGACAGAGCTAACAGCAAATCTGCAGGGTCCAGATGTAAACACACGATAAGGCTGTGGTAGGGAGGTTGCAAGGGAACTAATATTGTCGTAAGGATTTTGGAGCTGGAATTAGTGTCTCGTATCTCAGCCTGATACGTGCAGTTCCTTTTGAGCTTTTTCAAGCATTGGTGATCGTAACAGGAATTTTGTGGTTTATGTCACAGATGGCCTACTAATTTCTTATTTAATTTCCTATTCCCTCCTCTAGAACAACTGTCTGAGTAGACCAACCATCTACCTCATTCCAGATATAGAACTGAAGCTGGCTAATAAATTAAAGGATATCGTCAAACGCCACCAGGTAACTGTTATGTAGAATTACTTAAAACATGTTGTGTCTCTTGTAACTTTGTAAGACCGAGTGTATTTGTGTGACTTCAGCATACCAGCTGCATTTGGATCGTGTCTCGACAGCACAAGGCAGCAGCAAGAAGTCAATTAAGACCAAATGTTAACTATTTGTAAAATGCCATTAGTAATTATCCTCACATGGAAGCAGAATCATAACTCTGTTCAGAAAGTAAATCTGTTGAAGTTTAAAGTAGTAACCAGTTTGAGATTTATGATTTCTCAAAGACTTTGCTGCTGGCCCAGCAATGTTGAATTCCTGCTTACATCGAGCAGAAGCTCACAGTTTACAAAATCTGAGACCAAAAAGGTAGTGTGTCATACAACTATTCTAGATATGTGGGAACAAGCATAAAGAAGTTTTAATCTTAAAAGAGGTAGTGATTTTTTTTTCTTGATTTATTTTACTTGATTTTCGTTTTGTGCTGAACAGAGCACAAGCAACATCCGTCTCCTTTCAGGTAGTGTATTTCCCCAGGAGTCAACGTCTTGGCCTTGTGATTTAATACATTAAATGACGAACTGAACAAGATGAATAGCTTCATCTCTTCAAAATGTAAACAGTCTTGTCACTTGCCTTGAGAGAAATGTTCTGGAAAGCGAACTCTTCTGACAGATAGGACCAGGTGAAGAACTGGCTCTGAATGAGCCAAGATTACTGCTGGTTACAAGCTGTGTAACAAAAATGTAATGGAGACAGCACTGAAAATAGCTTGATGCAAGTAAAAGGATATTATTTTAAATGACCTGTAAACTGTCTGGGTCCCTTCCCACCCAGACTGCGGTGGTTCTTCATTTGTGAATGATTTAAGGGACTCTGGTGACAAAACTGCCTGCTTTAAAAGGGATGTGAAGAAATAAAAACAAATTGTTTTGAATTCTACTTTTGAGTTCTCTTCCTTTGAAGAATTCAAATTCTCAGAATTCTTCAGAATTCTTAATTTGTGTTGCTGCCAGTGCTTGCTCACTGTCTTGATTTTTACCCATTGTCATTTTCTTCCTTTCCTTCCCCAGTAATGTAGCTCCTTTTCCCTGATCTTTTCATGTCCTGCTGCAGTCTGTAAGAAGAGCTTCATCGTTCTTGTCCCAGCACAGTGGTAGTGGGATCTCTGGACTTAGGATCATGAGGAAGATGTTGTCATCCCTGCACTCTTTGCAGATGATGTTACTGCTTCTTGTAGTCAGACCTTATCTGATTTTCTTTATAAATGTTGAAGATTCTTTTCAGAAGAACCAGAATAATAATTTAGGATCTTGAAAGCAGTTAAGGAGTGAGATGAGCATTTATATCTATCTGCTTCAAAAAAAAAATGTTCTGGCAGTAGAGAACTCGTACATCTTGTTATGCCTCCAGCTTCCAGTCGTATTCAGTTCAGCAGAGGCAGGAAATAAGCCTTATATTTTGCTTACATCCTTCAGAAAGCTGATTTAAAGTTATCTATCCCTTTCTCTTCAGTCAACATAGCATCTAGAAAGATTTCCTGTTCTCCTAGTTTCTGTGTATTGTTTATTTGAAGCTCCTTAGGGAACAAATGAACCTTACTGGTATGATTCATAAAGGTCAGGGTAGATACCTGGAGAGTTCTCTCCAGCTCGTGGGCAGTGAAGGGAGAATTTCCATTATTGTTCTTGAACTCTTTGCAGGTCCTTCAGTCGTGCCTAACCACTTTTCTTCTCTTTGAATGATTATAAATTCTTCTCACTTTCCAGCTTTCTTTTTTGCTGCTACTCAGAGCACCTCCTCTCCTTCTACCCAGTTGTGCAAACTCTTGTTGGGGTAGAAATGATCGTTTCAGTCCCTGATATCAGAGTAGTCTCTGAATATTTCTACCATAACATAATGCATCTTCATGCTTTTTGAAATTTTTCTCCTTTTGATGCTGATCACTCCTTCAAATAAGTTGTTCATACATTGTTTGCTGTAAACTGTCCCATCTGCTCTTAAGTCCTTTAAATAAATCTGTCAAATAGTTATGGAGCGTAAATCTTAAATAACATTTTCATAAAAAAAATTATAGCAAAGCATAATTCCTCTTCTGCAAAAGAGCCTGAGTTCTGTGAATTTCTGCTGTCTTTGCTGAAGGCTATTCATCTGTGGAGACTGGCAGTGTCTGTGCAGCAAATGGGAGAATCCAGCTGGTCCCCCTCATGAGGAAAGGAGAGGGTTTTCTTGATTATGTGGTATTATGCATTTGTTTAACAGATATCTAGTTATATAGCAGAATCTTTTTCCATGCTGATGTGGGTTCAGTAGGTATATATATAAAATTGTGGCATCTACATAAGCACGAGGAGTCTGCCTGTTGCTTCTCATATATGAAGAAAATTCTTCTAAACCTTCAAGGAGAAAAATTGTGCTTGTGTCTGAATAGGTGACTAAAAGTTGTGTAAAGTTAATGTTTCTGATTTACTCCCTTCTGTGATGTAGGAGCCTTTTTACAAAGAGTAGGAGTTCTTGTCATTTAATGTACAGCCTTGAATGCTGGGGATATCCTTCTCACGTTAGCCATTTCTAGTTAAGTTCCCGCTTGTCAGAGTTAATATTATGTAAATTGTAGTATTTAGAAATTGTCTCTTGAAATAATTGCTTTTTTCTAGCACTTATTAGAGGTGGTATTCTTCATGGTTGCGTTGTGGTGAGCCTCGAATATTTCTAGGTTGCATGGAATGTGAGTGAAAAGAAACGATTGAGAAATTTGGGGTAATGTGAAGGTTTCTCATGCAGTGTTGTCTTTCATTTCACTCTTCCCACAGGGAACAGTAACTGAAGAGAAATCAAAGGCTACCCACCACGTTTATCCAAGTCCTACCTCAATGGATGATGGTAAAGATGCTTTCCAATTGTTTAAGTGGAAATAATCTTGTAACTACATTCTGTTAGCGCTTACGGGAGATTTCACAGAGGCACAGAATGTTCTTAGCCTGCCTCTGAGAGCTACTTCCAAAGAGTTTTTAGGATTAACAACTCCAAATCAAATCATCGTGTGTCCTACTTCTGTTACGTATAACACTCACGTCTTTAATTGAGGTAACGTTTTCAGGAAAGGGTGCATAACACTGACTATTCTTCAGTGATTGGGTTGGAAACTGAGGTATTAATGTTTGTTGAATGCATTATTCAGCGTAATACAAATTACAAATACAAAAAAGCAAATGAACGTTTTCTTTATCCCAAATAACATGCTGAAGGGGACCAAAGCCTAAGGGTCTGGAAGAACTGAAGAAGAAATCAACTTAGATGAAAAATGAAGGAATATTGATGGATGTGGGGGTTTTAAAATTGAAGTTTCCACTGTTTTTTTTTTGTTTTTTTTTAACTTCCTTGGTGTGTCTGCCCCGTGTGCAAGAATTGGTTGAAATGTTGAGTGAAACACCATTAGGAAAACACGAGATGTGTGAAAGATCGTAGATGCCAAAGTAAAAGGGAGTGAAAACTTTCTGCCGTGTTCCACTCTTCCGAGGCAATAGATTGGGAATGCTGATACGTTATCGTTGCATGTGGTTTGGCAAGGGGGATACAATAACATGTAGACTCGATAGATTTGGGTTGTTGGCTTTATTATAATGCAGTCTGTCTCTATAGGAAATAGGCACCTCAAAAGCAATTAAACAGTCATATCCTTCAGCGAGCAGCTAAAACAAGCTCCTTATTTTTTCATCTCAAATACATTTCATTGTCTAGGGGATGATTGTTGTTGAGTCTGAGCTTTGCTATCATTAAGTTTGCTTTTTCTGGCAAGCTCTGGCGTCTGATCTCCACTAGATGGAAGTGTTCACTTCCATACTGGAATGGTCACGGATTGTTTGTCCGCTGGTGCTTGGTTCTGTGTGTCCTGTACTTCTGGGAATATCACGTCTAGCTACAGCTTTGTATTTATTTTGAACCACCTCAGGTTCTTGGAAAAGGGTTGAACACAGTAGTTTCTGTCTTGTAGGCAGTGAACATGCAGGTGTGCTAGATAGAGCTCTCTTGCAAAGCCTGATTGCAGTAAGGTGAGAAAAAAAGCTGTGAATTCAAGCAGGGTAACACTATACAGGTGCAAATATTCAGGGTTTTTCTCTGGGACATACTTCTATTTGAGTTGCAGGGGATAGGTCAGATGTGCAGTGTGCAGTTAAAAAAAAACAACAAAAAACACCTTAAAATACCAGTCAAACTTTGCGTACACCCTATCACAAGATCAGCAAAGCATTAGTGCTGCTCAGTAAGCCTGTGTTAACACTGATGTGAAAGGAGAAATTTGAAATCCAAGTCTCATGAAACTCCTGGAAATGTTTTCTTTAAAGCTGGTTTCATCACCACTCCCCATCACATCACTCTCTTCCTTCAAAATTTTATTCTGTTCCTGCCGTCTTCTTAAGTATATGTTGAGGGTAGAACTTAGTACTGGGAAGAGGGTCTTGTGAAATAAGTGTAAGTCAGTAAAAGAAGCTAATGAGGGGATTCAGAAGTCGTAAGGATTAAAAAAAGAGGAAAAATTTACCAGTTGACGACAAAGTGTTTTGGGATGTTTAATTTTTCCATTTGCACAATTAAAAAAAAAAATCTGACAGACTGGAGAATCTTTCTCTTGTTACCTCATTTCTGTTGTCTTTAATTAGTCTTTAACGAACGTCATTTTGGAGGATTTGCTCTGTCTTATCCCAACCAGACAAAGCACCTGGGAGATGAGATGGGACGAGATGAGCTGACGGTGCTTCTACCTGTCAGCTAGGAGCTCCCCTCCCTTCTGTTGAGGAGCAGATGACTGTTTCAAGCCCCACTGGGTCTTAATCATGAGCTTGTTAGGGTATGAATATATATGGCCGGGGCAGGAAATGTAATAATTCGCTGCATTAAAATGATTTCACTCGTGTAACATCTGTCGTATACAAGCAGAGCACGTGAATGTCTATGCATGGCAAAGTTAATGCAGGCAAGTGTATTACTGCTGCAGGTCAGGACACCGTAATTTCATTACAGAAGACTTCATCAGAGAGAATTGCAGTGACTTCTCTATGCCTGGCTATGGAAAAGCAGGCTGATGTTTGGTGTGCTAAGTCTGAATCTGATGCTAGATCTCTTTCCCCTTTGCAGATGAATGGCTGAGACCTGTGATGAAAAAAGACAAGCAGGTGCTGGTACACTGGGGATTCTTTCCAGACAGGTAAATAAAGGTGGGGGAGGAGAGCACACCCCAAATCTTTCTCAGGTTTGTTAAAGGCAAAGTACTGATTAGAACTTGCAAGGAGGTAAATCCATGTCCTCAAACAAGCTGCTCCTTCAGCTTGCTGAATCCTACCTGTCCTGAAATAGGTGCTCTGCCCTCTCTGCACTGTGCTCTGTGGTTGTCAGCAATGAGCCTTCATGGAGAACATCCCAACTGTGTAGGCTACAACTGTGCTCTTGTTCTGCAGAGCAGCAGGCTCAGACCTGTCTTTGACTCTTCCTAAAATGTAATCTAAACAGGCAGTACTACATTCCTGTTGTTTTGGCTCTGAATGACTGAATGTCACTGTTTCTGTTCCAGAACAAGCAGTGGTTGTCTTACAGGTATAACCACTCAGTAATTTAGTATTGTTTTTTTTCCAAGAATTGAAAGGATTAATCAGTGGTTTTAACGCTGATCTATGCATACTGATTTATGGTACTGTCAGGTGGGTGAAGTTAGAAAAGGAGCCTAGTCTTCAGCAGAGCCAGTAGGAAGGCTGCAATTTCCAAAGGGCACAGTAAGCCTTTCCACAAAGTTAGTAAGACTTTAAAGCCAAAAAGGAGAATAGTGTGTGTGGGAAAAGTGGATATAAACAATAGCTAAATTCTACAGCAGGAGGGATTGAAGTAGAGCATGCAAACTTTTAGTCTGAGTCTAGTATCTCTTGCTTTAAACTCATAAGAACAGAAACGACTTAATTACTGCCAGAGTTTGAACAGGTGACTCAAATTTTATCTGTACCCCTGCATCTGGAGCTGGAGCTGACTTCACTGAGATGGATTCTAAATTCAAAAAGCTAATAATGTGCATTAGATGCCCTCGACACCTCCCTTTTCAGTGTGCCCTATTCCTGTAGCAGAAACCAGTGATTATTCTTTTGTTTAACTTTCATTGAGTGGAAAATGATTTGCTATTCTATCCCAGCAGTATGATTTGAACATGTCAAAACTGCTGAATAAATATCCCTGCTGGTGATCTTTCTGGATGAGCAGCCCAGGGGACCAATTTTGTTGTTTTTTTTTTTCTGACTCTTCTCATTAGCTATGACACTTGGGTTCATGCCAATGAAATAGATGCTGAAATTGAGGATCCTCCAATTCCTGAAAAGCCATGGAAGGTAAGTCTCTCTTAAACAGTTTCTCAAAGTTATTGTATTGATACAGCTCATCCCCAGGTGTTACTGGCTAGATGTTTTAATGCGCTGCTGAGTATCAATGGCTGCATTTCCATATATATGGAAAAACAGCAATATTTCTAGAGCTGTAATGAAAATACCTGAAACATTTCCTTGGTCTGGGAAGGAATGCTGTTGAGAAATTTCTGGGGAGTGAAAAGGGCAGATTAATGCATCTCTGATAATGCCAAAATTACCATGTTTATTTTGGCATGACTTGAGGTGGTTTGTGTTAAAAGTAAATCCTTCCCCTGCTGCTGAAACACAGCCATCTCTGGGATGGGACTGACTGGGCATGATAGTATTATACAGTATTTAAGGAGGGGGTTGGGGAAAATACTGTATCTTTATTTTTTTTGAAGAATGTTGTTAGAGGAAAGAATTACTAGTTCGAAACCCCGGGTTATTTCACACCTCTCACTGGGTTTAGAGCATTTTTTGTGTGCAGAAAGTTCATCTGTTCCTGTAAGAATGGAAATGGCCAAAAATATTCGGGCTTAGATTATGTGGAAGTTGAGTAGCTTCTTTATGAGAATTTTGGAGAACTGAAAATCTGAAATTGAATTCTGTGATACAAATAAAATCTTGTTGTCCTCCTTGAATTCTTATTGCTGTAGTGACAACTTAATTTCCAGTAAAGTAAAAGCAAAGTAGAACTGTGGTGTGGCCATGGGCTCCCTCACTCCCCTGTTTTGCCTGGCTTGTTTGTCTTGGCTCGGTACTGATGTAGGTACCAACTTCTGTATGCCCTCAGTACCCTGCAGGGTGCAAGTTTCTTGATTTGACTGAATTTACCAAAAGGCTTGATATTGCTGAAGAATTGTGGTACACGAATGCATGCAGCTGTCCCTAGAGTAAGAGCCAACGTGAACGTCTCTGAGAAAACCAGCGGCTGTTTAAAGAATCCCTGAGGGTCTCATCTCATCTTCCTTCGTGGCAAGGTTCACTCTGATGGGAGCTCTGCTCTTTGCTGATGTCACAGGGAGGAAAAAGATCTTTCTGATTTAGTTCGTTGCAAGAGGACAATACAAAGCAATTGCAATCAAACAGTAGTAAATACTCCTTTATTGTCCTATTATTGGACTTTTTTATACATAACGTGGAATGTTGTTCTGTGTCTGTGCTCCTGTGCTGCTAATCTGAATAGCAGAGTTAGGAAAGGGCAGCTCAGGTCAGAAGGTAATTTGGTCTCTTCAAACACTACTTATTCCTAGTTGTTCCTCAGAAATAAATGGCACATACTATGCTTTTTGTGTATAAATCCACTGAAGCTCAATTTATTTTTATTGTTCAGCTATGTGATGTGAACTAGAACTTATTTGAAGATGGTATTTTAAGTCAAGATAGTCAATGTTTTCTTTTCAAGATATGGCCAACTCTTCCTATTTTTTTTGGTCTCCATTGTGGCACGTTATATCTGTTAAGGTGATCTGTGTTCTACTTGGAGGATTTTGATGGTAATTTTTGGCATCAAAAATGTACTATTTTTGGGACACTTAATATAGAGCAATTGTCCAGCTGTGAGAACTGACCTCGCTCTTCAGATGACTTAAAAATGACTGAGGAACAGACAAGGCGTTAAGTAGGCTTGGAGGCACGTTCATCCTTTATTGCATTGCCTCAGAATTATCATTATGTGTAAAACTCAGATGTCTGTAACTTGAGACCCTAAACAAAACTGCAGGTATTCCCTTTGTACTATTAGGTCTACTGTGGAGTTAACTTTAAAAAAAAAAAATAGATAAATCAACACGTCAATATATTGTTTTGTTCTTTAGGTTCATGCCAAGTGGATTTTGGACACAGATATATTCAACGAATGGATGAATGAAGAGGATTATGAGGTAGATGAGAACAGGAAATCAGTGAGTTTTCGGCAGAGAATCTCCATGAAAAATGAAGAGGTAGGTGGTTCTCTGCTTATGAGTGACCTGTTGAAAAAATTAATATTCCTTCTCTGTGCAAAAGTTGCTAAAATCCAATCTGTTTGAACAGATTCAGGTACCTATGATAATACAATCTAGTTTAATTTTCATCTGATATTTCTTCTGTTACATCTTTTCAGAAGCATAAGTGTGTCCTTTTTGTGTTTATTTTTTTTTTTTTTACCCCCATCCCCCTTGCTGAGGATGCTAAGAGATCAGACCCACTTTGTACTTTCTCTCAAGCGAAACCAGGGAGTGCATTGAACAGTGTTGTTTGATTTCCAAATTTTCCAATTTTTGTATCCCTCCTGATGCAGGAAGTTAGGACTCGAAAACATGCCCGTTTAACCTTGAGGCCAGGCTGCTCACCGGGAAATCTTTCCTGATGGATAGAGTATATTGAACACATCAGAAATTAGCTGTTAAATCTTGCTCATATAGCACAGTTCTTACATAGATAGTTACTGTGGTATCTGGGGGATGGCTATAAAAAAGTTAAGGTTTTCCACAATGTCAGATGTGTATTTGGAAAGTATGGAGCTGAATATGGTGCTTGTTATATTACTACTTTTAGCTCCTTTGTTATAAGATGTATTAAGGAAGAGTAGCCTCCAGCGTTTCAATAACTAGTATTTGGGATGAGCTAATACCTTCATTTCTCTAACAGCCTGTACGTAGTCCAGAGAGGAGAGACAGGAAAGCAGCAGCAAGTACAAGAAAGAGAAAGCATTCTCCTTCTCCACCCCCCACTCCTGTGGAGTCAAGAAAAAAGACAGGGAAGAAAGGGTAAGTGTCTAATTCCTGGAAGCTGAGGCTAATTTTCTTGAAGATATACTTATGGGAAGATCTGTCCTCTGTCACTTTTCACACCTTAGATAATAGTAGAATAATTGTTTCTGCAATAGATTAGTGTGATTTTGCTAGTGCAATACATATAATTTCCCTGCTCCTCCGTAGAAATGTATTGCCTGCAGGTGGAGGAGAATCTAGTGCAAGTCATGATGTTATCTGTTCCTCAGTGACAAGGTTCAGTGCTGCATTGGGAGTAGAACTTGCCAAATGAAAGTTACTCAGCTGCTTCTAAAATCAACCACTTCTGGTAGTGAAAGCAAATAGTATGTGTATGCTTTTTGAAGCAGAGAGACACAAATTGCTGCATTTAACTGAGAAGTTTTTAATCTACATCGCCAGGTGTCTTAAAGTCCACTTCTCAAATGTCATTTTACTGGAGTAGCACTTGTTGATTGCAGCTGGCCTACAGATTGGTGTTTTTTTGTTTCTTATCCCCTCGGTACTCATTCAACCTTTAAATAAAGGTCAAGATTATATGCAGATAACAGCTTATCACTTACGGGGTTTGTGCATGGTATGGAGGAGAGTACTTAAGTCCTTAAAAACTCAAGTCTTGCTTAGTAGTCTTGTGGGGCTCTGGGGAAAAAAAAAAAAAGGAACTGGAAATTTATCGTCTGAGATGAGAAAGAATTAGCTTATTATCTGACTTTTCTGTTCCTAATGTCAAGTCTGAGTTAAATCCTGTAAGAAGAAGCTTAGGTGATTCTGGCTTTGTTTCCAAAAAGACTTTCTCTCTACACAGAATTGATCATAAAATACATTTTTTGTTAAAATGAGGCAGTGTGCCTTGAAATGGTCTGTCACATCCTCTGTTCTATGCAGCAGATGCCTTTATTGCAACTTTAAAAAGGAAAAATGTATGCGAACCACTACTGCCTTGAATCTCACTAGTATGCAGGTGTTGCCAACATGCTAGAGACAGTTCTGGGTTGAAATTAAGAATTTATACAGTGGTGCTCTACAGTCTTGAAGCAAGATCATTAGTTATTTGAAACCAAGAGTTACTTCTGGGTGAGAATCTGATTATGTTGCGAAATTGAACTTGATAGTGTCCTTTCAAATGTTATTTTATTTTAGCAATATGGAGGGACTAGTTTTTGTTAACTCCACAAGCACCAATGTTTTCACAAAAATATGTTAACCCAATCCTTTAATCCTGCTACTTAGTGAAGAATAATGTCTAGGTGAAAACGTCTGATGGTTGTAGCTGTATATGATCTCTTTTAGACAAGCAGCCTTATATGGGAAAAGGAGAGGGCAGAAAGAAGAAGATGAGCAAGAAGATCTTACAAAGGACATGGAGGATCCCACACCGGTACCTAATATAGAAGAAGTGGTACTTCCCAAAAATGGTAAAATATGCATAAACTGGATTCTTTGAATGTTAAAAGAATTGCTTACACTGTATAGAGGAAATAAATGTGTTATGAAATCTTTGGAATACTTCATGGCCATGGGGCCAGGTAGTCTGTGCTCATCCAAACTGATCTTGACAAGGATTTGAATGTGGCTTCCAGGAAAGGCAACGGATTCACATTCTTCAGGCTTCTTGAAATACATTTATGACAGTCCACTTGAATGTTTAGTTTGGCCATTTTAGGTTTGCTCTTGCCCAGTGTACTGAGTTCACGTGTTGGGGTATGAAGTTTCCTAGATTAAAAGAATTCTGATCAAGTTAGTGGAAACTCTAGTAACAGGCCTGATGCAAGGGAAAAGCATCAACTTATGCAGTAAGTAAAGATAGGTCAGAAATAAGTTAGCCTAACAAGTCCTTAACACCAAGACATTTTGGGTGTCACATAGTTTGACGTTCATCTGGTTTGAATTTGCATGTAAGAATCGTTCCGTGTTGTGCAGGTGGGAAGAGCACAGTACAGTGACTGCCTCGAGAGATGCTGCATTGTGTTCAGATGGGAAATTAGAGAGGAGCCAAATAAATGGTCTGTTGTTCTCCGACGACACTGACCAGATGAACTCTTCTGAACGGCAAAAACATGACCAACAAAATGGTTTATTGATGAGATAGTAAAAACGTGTTAAACTTTGATAATTGTATCTTGTCTGATGATTACTCATTGGGATTTCAATCTTTTTGCAGTGAACCCAAAGAAAGACAGTGAAAACACACCTGTGAAAGGAGGAACAGTAGCGGACCTCGGTAAAATAAATGCAAAAAGACACATGAGTGCACACACACCCCTCTTAGAGTAAAGTCATGCCTGTGGGCAACAGAATAAATATTTTTAAATCTCTCAGTTTTAAAAAGAATCTATAATTCTACTCTTCTATTGAATTAATTTTTCATATGTATTCCAGCTGGAATGTACTTACTGTTTCCCTTTTTAAGGCTTTTTCCTTGTAGGCATTGTTTGTTTCTTCTGAAAGTGACATATGAGCTCTTTTTGGTATATTTTTTTTCTTACTGCGTGGATTAGGCATTAGGGTGAATCACAGGTTCCCTGAGCTTTGCTAGTCCTTTGGCATAAGAGAGAAACTAGTGTCCCATATCCTATTATACAAGGCTACATCTAGGGCACTGGGCCAGGCAGTAATTAATTATGGGTTCCTAAGTGTGGAAAAACTCTAATTATCCTTCCTCTGTATTTCTGCTCGTATGTGTTCCTTTGTCTGGGATCATTGGGTGCCTGCATATGGATGAGATTGTCTTAATGATGTGTGGTCCACTCTGCTTTTCTTCTCACTTCCCTCCCAAAACAAATGAAGCAGTCTTTCCAATTAAGCAATTGCATGGCTAGAAAGGATTCTGAGTAGTCAGGTGCATTTTATTAGTTTAATTCCCGATACTTTTACCTTTCAGATGAACAGGATGAGGAGACAGTGGCAACTGGAGGAAAGGTAATGGCAGTCATTTCATACTGAATTTGGTAGAAACTGAGATCTTCATCTTCAGAAATTTACCCCTGTAATGTTTCTCAAGTGATATATGAAATCAAATTGGTTGCTGGTGGGCATGTTGGTTTGTTATTATAAAAAAAATCCTATGAATAGCGTGTGATTACTTTGTATTTATAAATCTAAGATTTTAGAAATGAGTAACAAAAACAGGTATAAAGTATTTTTAAAGAAACTGTTTTCAGATTCAGGTTTTTCAAAGGCTGTGCTTTTTCTTTAGGTTCCAGGACTAAATCTAAACCCTAAATACGTTTTCTGATCATTTTTAATGGATTTGCCTGTGTAGTGTCTGTATCTAATTGCATTGTTGGTATGCCAGGCACTATTCTTAACAGCTTGCTGAGTAAGATGCCTGTCTGATCAGGCAGGTAAGAAAAACATCACATCTGTGTTAGTTCATACGTTGCAGGCCTGCTGACACGGATGCTTGGACGTGTCCTTAGTTACACATTAAGAAAATCTGACTTTCTCTTCATACTGATGTATTTCCAATTTTATTGTATTTCAGTATAAATATCCAATATATATCTGTTTTACAGAAGAGCTTAAAAATACTTTTTCAAGTTTTAAATTGGGGAAAAAAGACAACTCTAGATAAGAAAAATGCTGTTTAGCTAGTAAGCAACCTTTCTTACAGGTTTTAGGCTCTGGTATCACACTAAAGAACAGTGGGTTTAAGTATCTTGGTATATATACACATGGACACGTTGCCAAAATTCTTAGGTGAGCAATGTGTTTCAAGCTAGGGACACCATCTTGAAAAGACAGCAGGCTTTTCCAGTATGAGAAATACTTTTTTTTTGGGGGGTGGTGTAGTTTCTCCACTCCTGCATGTAGAATGACCCCTAACTGTGGAACTCATGCTGCAAGTGTTCTTGCCCTGTCAAGTTGGATGCGGCTTGCTTTTATGATTTATCCTAAATGTTATGTTTTTTAGTGTTTTTTTTTTTTTTCTTCATGGTTTTCCTCTTTACCAAATGTGTTTTGAGAGGAGAAGGATATTGAAGTTCTGGAGATGAAGAGAGGATTAGCAGAAAGGACTAGCAGACTTCTTTTCAGAACAGCCAATGTCAGGTCCAATGTCAGGTCACTAAATAGATTCAGAAGGATGCCTTGTTGTCTCTGGAGGAATTTCATTGCCCCAAAAGATGCAACATGGTGGTCTTAAAATCTTGCTTTAGGGACTTGATTGTTTTTAACAGCCTTTTCTGTTTCTTTGAAATCTGACTGGCTTGGTAATTCAGATAAAGAAAATCATTAAAAATTGAATTGCCTGTGGTAAGGTATGGAGCTCAACTATCAGTTGTTCTTTGTTAGAAATGCACAAGAAAAGTGGTCTAGTGAAAGCCTTAAATTGCCTCTGCATACAATAATCTGTGCTGATGTCATATGTAGTCTTAATTTTCTGATGGGCAAGCAGTGATTTCTTCAACTTGTTAATGCATGTGACCCATTATCAGCACTTCATGCCTTCTTGTTAGAACATCCCCTATTTACTTTATTACCAACAGCCTTCCTAAAGAAACCTCTGCCCTCTCGTTCTCGCATCTGGGATCTATTAGTCTAAGTTCTAGCACAAAAGGTTTGTCCATCTCCTGTAACAAACACAGGATGTTTATATTCTGTGCCAGAGTTTTCATGGCATGGTTACAATTTGAACTTAGTATCTCTTCTTCACAACAGGGAAGTATCCAAGACCAGCTTTATGATCGATTAATGTGAGTTTATCCAAGCAAAAATGTAGGGTAATGAGATGCAGTTTTGCAGACGTGAAATTATTACCACTGACAAGTGCTTCCCAGTAAAACTAGGAGAAGTAATCAATCTGGTTTCTTTTAATGTTCTTTTGAGGAGTGAGAAAGTTCATGGGAAAGAGTGGCAAAAAATAAGTCATCTTTACAAACCATAAAAATTGTTGCAGTGTCAGTATCTGGAGATGTCAGCCTTGCTCTTGCTGCCAACTTGCAAAATTCTCTGGATTTGTGCTGTATTTATGTCTCGTTGCAGTATACTGCAGTATTGAAATGCAAAGACACGTTCTCCTATAGTTAGACTTTAAATTTTATAGACAAGACTTGAAGCGTGATCAAGCTGTATTGCCAAGTATGTTCGTAAGGTTTGACAACTGTCCCTGTAAAAACTTTTTAGTGGCTTTATGCTTCCTTTATTCTTTTATGAAAGCTGATTGTTTCTTGTCCCTGAGGCTTTCCTCACTGACAAGAGATTGCATCAAAAATTTTATGCTGCAGAGGATTGGAAAGCATTTGTTATAGGCTAACTCCACTGCCTGAGAGTTCTTAGGTATCTTCTGTTGTTTGCAATGTGTTAACCAGTGCATTTCCTCTGTGATACAGGAAGATGAAGACCCTAACAAAGGTGATCAAAGTCGGTCAATTGATCCAGGTGAAGATAACGTCACAGAACAAACCAACCACATCATTATTCCAAGCTATGCATCTTGGTTTGACTACAACTGGTAAGAAAGTCATTTGGTACCGGGCACGTAGAGTTTTGAAGGTCTTTCCCACCCATAAATATTCCCAAGATGACTTCTGTCAGTTTTGGGGAATTGGAAGTGAGGAAGAGGATTTCAGATAGCATAGATATTCACTCTCTTGTATCAGCATTTTTTGTTTTGCAGTGATTTTTAATTCATTTTTCCTTCCCTACTTTCCTGATACTTGCATGAGGTTAAGTCCTCAATTGTGTAGGGAGGTCAGGTGTTCCATTTCAAGATCCTCTTTGGAGACATAGGTTTGTGACTTGATATGACCACTTAACTTGCTAGGGTAACGATGATTTTCTCTGTATACTGAGTTTTTTGTGGTGTGGGAATGAAAGGAACGAAAGTCTCTCTACAAGTTAAAACTCTTTGGTAGGTTTTTGTTTGTTTTTAATAAAAAGTTACTTTGGAAACAGGATAAGGAATGGATGTCTGGGAAGTCTGTTCTTTGAGCATGCGTTCCTTTGTAGCTCTAGGAATCAAGGCAGTGTTTGGACTGGAACCCAAAGAGAAACGCTAGGACACTTGAGTACAAGGATTCACGCCTTTGGTTCAATTTTCAGCTCTGGCAAACTTTATTACATGGAATCAGTTGCTTGGATGATGTCTGTGCTAGTAGCTTGAGTTGACCTAAATCCTCCTAAACAGAGCCATCCATTTTCTCAGTCCCCTTGCTCTCCCACTTGGAGATGGTCCTGGAAGCAGAAAAAACAAGGAACACAGCCTGAGTTTATAGGTGCTCCAGCTGCTGTTGAGCAGAGAAGCTTGAGGTGTACGTACAGTTCTGTCATGCGTGCAGAGTGAGCTTGAGCTAATTGAGGTGTACTTTTAACCCAAGGTAGGTACGTCTATAGCCTCTGTGCTCAATTCCCTTTTGTGATATGAAGGTACAGTAATACTTCCCTACTGGGAAAATTATGTCAATGGTGACATTTTGTCACGAGCTGACTCTTCTGTTATTGCACAGGTGCCCTCTGGGAGCGGTTGGTTAAAACCTCCTTGGGGTGTATTTGTAGTAGCAGTAGCTGTGAGGGTGTTCCTGAGAGCTAAAGCAGCCTGTGAAGCACAGCTCAGAGACTAATGCAGCATTTCTAAAGAAACAGAATGAACTTCTCACTGGCTCAGATGTAGCTGTGCTGACCTTATAAAAGGCAACCTCAAAACATCTCTGTGACAGGAAGAGTAGGTATCCATAAGGTAGCAGGATGTGAAAAAAGCTTTGATTTTTTGCATCCTAGAGCTCCAGAAACAATCTGCACATTAAGCTGATTCGGCTTTGAGGCTGAAATAGCAGCACAACTTTGGGACTGACATTTTGGTGTCCCTGAGCACTTCTTTCATCTGGAGAAAGGTTTCTGTAGTCCTGGGGATGTAGAGAGCATATACTTAGTGCTGTGCAGCCTCAGACTTCAGGTGTAACTGCTGTTGTGGTGCCAGAAAGATGCTTCTTGTCTCGTGTGAATATATAAACTACTGTCTGCAGCCCTCCCAAATTGCAAATATTTCTTTGTGTCCAGTTGCAACAAATTTGAAGCAAGATGAGAAATAATTCTAATGTGCCTCTCTTAAAATGTATTATAAACTGCTGTTTTAGCATAGTCACTACTAAAATTAATTTTCTAGTAAACAGAGAAACTTTCTGATGCTCAATTCATTTTCAGTGTAATCTTTTATGCTATGGGTGATTTCATTGCAAGAACCAAATAATTTGCTTGCTACTAAACTCTGAACAGTTTATCAGTTAATCTTCCTCTTTAAGTTAATGTTCTTTGCAGGAATGACAAGAATGAGCAGTGTCAGTATTGAAGGCCAACTGCAGGTTTGGCCAAAAGCTGAGAAGATAGGAGAGAAGATCATGTATTAAAAAATAATTGTACTTCCTTTAAAAGTGACTACTCTTAAAGGACAACTTGTTCTCCAGATTTTAATTTGAATGATGTGCCATTGTATGAAGTTACCCTCAAGTTATTTTAACAAGTCCTCCGATAAAGTATCTCCGATACTTTATAAAATATTTTTGAATTTTGAAGCTCTTTCCTCCTTTAGTACTAGGTGTATTATAGCCGTGGTTTGGATTTTAGTTTCCTAATTGACCAGGGAGGTGCTGGCAGTGCTCTTGAAGCCAGTCAGTCTCCTGCCTGACTTGTGAGCAGCAGTAATTTCTGTAGATAAGTTTTGGAGTTGGGTTCAAAGCATGCACTTACACTCCCGTCTTCTAAGTATATACCATAAAAGCGTGGTTTATTTGAGAAATTTTTGGTTTCTTGGGTGAATGCTAACATTAATTAGTCTAGAGAACGGAAAGATGCCTCTGTTGGAAGGCAGAACTTGTGAACGTGCAGATGAAAATGGGCTGCTGCTCAGTTTTCTCTTCAGAGTTTGTTTATGGCGGCATTGGGTACATAGTTTTGCTTCAAATCAGCGACTGAATGTTGTGATGCCTTTTTAATACAGCTTTGCTTATTTGATGAAAATGCTTAATTCAAAGGCTCGTGCTAGAATACTCAGGTTTCTAAAAAACTAAGTATTTTCCTTCCCATAAACGTGCTCTCAAGATAGTCATTTGAAGGTGTGTAGAGTACTCTAAGATTATTTACGATTTGGCATTTGAATTGTGTATTTTTGTTACAGTATTCATGTGATTGAGCGTCGCGCTCTTCCTGAATTCTTCAACGGAAAAAACAAGTCCAAGACTCCAGAAATGTAAGTAAAATGTGATTATAGGCATGTGAGAGTTCGGCAAGATAAAGGAGGCTTTAGTGTCATGAATCCTTCAGACACTTCCTCTTGTACATGTGTTAAACAGATACTGTCAGTGCATAAAAGAAGGAAAGAGCACTGCACAACTACTACTTGTAGTTTGATAATGTCTGTGCATAGTAGTAGAGGTAAAGCTTTCATTATCAATGCAATAGTTATTAATGATTATCCAGGAAAAAAATCAAACTAGTTTTGCAGAAGTAATATTGGAACAAACTCCTGGACTTTTTTTTTGTGGTACAGGACTTATCTTACAGAGACATGTTAAAAAAAAAAAAATCCTGGTACTGTAGAACCTTAATGATCCTCCTGTTTTTCTTGCTCTCTTTTCATGACACGCTGTGTTTTTGAGACTTGAGAGTTTTGTGTTTCAGCACGGATGACAAGGTTTATTATAGGATGCTGTGTCAGACTGTGGAATGGATTTTCCACAGTTATCTGTGTTGATTTCATGGTTCCTTGAGCAGGTGATGGGTAATTCTGAAAGAAAGGTGAAGGTTGGAAAGTGAATATTAGGTAGTCTGATTAAAATCAGAGAGCTGGAGTTGTGCAGTGCAGGAAGAAAAGCATTTGTTTATAGCTGTTCCAAACCCTCTCGTGATTTTTCAATTCTGATCATGCCTCTTAAATGTAGGCAGAGTACTCTGGGTTGAATTTAGATCCAGTTTGACCCTATCTCATTGCCTTGTGGGGTCTGGTATCTGCAGCAGAACTTAAGTGTTCTTAATTTGAAATTATACAAACACAGTTGTTTGTAAATAGCTTTCAAGAAGTTTTAAAATAAATCACAATTGAATGCTGTCCTGAAATGTTGTAGGTCTTTCCAGACATCAAATTATTAATTTCTCCTCTGATTTAGTGAAGAGACAAGATAGATAAGCTGGTGATTTTGCATCAATTGCTTATTTTGGAAATCTACTGTATATCTGAGGGGTCTTCTCAATATGTTGTAACCTGTGCAAAACTGTGCATTTTTCATACATAATTCTCCAAACTAGCTTCTCTTAGTGCAAATGGTAGTGTTAATATCATCCTGTACTGTTCTTCCAACAGGTAAACAAAACAGAAAGTGTTGTTGTAGCTGAATCTCTTCTCAGGCATGGCTGGTATTTCGCAAGGGTTCTGATCTGCTTTTGAGGTAGAAAAGATTAATTAACCTTTTCAGACTGGGAGACCTCTGACAGTAGCTGCCAGATGCCCAGAGGAGGTCACGGAGAGGATGGAGCCAGGCCTGTTACTGGGACAGCAGGAAAAAAAATAAACTGAAACCCATCAAGTTTGAGGTTGATACCAAGGGAACTTCTTGAACTCTGAGCAAAGTGAAGCATTGGGATAGGGACCTGGAGAAGTTGTGCAGTGTTCTTCCTCGAATGTTTCCTGGCTTACAAGACCCTAATTAACCCAGTCTGGATTCAGTGTTGAGTAGGAGGTTGGCCTAGAGACCTTCTGAGGTCTCTTGTATGCTGACTGATTTTGAGTCTCTGCTCTTTGCTTCCAACTTCTCTATGTTTGAGTTTTGGAGGTAATTCTGTGTCCATAGCAATTCCAAAATGTATTTGACACTAACTCTGCTTTGAGTTTTACTATTCAGTGTATTTTTCTTTGAGGGCTTCCAGTGCTTCGTGTTTAAGGCTGCAAACAGAGTTGTGAAAACACCTTTCAAGGGTTCTCAGCCTTGTTCCTCAAGTTCCAGGTTTGGATAGTTAGTGGATAACTTTCCAGTAGCTGCAGCCAAAACCACAGCACTGGGTACCAGTTTGTGGCCCCCGTAAGTGAGGACACCCAGTAACTGCCTGTTCCTCCTGGGCTGTTGGTTTGTCTGGAGAGAGCTCGGGGACAAATGTGAAGAAACATTGCCCCCTCCAACCTTGGTTGCAGCCTGGTAGCTGGATCTGGAAGTATATTTGCCACTGATACGGGACTCCCTTCACCTCTTATAATCCTGGGGATGTATTTTTGTCCCCGTGTAGGGATTGCAGGAGTAGCACGTGGTCTTGGCACTGTGTTTTGTAACAGAATAAACATACTTCTGCGTGGAAATGTCTTGCCTACAGCTCAGTTTCCAGGCCAAACAAAATACCGTGTCTCAAGAGCTCACACAGGTTCCTTCTTGTGACAGTAGGGCCTGGGGCCTGGTTTCTGTCTGGAAAGGGTTTTAACTAAATACTAGTTGACTTTTCTTTCTTGCTGTTGACAAGTTATAGCTGATGGGGCATGTCACTCTTGAAAACAGATTCCCTTCAGGATAAACTGCAGGGATATTTCTGTCTTAGGCTTTTCTTTCTCCACCTGTTAATGTGACCTTATTATTAAGCTATTAAACTTGTTTCTGCAGCCAAGAGCACTTTAAGGTAGCCTTTCTCCAAGCAGGTGGCAACCCAGTTCTCTCCAGGAACATTCAGAAATCTTCCCAAATATTCCTCCATGGAAGAAGCTCCCTTTTGTTTCTCGCCTACCACAACAACATTCAACACCTGGTCCCATGGTGGTTTTCCAGCAAGTTTCTATATATAACTTTAGAATGGAGGATGTGGGATTTTGGCAGGAATGGGTCCTAGCAGCATCTGTCTGCTTATGTCTTGCCTGTGAAAGACACTGGTGTTCATCCTCTGCATGATTTATATTCTCGAGTATTGAGTGCTGGCTGCATTCAAGATGTTAAATTTTTAATAGGGGGAGGTAGAAATTGTCCATTTATGATACACCTTCTTGAACAGATCTTTGCTTAGGGTCCTTGCCTGTGTCTGTTGGCAGATTTGGTTTTGTTCAATCTAAAGAACAGGGCGAGCAGTAAATTTATGGTAGGTTTTGTTCTGAACAGCTTGTATTAGGAAGCATTGGTACATTCCAGAAACTTATGAAAAAGATCGACCAGTGTGTACAGAGCAGGAAATGGGCTGAACCCCAAAAATTGCTTACTTGGACTGTTGTGCACTGAAGTATGGGAGTCTCATGGGAGTAGCTTCTTCAGCTGTTCCCAGCTCAGTGCGTGGGGAGTGCTGTGCTGGCTTCTGGATTCTTTCCCTCTGCTTTTCAGAGATTTTGTCTTCTCCATTTGGTTCTCTAACTTTTTCCTTGTTGGTATTTCAATGTATAAAAAGTCTTCATATAGGAACAGTAGTGTTCCATCCAGCATACAACTTCAGTTTTTCTGTGCAGCTTTTTTCCTTGCAGGCTCACAGAGAGGACCAACTAGGATTATTTATCCTGTTTCTGTGCCAGGACCAGGCCCTGTTAATTTTTTTTTTCTGCAGCTTGCAGTCTGTTGAGCAAATACTCGGTTAGTGACCAAGTTATAGCTGTAGTCAGAGTGCCTTGGAGTGGGGCAAGAAGGACGACCTGTATTTGGCCTCTTTCCACCGAGGATGCTGTGTCTGTCTTCTAGAAAATTAAAGCCAAAACGGAGTGGGTATACGACCAACTGTATATCCCTGATCTCTGCAAGTATTGTGTTTGTAGTAGAGCAGAAGCAAAGGTGTAAAAGAAGGTGTTAGCTTTCCTCTTCATAATGTTAGTGCTGGAAGAGCACATGTATCAAGGAGTTAACGCATCTTTTACCTTCTGACATACCTGGTTCTAGACTTAATACTACTGCTTTAGGTTGCAATGCTTTGAGTACTCAACAACTACTAGGTAACAATTTGAGCTGTTTAATTTTGAGTTTTACTTGCCCACAACTCTTTGTGTGATTGAGATTTAAGTGTGCTTTGTGCTGCTAAGTTACAGAGAAAATCCAGAATGAAACATCTGGAAGAGATGGATGGACTGTATTCAGTATATAAAACATAAATTCTGCTTGCATATTTTGATACTGATTTCACCTTACTACACTTCATCAATAAAAACTAGCTGGAGGTGCTTGCTTGTCAGTAATAAACATGTTTGGAGAAGGTGAATCCTAAAATACATACTCTAAGCTTTGTTAGACACCAGTGTATGATATGAACTATGTGCCAATTGTCTTTCAGATACCTCGCTTACCGCAACTTCATGATCGACACCTATCGCTTAAACCCTCAGGAGTATTTGACCAGCACTGCCTGCAGAAGGAATCTGACTGGAGATGTGTGTGCTGTCATGAGGTAAAAAGCCAATCAAAAAAAACAACAAAAAAACACTAAAAATGGATTTTTCAGCCATTGCTTTCACTTTAACAAAAAGAAATATAAATGCTCCAGTATGACTGGATAGGTATGGGAAATAGCCATTGGGCTGCTGATTAGCAGACTCTTCCATGTTTTGTGGTAACCAGAATGTTATACTATCCTTTATTATATTTTGTGTGCTGAACCATGCCTATAAAGTTTGGATCTTAACTTGTAATATTTAGGTTCTCCTGTTTAGTACAGTGTGTGGAGTTCTTTTCGTAACTCCTGGTTTTGCAGTTAAATATTGTTGGTTTTATATGTTGGTTTCACCAGTCTGAAGTTCTGAGGTACAGCAGGGTCCTAGAGTTTGGAACTTGCTAAAAGTAGATCCAGTGAAGTACAGCTAGAGATAGATGAGGGAATCAAACCAAGGGTTGTGCAGCCTTCACATGGATATTCCATCTGCACATGGCTCCATGCATGCAGCCCTGTCTCTGCTTTGCCTTTGTCTTGATTTCCTGTTATCTCAAACCAAAATGTCATGCTTTGTTTTAGCTAACACACTGAAGTGATACTCTCAAGTCTGCACAAAGCTCGTATATAATATGCATTGGTCATTGTGATCAGTGGAGGATTTTAGGAGATTATGGACCAGTTTGATCCCAAACCAAAGCTGCTTCCTTCGCTGTCTCCTTTCTAACCAAAATGGCTTTGTTAAGATTTTAATTTGTCCTGTTGTCTCATAGAGTACATGCTTTTCTGGAGCAGTGGGGTCTCATCAACTACCAGGTGGATCCAGAAAGTCGTCCCATGGCCATGGGCCCTCCTCCTACTCCTCATTTCAACGTGCTCGCAGATACACCCTCTGGCCTGATGCCTCTCCACATCCGCACTCCCCAGGTGAGCCCCACGGGTGGCACAAACTGTTTTTGCCTTAGATATGGGAAATTTGTAGCTCTAGCCAGTGTCCTGGAACATCTTAATAGAATAATGTATGCGTGCTTTGCTGAAACGTTCTCCATCTAGGTTTGGGGCTTCAAGTAGTCAGATTCTCCAAAGTCACGCCTGTTAGTGTTGTGTGTAAGTGATACTGTGTAAAGACATCTCTATAGGTCACATTCAGCTTTTTTGTTCATTTTTGTTCTGCTTAAAGTTGGTCTGAAAACCTTGAATAGCTTTCAGTTCCTGACCCTCTGACCTGTCTTTTGTTCTGTCTGTTTGCAGGTTCCAGCTGCTCAGCAGATGCTGAGTTTTCCTGAGAAAAACAAAGAGAAACCTACTGATCTGCAGAACTTTGGACTTCGCACAGATATTTACTCAAAAAAGACTTTAGCAAAGGCAAGTCTGTTTGTTTTTGTTTTGTTTTTTTCCCCTGTGGCTTCTATTAAGCATTCTTCCTTAATTGTCCTCTACTAGATGACAGTGAAATGTCTTATGTTACTCTGTTTAGAAACCTGTTTTAGGTTTCTTCCTTCTCAATGTAGAATATTAGCATGCCTCACTCATAGTTGTATTGGATACCCAGTTTTGTAGAAGTGAAAATCGTGTGCCTATCGCAAGCTACTCAGTTCTGTCAGTCTCCAGACACTGAATTCATGTTACGTTTTCTGGATGTTTTACTTGAATGCTTCAGAATCAACAAACTTACAAATAATTCAATACTGAAATCAAAATCTTTCAGCAGCATCTTTAACTGTCCTGTTTTCCAAGTCTGAGCAAGGTTTTCCAAACGGAGAGCTAGAAAGCCATTTAATGACAAAAGGTGTCACAAAACCATTGTAGGGGACTTATTAGCACTGTCATTGCAACATACTGTATAATTAGTTAAGTTCTGAGATGCCGTTGCAGTGATGCTGCTGATTCCATAACCTGTTGACTTCAACTCCTGCTGCTGTCTGTTACTTGCGTGGGTACTTGATAGTGCTTGAAGCTACTGGAGGAATATGAGCTTAACACTTCAGCATAGCCTTCAGTCTGGAAGGTCTGCAGTGTTATGCTGATTAATGCCTCTCTCGGGTTGATGTCAGGCTAATTCTGTGTCAATGGTTTCTGTAAGTACAATGATTATTGTGCTAAGAGATCATATAATAACTGTATTAAATTGGAGGGAGAAAAAAACACTACAACACCACACAATGTTTTTAGAGATCAGCATTTTTTTTATAGAGCCTGATTCCACATCACATTTCATGGAGTGACAAATTCTTTTAATTTAGAGAGAAATATTTACAAAGTTCATAAACCTTTCAGTGATTCTAGACTTTGGTTCTGTTTGCAAGCATCTGTAATAAATTTGAGCACACTTACTTGCAGAAGCTGATTTCCCTTTTTGCTTTGCATGTTTGTGGCAACTGCAATTGTGGCCATTCATGCCAGCCTGCTTGAGAACTGATCAGTACCTCGATAGCTCACTTTGCTTAGTATTTCCTGTGGGCTAATGTTATTTTTGAAATGCATGTTGAGATAGGATAGATTTATGTACCCCTTTTCCTTCTGGTGTGGTTTTACACAGAGACATCCAATCTAGATAAATTTATTTTATAAGCAGTTGACAATATGATTTTGTCTTTATTTGATGTGTATAGATTAGGGTTACTGTAATAGTGGAAAAGTTTTCACCAAGAGTTTTGTAGCTTCTAGGAAATTTGAGATGTTAACCCCAGGGTGCAAATTTGGGAGAAGTAACGATTGGAGCAAGTGATGGCTAAATATGCAGATTATCTTGCTACTACTACTGCTGTCTTTTCAGATAGCTCATCTCATTATCTGTTAAGATCTTTTTTCTCTCTACGGAGTTACTGCTTTTAGATAGCTGAATGGTATGTGTTGTTTTTTCTTTTGTTTTTGGACCAACCTGTGCTTTTACACTATCCAGTCTGCCTTGGAAGTATACCAAAGGTTTGAGAGGTGCTGAAGTTTGGTTGACATAACCCCTACTCTGTCGAAAAATGTGCCCTTTAAGCTGACAGTAGTCCAGTTGTGCCTGAATCGAGTAATTCTGTCTCCCTGACTGAGAGCAGCATCCATCTTCTGCACAGCAGCTGATGAGGGGCAGTTAGATATCGTGCTCTGTCTGTTAGCTGCTGCTGTTCTTTGGTGGGAATTGTAGAATGCTCTGTGTAAACTGCTCTGTTCTTGACTTAATTTCACTGGCCAAAGTCAAACTGACAGGAATGCCATCAACTTTCCCGAGGATTTTTATTATATAGAACGTCATCTTTTCAGTTGGCTGTATTTGCATGCAAGGATAGGTGGGAGCCAGGAGAAAAGGGTACCAAATCTGTACCCCCCCAACCTCCCCAAAACCTGTGGTAATGCATTTCCCAGCATGTTTTAGCCATGTTAAGTAAACTTGTGAACTGAACTTGTGTGTTAGATAATTAGGCAGTGGTGAGCTGTAGAAGAAATGTTTTAACAGGTAGGTGCTTTAGATATTGAGTGGATCAAATAACAAAAGATTCTTCCCCTTTGTTCTTTTTTTTTTTTATCTTCTGTGCAAAGAAACGCATTTCACTCTTTTTTCCCCTTGTCTTTTGTAGAGTAAAGGTGCAAGTGCTGGAAGAGAATGGACAGAACAAGAGACGTTGCTGCTATTAGAAGTAAGTTCATGAGGGGGAAGGAATTCTTACATAACTGGAGGAGGAGTGTGGTTGAGTATCTGTGTGTACAAAGCTGCTGGTCTGTCTCTTGTGACTGTGGCTTCTGAACTGGTGGTAAAAGGTTACAGCTCTCCCTCGAAACCCTCTCTGTATTTGACCATCATTGCTACAAGAATGCAACTACTAAAAAGAGATGGTAGTAACATCTGTGTACTCAAGGGACTTCATGAACTTTAAGGTTCAGTTCTATTGAACTTGTATCTGCAACCCAGAAATTAAGCATTTGGGAATGTGTGCATAAACTCAAGAACAGATCTTGCAACACAGAGAGGTCTTCTCAAGAATTACACGAGATAACTGGAGTCACGTTGGTACCCTGAAAAATAGGTCAAAGAACGGTTGGCACACTAGATCAGGTCTTTGTCTCCAGATTGCTTAGTCTGAAGCTGTTGAATACGATAATTGAATCTTGAATTTCTCTTGAATTTCCTACCTGGGATGAAAACCATCACACAAGGTGTACTGCATAAGTACGTTCTGATCTTTCCTACTGGTGTCAGGGCAATGTGGTTTTTCATAGCGCTTTGTCAGAAGACTCTAGGTGGCCTGAAATAATTAATCTGCTGCCATTTCCTGTAAAAAGAAAAAAAGAAAAAAATATATATAATCTTCTACTGAGCTTTCTATTACAATATTTTCTTGGGGTAGATACTGGGTGGGATGTTTTTCTTCCTTTCATATAATCCAGTTTTGTTACAATTCAGGGTTTTTGCGAAATAATTCCATTTCGGGATTTTTCTTTTGTTTGTTTTTTAACTTACAGATAGCTTAAACTAGCATGAAGCTCTGTGATTGCTCTGGCTTTTTTTGTTGTTAATAAACCCATTGAAAAGTTAAGAATCTTTATATGACAAAGTGTGAGCAATGGATGTGAACAGTGCTGAACAATACTAAACTTTTGTGCTACTTCTTTTCTGAACTAGACAAAGTGCCTCAGCAGCAGCATGCTTTGATTCAGCCTTCACAGATACAGAAAGCGTGTTCATCAAATAGCCAAAACAGGTTTTTTTTATGTCAGACTGCACACTGTTTAGCCCACATTTTTGTGTCGGCATGTGGAAGAATTTTGCTTACAGGGTGAAAACAGCTAAGATATTGTTCGTGGTGTTCTTGTATGGAGCAAACTTAGGAGTAATATCTTGATACACTGTCGTCGTTGCTTACTGTTATTAAGATTTAAGATTCATTCTTTTATGTGTCTGTAACTTATGATCATACACAGCAAGTAGTAGCCTAATTAAATAATCCAGATGGCGTATTCATTTTTCTTTTAAAGAAAAAAAAAAACCTCAAGTCTTGAGATTGCAAATTTATTTAATGTGAGTTTAAATTAATAATGTTCTTCGTGGATTTATCCTATGAATAAATCAGTGAAGAGAGTATATCAGTTCAAGCATAAGTAATTCAGTTATAACAAGGCAGCCCAGTCCAATTAAATCCTCAGGGTAGCTTTGGGCAAATATACATGCAGTGGAGTTCCAAAGAATAAATCGTATCTAAAATAATTATTGTCCTTCCTCCCGTTGACTGAGTGAATAGGGGACGCGGGGGAATCTCGCTCCCCTCCCAGAACCATCTTCCCTGCCACACTGCTGCTCTGCGTCTCCGTGGAGTTGAAGGCACTTTCAGCTATTTATAGTAAGGACAACTGTTGGGAGAGCTCGTTTGTATAGCAGAAAAATAGGTAATGAAGGAGAAGGAGAGAAAAAAAACCCTGCATGGCCATAAAAAGCAAAACTTCATGCAATATGCCAGTGTGACTAACGACGGGCAGACAAAGACACCCAACTTGAGATGGAATTAGGGAAAGTGAAATTAATGTTGAACATCAAATAAATACTTCCCCATGAGGATGACCTAGTGAACTGAGGAGTTTGATTTCTTTAAGCACTGGGGCAAGATCAGAAGGAGGTGAAGGAGGTCAGGCGAGGTTTATAAGCAGTTAGGGACCATTGATCGCCGCGGTATTGAGCGGGCTGTCCAACGTGGCTCGTCCTTTGTTCATTCCCAAGCCAAAGTATTCTTTCTGCAGAGCTGTTAAAACCCCTCTCTTTGTCTAGTTTGTGGTCTGCAACAGTTTCTGTATTGTTCTTTCCATCCTAGGCTCTGCTGGAGCACAGCCTTCCCTCCTTCCCCTTCCCTCCTTCCCTTACTCTGCTGCTTGCCCATTTAATCTTACACCCCGTGTTTTGGGGCCGGAGCAGGGAACCAGTGGCCTTCTGAAGGTGTACTGGGGTTGGCTCCCTCCTCCCCACCCAATTTAAGTAATGAGGTTTTTGAGAGAAATACAAGACTTCAGCAAGGTAAAGCTTAAACCACTTCCAGGTCATTTTTCTGGCTTTCAACATCCACAATGTGCCCAAGTGCACAAGTAAAAAGCAAGTTGACTTCTATGCCAACTCCATTCAATTTGAAATTCAAATGGGATCTGTAAGTCAAGGCAACAGATGTTTACTGTTCACATGCAGCCTCTAGGATTAAATATTTTCGGGAGACTTCTGATAGGCCTTTGTTTGAGTTTGCAGATTTGTTTATTTTTCTTGTTTGGTTCGTTTAACTTAATAGGTCTAGAAATCAAATTGGTTTTTACTTTGCCTAGGTGACTTGATCATTAATCATATCAATAATGTAAAAGTTGTTTAGGATACTTAAGCTCTAATTTTATGCAATCTGAATGTTTAAATAATTAAGGTAGTTTTCAACAACAACAAAATCTGCTGAAGGGTAATATTACATTAGGCTAGCACTTTTTTATGGTACTAATTTATTAGTTTTTTTTTTTCTTGAAAATTAATGCCGAATCTTTGGTGTCTCATATTTGTTAAATTGTTTAATTGAGGCTTGGCTGAAGTAACTTCAAAAGTGACTGGAATTAAGGATTACAAATCTTTGACTTAATCTGGAAGGTCCTTACTTTATCAGGTGTCTTACCTGCATAATAACAATTTCTTAACTTGAATACTTGCTGAGAGTTGGACTGGGTTGTAGTTCCTAGAAAGCTGATCCCTTTTTGCTTCATGCTACGGAATATATTTTCCTTTTTTCCTTGGTGTACTTTGATGCTCTTTTGTTTTCATTACATCTGCTGGATATTTAAAATGGACTTCATCATCATATACAGTGCAAGTAAAATAAACACCGTTCCTGCCCCAAAGAGCTTGGTGACTTCAGACATTAATTGGAGAGCACAAGAATGCCACTGCGGGGAGTACTGGGGGGAATTAAAAGAATTTGCTGAGGCTTTGTAGGATAAGCAAACTATTTCTCTGTGAAGTTTGTCATGTGAATGCAAAATGGGGAAATGCTAACTATTCAAATCTTACTATTAAATCCAAAGTCTTCTGACAGTTCTCTTTGGTATAGTAACAGCACAAAACTCACGTAATGCTCTCAGAAGCTTAACTCATGTGCCAGCGAGATGTGTGTTCTTCTGCGGAATAATTTCACTACTGAAAAATTAGGATTTAAGTAGTTGTTTGATTCTATTGTTGTTGCATCACCAAAATAACTAGCATCAAAAGTCTTTTTGCATAAAGCAGCAGTGTTCTTTGTGTTTGTTTTTTTTTTTTCTAGATTAGCTAATGTATATACCATGATCTTCATCTTTTACAGGCTCTGGAGATGTACAAAGATGACTGGAACAAAGTCTCGGAGCACGTTGGGAGCCGTACCCAGGATGAGTGCATTCTCCATTTTCTGAGGCTTCCTATCGAAGATCCCTATTTGGAGAACTCCGATGCATCCCTTGGCCCGCTGGCTTACCAGCCCGTTCCTTTCAGCCAATCTGGCAATCCCGTGATGAGTACTGTTGCTTTTCTGGCATCGGTGGTGGATCCCCGGGTGGCATCAGCTGCAGCAAAGGCTGCATTAGGTATGAATTTGCCCCAGAAGTTTTTTTTTCACCTTGTCTGTACAATATTCTGCTGTGTCAGCCTGCTCTTAGAATCAACTGCTTATAGAGGTTATTCAGGATGGATAATAAGTTCTTCAGGTCTGCTAATACCCAGGTTTGTGTTCTGTTGTTACTGAACCCACCAGTTTACAGACAAGCTAGAATAACTCCTAAAAGCCACTGAAAATCTGAAGAGGGCTGGCATCCCCCCTTCTGTGCTCATTGAGTAGTAATGGTTTGCAAGCACTGCCCTGTAGTTGGTGTTGTGTGTGACCACTGTTGTTATTTAGCTCTTTAAAAATGCACAGTGCTAAACCTGTAGTTTTCCTGTTTTAGCTTGTGTTAAAATTATAAGCCATGGTTATATTCCCTAAGAAACTCAATGAAATTGTTCCTCTTGCTTTTTTATTTATTTTTTCATGTAAAAAGCATTTTATGTAACTGGAAGGAGAATCTCTTCTACCTGATTTGAGTGAGAAAATTAATTAAAGTGAAAAGAAGGAACATTGAAAATTAAGAATGCATTTTGTCACAAGATTTACCTGCATGCCTCTCTGAGAAAATAACTTAAAATTTACCATAAAATGCATGCAATATGACATATCTGTGTAATTTTTAACAGAGGAGTTTTCTCGAGTCAGAGAGGAAGTACCACTGGAGCTAGTTGAAGCTCACGTAAAGAAAGTACAAGAAGCAGCACGAGCCTCTGGGAAGGTGGATCCAACGTACGGGCTGGAGAGCAGTTGCATTGCTGGAACAGGTCCAGATGAGCCGGAGAAAATCGGTAGGCTGTCCGTCGGTTCTACGTTTTGCAGAAATATCTGCAAATCAGATTTTGGCAAGCACTTTCTGACTCGTAATAAACCTTAGGTTCGCCTCCAACGGGAGATGGGAATGGTGGTAAGGAGCGCGTGTGACAGGCCATTCCACTTCTACTCTCTGCGGATTATTAACTCCTGACAATGAATTAATGAACTTAGGGCCAGCTTTAGTTTTAGCCGTTTGTTTTCCTACTGCTGGCTAAGTGAAAATGCCATCGCTTGGGATGTGTACAAGTCGAATGGGCAAAAACACCAGAGTGGAAGATTTCATGCCAGTTCCATGAGCATGAGAGCAGTTGAATGATGATGGCTTTCTAGCATCATAGTTATGGTAGAGCAAACAGAGGTTTATTGGCTCTTTGTGCTCCAGCTGAGCCTATAATGTTCTGTCACACCTTTTGGCAACTAGTTTTAGTGTAAGTATTGCACAGGGTACACTAACTGGTGGTAGCAGAAGAGCAGCTTTCTATTAAGAGGTGAACTGGTACCTGGTGGTTCTTGGCTCTGGCTGTTGTACGTTACACTGCGTACTAACAAGCTCTTGTTTTGGAGTTCAACTGAACTATTTTCTGTAGTATTCAACAGCTATTGTGGTATGAAGTTTGTTATCTGCAACTTTGACAGTTGCAAATTTTTCACTATGGTGAGTAAAGGTGCATCTTGCTGCAACTCCCTATAAAGCTTTGTGCAACCCCATTCCGTCTCTGTTTTGGCTCTTCTACAGCAGTGAAATGAGTGCAGGGGGACGTTCAGCTACCTACCTGTTAACTTTCCCAAAGACTTCCATCCTCCTGCGTTTGGTACAGATCTACCAGCTTGTCAGTACATCTTAATTTTTCTCTCCATCATTGTTGGCTGCTGTTTTCTTCAGCTTACCACAAGCTGTTTTGGAGAGTTTAATGACTGCATCTTTAAATGTCACTGTAACTTTGGATAAAACTGAATGGAATATAATCTGGGTCAACTGGGAGGCTTGATTTGGGCTGTGCTAGTGTGTCTCCTACTTGACCTGCTGTCACCCTCTGTGTAGAGGCATGAGCCTCATAAGATTTAAAAGTAGTGTGTAACTCATTAATGTGTTTCTTAAATGGAAAAAGAAATTAACAGGCCACTCAATCCTTCTCATCTTTTTTTAGTCCTACGCTCAGTGGGACAGACTTGATATCAGGCAGCTCGGTGCTTTGGAAAGAGAGAACATGTTGGAAAGGAAACACTGGCATCTGGAGTATCTGCAGTGCTCTGCACAGAACTGTCAAAAAGCATCAAAGCTCTGTTGAAAGTTCAAGGGGGTTGGTTTTATTTTCAAGTCTACTATGAAACAAATCTAGGTGTTACTCCATCTGAGACTAGGTTTAATGTGATGACTGCTTTTAAAGTAAACTAAGCTTAGGCTTATACATACACATGTTTTTTTCTGCTGTGGCTCTGTTCAGCTCTTCCCTGTTTTCTGAGTACAGGTTTCACTGTAGTATGCACATTAAGGACCTCTGTATCTTGTACACTTTGAGTCTTAATACTTAATTCTGCAGCACAGTGGTGGAAGTTTATCATCAACATCATTAGTGATATCGCTGGTCTGGCAGCCCTGTCTGTAGGAGAATTTGCACACAAGTTGCAAATAGCAATTCTGAAGTGCCTGTCATTTAATATGGGGAGTTGGAGAGCAGATGACCATAACACGATTATTTCTGAATGAGCTGTGTGGTGAGTTCTCTAAGTAATACTGTCCTGTTATAGCTAATGCGATTTGTATTGGGCTGTGACTAATGGAATAAATTAGGACAACAGCAGATGGTTCTCCCTGGGGGAGCTGCTCAGCAAGAGTGAACTGGGTCACTCCGCAATCTGCAGCGCCTTCCACCTCCAAAACAGCTTTGCACTGGAGGGCGTAGGGGAATCCGTGGCTTGCACGTGCAGAGGTGTGTTGGGTGTTGAAGTGCAGCGTTGTGGTGTGTAACTGCTGAAATGGAGCCCTTTGGCATGACTAGACCCGAGGTATTGTATCTACACGTCACCACAGAGAACTAAAAATGTCTACGGAGGGTTCCATGCTGTAATTAAAGCTCATCAGTTGGTGTGTTTTAGAAATAAAATTATACCATAGCTCCGCTGTCTTTTGAAAGCTCTTAATATTGGCGAATTGTAGGCAGCGTGGAGTGTGAAAGGGGGGAAATGGGGCTGGAAGAGATTCCTGGAGCTTACATCGATATCCAAGAATCTCATTCTCGTCCTCATTGTTCAATTTCTAAAGGCTGATGATGATTCTTTTTAGATTCATGTTGTAAAGCTTTGTTCGAATTAAGAACGGACTCGAGTGGTTCAGATTCTGTGATAAGCGTGGCGGGTGCTGGCTTTTAGTTTCCAAGATGCTGCCGCAGCTGTGGGTTGTAGATTGTGGTGGAGGAGATTCCCTGCGTTTGTTTTATTGAGTGAATGGAGGAGAGCAAACAAAGGAGCCTGTTCTCCATCCAAGCCAGGGATTTTGCTCCAGAGAAGGGGAATATTTAGTGCACCTGTGGTGCGTAGTATCCCTCTTAGGTCTTTACTGAGTACGTGTGCTTTCTTAATAACTTTCCAAAGGTGATTAACTCCGCTGCCTGCATAGATGTGCATTGAATTAGGCACAGGGGAGTCTCTGAAGTGCCTGTGTTGGAGGCAGTTACTCGTGGATTGTAGAAATACTCTACCAAGTATTTCACTGGAAGCATTTCCACTGGCACAAGTGCGCGGAGGCCTCCAGCTGTAGCTCATCTGTGACAGCAGGCGCTGGGGGGATGGTGTCTGATTTAGGGGCTCCCCTACAACTGTAAGCGACTTAAACAGATGATTGAATTTAACACTTTATGGACGATCGTGTAACGTTCTCAAATACACATAGCAGAAAACATATACAGAAGAAGCTATTTTGCTTCATTTTTGGCAGGATGATTTCTCAGGCGGTCCCTAGGGTGTGCTTTCACTCTGAAATAACGCACGCATTACTAAAATAAACAGACACTGAACAGTTCCTTCGCTTTGCATGCGTGCAGGTGCCTGTAAGCTAGCTCTGTGCTGTTAGAGGATTGAGCCCATCAATCCCCCCATCAATCCCCTTGTGGTGGACTCACACAGCTTCATGAATCTGGAATTTCTTCTCTGTAGCAGCCTTGGGGCCACCGTGGCATCCATGTGCGAGCTGCCTGGGGCGGTGGCAGAGGAAGCTCTGGTGGCCATTGAGTCCTGACTTTCTTTGAAAGATAGAAATGATGGCTTAGATGGTAACGTATTTATCACGTTCAGACCCAGGATTTTTCTCCAGCTATGCTATATTTCCTCTCAATTCAGTATTAATAGCTAAGGCTGACTTCTGACACGTTGCACGTGTCACCTTATTGAAAACAAAGGGGAAGGGATGCCTCGCGGGCAGCTCGAAGCTGGCTGCTGAGCTGAAACTCCTGCGTGGTGCTCTGCATTTATATGTAGGGTTTGGCTTCCTGTTCTTCTAGCAACAGCAGAGGCTACTTATCTGCCTGTGCTGCGAGTGTCTGCTTGCTGGTGATGCAGTAAATTATGACAGTGGAAATTTTATGGTTCCCCTTGCTGACCTGAAGTCGATTTAACTTCTTTGTAGAGTCACTGGGCTCCGTCAGAAGGCAGTGATAAATTCTTCATGTATTAGAACACGGCCCCCCCTGCTCCTGGAGATAACATGCAAAGCAGAACAAGTTGCCGTAGAGCAACAAATATTTGCTGCTTCAGGTGTTTGAAGAAGGGCGTGGAGAGGCAGTGCTTTCTCCTCTGCAGGTGCTTTCTTCCTCTAGAGAGATGCCTTGTGACCATCTGCCTGCTGTTGATTTAAGAAATGCCATTAATTTCTTTTCCCGCATCCTGCAGGTTTCAAGGTATGATACCAGACCTGGCGAAGTGTTAAAGAGCTTCACTCGTGCCCTGTAAAAGGGATTATTGGGTCTTAAAGTTCTCTTCTCCTTTTTTATTAGGAACACGTATCTCTAATTAATCAATCCTCGTTTTCATTGTCAGTTCTGTTTTCATTACCTCATTCAATTACGTCGTTGTGTTTTTAACCTCTTTCAATCATTAAGGTGTTTATATCTCACTGAAATGCAGGAGTAATTTCTGTTATTCTCATGCAGAGGCTCAGAAACACGGTGTTTTTTTTTTTTAAAATTTCTTCATACTTGAATTCAAAATTAATTTTTTTGAAGCTCTAATTGCTTAGAGGTACTTCCTGTAGCCCGTAAGCTAGAAACAAACCTGCTTGAATCCCAGTAAACTTATTTAATGCCCAAACTAATAACTGATTGCTTTTTTTCTTACTACATGTAGTATTTCAGCACGGTCTCCTCGACGTGTACAGGCACGGAATGGTTTATGCCAGTGGGAACCGCAGAGGCGTAGCGCTGTCACTGCAGATAGCGGCTCGCTGGCTAATAGAAGAGAACAGTTTTCAAAAGCCATTGACTACAACCTGCCTAAAGTTGTCATCCTGATTTTAAAATAACATTTGATCTTCTAGCCAGGACTCGAAAACCTAAGCTAAATCAGGATGTTCACAACAATCTTACTGTCACACACACACACCTTCCAACTCTTCCTGTAGCTGGATGCGTCCCTCTGTAATACAAAAGCGTGCTGAGCTTAGGGAAAGGTTTGCTAGATGTAGCAGGGGAGAGTTGAAGGGCACTTGCCTTACTGAGAGATGCTATATTTGCTTTTTTTTTTCTTTGAGATTTTTTTTTAAAGGTTGGGGGGAAAGAGTTTGCCCTCTTAGGGTGCGTGTTTGCCTTGGGACGGCTTCTGTGGCAGGAATCGCTCAACAATGGTCTACAAGTAAAAAATAAATGCTTAATAAAACTTGCCCCAGTACGCACAGGGATTTAACAGCAAATGCCTTCGACCCCATGCTTGATAGGTAGCACGTTGTAAACCTCCACGAACTCGTCCTGTGCTGATATCTTTGCTTTCTGCAGGTAATCACGCGTTGTTAGTCACTGCTCCTCTTTATCTCGGGACTGGAAACCTTGACGTGCATCGTAATCAGAAAACCAAAACCACCACCCCAAGCTGATCTTAGGGTAGAAAGAGAAGTCAGTCCTATCTAACAGACCCAGGAACAAACTGGCTTTTTGGATAGAGCGGGAAGATTTGTGTCCTACAGAACTTGACTTTATGGTGTTCTCAGGGGCAACTTGCGTGATTCTTACCTCCAGCTTTCTATCACATATGACCAGGAATGTGTATCTAGCTGGGAGTGCTGTCCCCCATTTGGTGATCCTGAGCAAAAGGCATGCAGTTGCATGACAAAAACTTTGTAGAGATTTTTTTTTTTCCCCTTCCAGCAGGCTATAAAGGTGAGGCTGCAGGTTTGTGGGGACTGCTCAGACTGGAAGCCCTTGGGAGGTGAGAGCAGCGCGGTGGTACGGGGTGCTGAGACCTGAGTCCAGGCTGAGGAACCTGAGCTGCAGGCTGTCAGCTTCCAGAACAGCAAACGAATCATCACCTTATGAGCTCTTAAGACAGACATCACCTCTTTTCTACTTAAAGCTCCAGTTTATGGACATTTTTTTGTAGCCTGCTTTACTCTGAGCTTCAGAACTGCTCTGCTCCTCCCTGCGTTTAAGTTCTGGGTTGTTCGTGCAGACCTTTTTTCTTTCAGTTATACTGTATCCTTATGGTAGGAATGACACTTCTAAGCACAGGTTGGAGCTCTGCTTCTAGGTTTGAAACAGCTGGCTGAGAAAATCTAACCTAGGTTTCCCCTGAGTTGTTTCTAGGTCACCAAATCCTAACTTGGAGTTACAACTTCTGAGAAGGTGTGTCCCTATCCACAACGAAGTTAGTTTTGGTGGCAGATACTTCAGATAAGTAGGTTTATCTGCTTTAAACAAGCCAAGAGGAAAACCATCATCTCTGTCAGACATTGTTATTTTTTCTATATATATTGAAGGGATTCTTGTAAAAACCTTTCTACAGAACTATTACTGTTGAAGGAAAGCATTTTGTGCATCTGTTTTGCTTCAGCGTAGCACATGGGAATTCCCAGTAAAGTAAGGGTTACAGAAAATGAGCACCCTTACACTAACCAAAGTCTTCAGAAGCTTAGAGATGGATAAAGGCTTTTCACCAGCAGATTTATACTGGTATGAAGGCATATGCTGGAGCCAGTGATCTAAATAAGCTCCCTTTTTAATGCCTCCATACATGAAATTTTACTGGTGTCAGGTCTTTTGGGTCTCAGGTCCCAGACAAAGAGTACAGGATTGTGCTGAAGTTTCCCTTTTGTTCTTACAGAACATCTGGGTGCTGCAAACAAATCGGTTTTTCTTGGTCTAGTAAACAGTCCATATGGGAAATATATTGGGAAATAGTACTACATTATTCAGATTCCTTTGTGGTATTTGCTATCAATGCATTTGTTGTTATCCTCTTACCCTGAAGAGACCTGCTTTCGTTAGCAGGAACGTTTAATTAAATGTTCTATAAAGGAATAAATGAATGAACCAAAGGCTATAAACAAACCAAAAGATCTGTCCTGAGGACAGGGATATACTAACCCCTGTTAAAACACTTCTCTTACAGGGTGCATGCATCCAGCACGTGGTAACAGCTTTACTGCTGTAGCATTGACAGAAGATGGATTTTTTTTTTTCTTTTGCCTCGTTTTAGTCTCGCATACCAGTTAGGCTATTTATTATCTCCCTTTGCAGATGCCAAAATTAGAAGGGATGATAACTGGTCAGCTGGTACTCAGACAGCAGTCTGTAACTCAAGGGGGTCTGGCTCCGTTTTGGCAGAACCCTTCAGATGTCTCTGTTGTGGCTGTTTGAATGCCACACAGACAGTAAATAAGAGGTTATTAGCTTGAAGAGCTCAGTCTCGTCAGCCAAAAAGCAAAATGAGCAGCAGCAGGAAGCATATAGTCGAGTATCGAAGCTGAGGCTGGGCACTCCGAAGGTGCTTGTGGTCAAGGTCAGGTTTTTCTGTGTGTCTGGGAAACTCATTTTGGGTTCAAAACATGAAGAATGCGTAAAAGGCAGTGGGTGGCGTCCAGACCCACACATCCAAAGCAGTGAGAAACCTGCCAAGTGTCCAAATGGTTCACGTTATGTGCTTCTAGCTTCTTGTGACAACGCCGTTGTGTTCTTTGGTGTTAGCACTGAAGGCACACACTAGCTCTGCTTTTTCAGAATATCTTGGAAATCGTGCTCTTTACAAATCTGGGAGCGTTATTTTCTTGCTCTGTACCAAACCAACAACCAGCTCTTATGCTCAGAGGCCATTCATGGCTTGTTGAGTGCCTGGCTGGGAAGCTGCAGTTGGGTTTTTAAGGAGTTGTAATAATGTTTTGTTCTCAGAAAGCAAATAAAGCGTTTGGGTTTAACTTGGATCCCTTCATTGATCTTTCTTCAATACAAAGCCTCAAGTATTGCTCTCATTTCAGCTGAGGAGGAAGCAAGAGAGTGAATGATTAAGGCCTGAGTGAGAGGATTGTCCAAGAACATCTATTGCAGGGCACCTTTTGGACCAGTTTCTTTGACTCAAGCATCATTGTTCAGTTCTGATTCACTGGGACCCGTAGTTCTACATCGCATGTGAAATACCTGGAAAATCGATTCGATTGTCTGTAACCACACGCCGTGCCTGGCATCAAGTGCTAGCAGGCAGTAACGAGATATTTGGCCTCGTGTGCTCTGTGCTGCTCCCCTTTTGGTAACTCATACGATGTAGGAACTCAAAAACATCTTCATTCTTCTAAATGTGTTTCTGAGGGCTTGAATACTTCTCAGAGTGCTCTGGGGGGAAACATGCTTTGAGGTACGCTCAGGGTCGGGCTGTATCTGGGAACCCGGTGATCATGGTGTTTGTTTAGGGAGCAGCAGGTACCAAGGATGCAAAACGGGGCACGGGGCTGGGTTTCAAGCCAGAACCTCCAAGGAGAAGAATTGCTTGCCTCCAGCGCTTTTTGGGGCAAAAAACAGCAAGAGGTGCTTAGTGTTTAACAACAGTGTCAGCTTTAACAAATTGGCTGGGGCTCAGTATTACTTTGGTGTTGAATAATTATTTTAAAGCCTGCTTTGGCAACCTTCAACGCAGAACTCCGGTGTTTTTACCACCTGCAAGATGCAATTTAGATCTTCAGTTGACCTGCAACGCGCGACAGTGCTGCTGGGTGGACCTTTCATCAAAAGCAGCTCAGGGGATCTTGTGCTAAGGAGGAATTACAAGTCTGGCAGCACTGTAATTGAGGTTAATCATGCAGCTGACAACCATCTACAGAATCAAATTGGCTGTATTGGGAAAAACATTTTATAATACTTCGACTTACCAATGGGAATTACTGTATGACTTGAATACTGCAGAGCTGTACATTATACTCTTCTTTATGTAACTAAGATAGATTTGGGGTTTTCTCCCTGTGTGGGTAAATTGGGTGTTTGAGTAGAGCGCAGATAACTTAATGCTTTGTCCTTCTTGTTGGACTGTAAATAAAAGCCTGTTAAATTTAAATGTGCGAGTAAACTTGATGTTTAAAGTAAGATTAGTGTAATAGAATTGGGTTTTCCAGGAGTTCAGTGCTGTATGGCTTTCTTCGTAAGCTACTGTCAGTAGAGAACAGAAAATTTCAGTTAACTCTGAAATAAGTATAATAAGTGGATGTTGTGACAATTCTAAGGACTTTATTTATATTCTCAGATGGAGCTGAAGAAGAAAAAATGGAAACAGAAACAGATGGGCAGCAGTCTGAGAAGGTAAGCTTAGTTCAGCATGCTGTTTCTGCAAAGATACTTCTGATACTTACAGACCTGAGTTACTAAATTCCAAAGTGTCTGCTGAAAAAAAGGTAGGTGGTAGTGTGCTGGTCAGTCCTTAGTGAATTAACTTCCCTAACAGTTCCCAGTGTTCCTAGTACTTCATTTTTTAATGAGTGATTAAGTCACGGAGATGTTGCTTGTGCTGGACAAATGGCTGGCATGTTTTTTCCTAGTCCTGAGAAAAAGTTGGGACTGGGAGGAAATGCAAAGCAGGCAATATCAAACTAATTGTAGAGACTTAAGCTGCAGAAGGACATTGGTTTGTTCTGGTTCATGACTTGTAGTAGTCCAAAGCAAGCATCACTTTGAAGTCTTGCCCTAGAAAAGTTTGTCTTTTGGCAAATTGCCTTTCCGAAGTTGAATACAGCTTTCAGCTCCGTCAGGATTAGAGAGATCAGGGCTTTCCTGGAAAATGGTGAGTTGTTTGGATTCCTTGCAGTATTTGGCAACCATTTTTGAGTAGCTTGTGTGGAGCTGAACAGACGACCTGAATGATTATTAGCTATTGTCACAAGTCTCCAGTGGCAATGTGAGTTAGGTCTGGTCAGTCTGTGCGATCACTTGTGGCTTTGTTGGCTGTTTCTGGAACCGTTCTCAGTTCCACGGATGTGGGCAAATGAGATCTGACTAAATGAAGGTGTCCATAGCTGAGCTGGTCAGTAAAACTCCTCTGCACAAGAAGTCAGTGTTAAATTTTGGTTATAGGTGTGTGTAGTGTGTGCTTTTGATGTCAGGTGCGATGCAGCCTGCCAATAAAGATCAGATTAGAAATTAATTCCTTCAGCCTGTTGATAAAGCTTACAAGAATGCAAGTGTTTGAGGGGGGAGTTTTATAACATCGTGTCTACAAACGCAGTACCTCTTTTCAGACGGTCAACATTAGGTCTGGAACAATCACAGCCAGTGGCATTAAACTGCAATTAAAACTAATATGCTGGAATTCGAACATCACTCTGCTAAATGAGTAGTGGTAGGCACTTATCTGCAACAACAGATGGTATTTCTGTGTTGCGTGCTTCATCAGAGGAATGAGATAAAGTGACGTAAGCGTTGCTGTCTGTACACTTGATGTTACTTCTCACTTGCTCTCAGATAGTTCTTACGCTGTATTCCTGATAAATAGTCGGGTACATTTAGGTAGATGCACGTATAGAAGACTTCTTGGTTAGAGCTTGAAAAGATGCTTTGTTCTTTAAATCAGAATAAACGAGAAACATTTGGGTCAGTTTGGATTATTCATAAGCGGAAGATGATATTTCCAGTCCTGTGCACGAAGCTGCTGCTGATTTTATGAATACTGTCTTAAGGCACCTAGATTTTTAACAAATATTTGTATTTTACTTTTCAACCATTGCTCTTTCCCACCAATTCCTGGACAGAAGCACCCTCCTGCAATATGTAATTTTGTTGTAGTGTGTACTGCCACAAAATGCTGTTGTGACTGTGAGCATTTGGAGGTGATGCATGTATTGCTGAAAGCTGTATGAGTTGTTAGATGGAAAAGATAGGAGAATGGTGCACAAACCACCAGAATAAATGGTGACAGCATGCGGAGTAGATGATATTCTTACCTGTCATCTTACTTCAGGGTTTCACATACCTTCAGACGAAGCATTTTACCTGGGTTACTGGATCTGGTAGATTTCCGTCCAGTATGGCAGTTGCTTTGTCTGTTCAGATTGTGGGCATGGTTGTCAAAATGGGCTGAAGTTGAAGTCAGTCTTTAAAACTTAATCTCTTCCTTTATGATAGTGAATTAATTTGAAAGCTATATAAACCATGTTGACATTGAATGTCTTGCGTAGCTCTCATTTGCCAAACAATCCTTCATCCCATTTAGGTTGAAAACAAAGTGGAGAGTGAAATTGAGGAAGGTGATAAAGCACAAGAGGGAGAAAACGAGAGAAACCCAGAAAAAGAACAAGATAGCGAAGTGACTGCAGACACCAAGACAGGTAATGATTCCCAGCTGTTCCTCAAGCTGCGTTAGCTTTAATAGCCTTCCTCTAAAATTGTTGGAATAGACTATAAACTCAACTGTGGCAGAAATATTTTGTCTTGCACATCAGGCTGCTTCATGGTTCAGTAGTAAATACTCTAGTTTAATTTCACTGCAAAGCTCAGGCACTAAATTCTTTCTTGAACTCATTTTAGACCTCAGCTGAGCTGAGCTTTCTTTGTGTGTTATGACTGGGTGAAGAAATTGCAATGGCAAAGTGAGTATAGGTCACAAATTCTTTTTTTCTGCCTGTATTACACACCATTTGATCATTTTTGATGCAAAGAAATGGGACTGCTCGCTTCTATGCTTATAAGGTGATGTGCTAGCTCCATTTCCCTGTGAAGTGATGTGAAGCCTTTGTTTTGACAGGTTAGCAAGTCCCTTTTTTCCCTACCTAAGTTGTTACTCTTGTTATTTATTTTTAACACGTTCCCCTTGTACCTGGTGGATACATTGATCTTCACTGAAACTTGCAATCAGTATTTTAGCACCAGGTAGAACAAGCCATGCTTGGATTCACATATAAAAGCAGAGGTAATAATGGAGTTGATTTGGAAATGCAGCTACACGCATCCTAATGAAAGAAAGCTGACGGCAGAAGATGAATTGACAGGATGAAAACTAAAAATGTTTAAACTTGCCATGTTTGTTGGATCAGATCCTCTAAAATTGTTCCCACGTCAGCATTTGGGCGAGTAGCAGTAGTGTTACAGAGGAATGTGACCGTGGATGAATGGATTTGTTTGGCCAATAGCAGTGCATTAAGTGCAATTCCCGTCCTGAGTGATATTGTTAACAAAGGGAGAATGCACGTAACAAAGGTGCTGGGAAATCTCTTTCAGAAGAAAAGGAGACAGAAGAGAACAAGGAGAACGTTGATGCAAGCAAAGACAAAGAAAATGAGGCTGGGAAGAAGAAAGTGGAACATGAAATCTCGGAAGGAAACGTAGCTACAGCTGCAGCTGCTGCTCTTGCCTCAGCTGCCACCAAAGCAAAGGTTTGTTTTATGCAAATCTGCGTTGGCTTGATTTCCAGCTCACGTTACAGCTGTTTTTAAAATGGGCCTTTGTTCCAGATCTGTGGAATTTCATGTTCTGGTCCCTAATACCTTGAAAGACCACATGTCATCTTGAATTTATTCTGCTTGAACTATGAAGTGCAATTGTGTATAATTTAATTTAGGCTGCTATTTGTATGTTTATGAAGTCAAGGAACTTCCATAAGAAAGAGCCCCAAAACTTTTGTCATCTTTTGTAAAGACTTTTCTCTGCTCAGTAGGGCTGGTTGTAATGTTGAAGGCATAGATCTGGATGGCAGCACCCTTACGTTGCCTTTCTTGCTGTGCCACTCTGTTCTGTGGCCTTCACACAAGCCCTCTGTACTTGGATCCTTTGTCTGTAAAAACAACGTGATGCTCAATTCCAGTGTTATAATTTGTTTTATAGACAACTTGATGATATTTGTGTTAAGAGGTGCTGTGTGTCTGTTAATGATAGACAAAAACATGCTTTTAAACTTCTGTTTGTCTGTAGGCTCTTAATGAGCTGTGGTTTGAATCAGTGTTCTGTCTAGTAGCTTTTCGTTACCCTGTAATTACTAATTGCATGCTGTCCTTTGTTCCTTTTCTTTGAGCAGGAACCAGACTGCCTTTACTTCTTTCAGAATATCTTTTCCTAAATCTGTTTTCTCTTTTCATATTTTTGGGGACTCACATTTTAGTTTGGGTTTCTTACTGCTTTGTGATTCAGTGCCATATTCCACAGCATTCCATCTATCCATTTTGGATACCAAAAAGCAAAGCATGGATGGTATTTATTCCTGATGGATTTCCAGAACATAATGGTGGACATAATGAGGTGTTGTATGTGTTGTACTGACTTTCCAGTCTTGTTTTTTTTTTTGCCCCTTGAACTTTAGACCTATTTTTCCCAGATGCATCCTGTATATTGAGGAAGTATGATGATAGATGTTGTTGAAATAATACAATCCCTCCTTTATGAATCCAAGAGATTGAGGGTATTTTTAGTTGGCTACCTTTCAAACTAGTTTCTAAAATCAAAAGCTGCATGAATTAACATTCCCCTTGTAGTCTTTTCCAACCTAAATGATTCTGTGATTCTACGATTTTCAGCCATGTTTTGTTTCAAAGTGTGGAATTTAATCTCTGTTTTATGGAAGTCTTCTTCCTCCAAATAATGAATTATATTCTACTTTCCTTCCTTTAGTGCTAATGAGTGCTAGAGGGAGAAGGGACTTCGCTAATGACAATTTTCATTATGATAATAATAATATTCTAGAAGAATTTTAGCTTTATATTACAGGAAATAATATAATTAGGATGTTCACACTTAGAGTAGAATTCAGGTTCAACAGGGATTTCTCTTTCCACTTGCATTAAAAAACCCAGACAATATTAAGGCTTTCAGTGAGCTGCATCTTGCCTGAGAAAGTAATTCGGTTTTTCATATTAAGCTAAAGACCTGGTCATGTGAAGAGCTGTTAGTTATTTTCCTTGTGATTTTATAGCGGAGGAATATTGCAGTTATCTTCGAAGGAGAAACAAGGGTCAAAGGCAGGCATCTGAAGTTGTTTTTTTTTGTGTTAAGTAGCTTTACCAGTGAATTTTGTTTGAGAAATGGCAGCCAGCGAGTGTGCTCATCTGGGGGAGAGGCTCTGTATTCCTACACGGAGAATGAAGCAACATTTTAAATGGATTTTTACAGGTTATGGCTTTGGTACAAACACTATTAGAATTATTTAAGACCCTTTTTCTCATTTTCTTCTTGGATTCTTAAATCGATGTAAGCAGGTTTTTTTCTTTCTGCACATAAGCCTGGTGGTTTGTTTCACACCAGTAGGTAGCTCAGCACCACCGTGCTGCATTCTCACTCCCCCTCCTCAGAAGGAGAAGAGAAGAAAAGATGCTCGTGGGTCGAAATAAGGACAAGGAGATTGCCCACAATGCTAATTGGTGAGCAAAACAGACTTGGCATGACTATTACTGCTCCTCCCAGCCCCCCTGCTCCACCGGGGGCTCCTCCACGGGCTGCAGCGTGGAGATCTGCTCCGTGTGGGACCCATGGGTGCAGGAGGACAGCCTGCTCCACCAGGGGCCTCTCCACAGGGCACAGGGGAATTTATTCTGCGTGCCTGGAGCACCTCCTGCCTCCTCCTTCACTCACCTTGGGGGCTGCATGGCAGAGACCATATGGCTTCTGAATTCCTGTTTTGAGATAGTTGTGATCTAATACATCTTTTCTAGAAGCCACTGATCTCAAAACTGCCAGTGATGCAAACCCCCCTATAATTATCTGTAGGTTTTTTTCCGTGGGTGGTTAACTTGCTGTTAAGCTTTATTTCTAGTCTGGTGCGCTTCAGCCACTATTGTACCACTGCAACGCTTTCCTATTGAATTAAAAAGTCTGGTTGGCAACTGCTCGTTCCACGTGTAGGTATTCAGAAATGTGAAATTCAGAAATAGAACAGACCCTGTTACTAAAATGATTTCTCCTTATTTGTGGGAAGCTGTATCCTATTTTCTGTTTATAGGCAAATCAAATTGTCTTTAACTGGTTCCTTTTTGCTGCTGCTCTAGAAATTTGGTGCAGAACCTTCTTCATCTCCTGCTTGAACGTGTGCAGGACAGGATTCAGCAGTTCTTCTCCTTGTGTGCCTTGGTTTAGATAAAGATGGCAAATACACAGACCTATTTCTTGTTTTCCTTTGCAAAAGACGGAGCCCTACGAGCCTCAAAACAAAAGTGAGGTGAAGCACACGGTCTCCTTTCACAAAATAGAAGAGAGGAGGGAGAAGAAATCATTTTCTCTGCCTGTTGCAGTTCCAGCTAATCTCCTGCGTGTGGATGAGAGGTTGTCACGCTCCCTGTGATGTGTTGCAAGGACACTACCTGTCTTCCAGGCATCTCGTGCTCTGGTTTTACAGTTTCGTGTACCCGTTGTCACGCTCTTGCTGTGGTTAGCCCCTCTCCTAACTGAAGCAGGGGCGAAAAATGTTAGGGGTGTCAAAATGTCATATTTTTTTTCTGCTTTCTGTTGCTTGTTAAGCACCTTGCTGCATCCATCTCCTCAGTCAGTTTAAATCACTGTTAACTTTTATCCGTTTTGTAAGCTTCAGGGTTGGCAATGACTTGTTCTTTGTCCACGTGAAAGCCCTGAGTAACGTCAGGCTAAGGAGTGCTTTCTTCACATCTCTTCAGAAAAAAATTCTGCAAGGATTTCCTTTCTAATGTGTATTTTGAGACATCTTTTACCTAATCATGTGTCTTGCTGATCTTGTTAATTTGGTTTCATTAGTAAAATTACACACATCAGGCAAGGCAAAATGACTGTCAAAGGCTTTGTGCACCAACAAAGGTGCTTTTGTCACTGCCTTTTGTACAGAGCAGCCTGTTTTATTAAGCCATATTAATTGATGTTGTATGTTCTAGTTCTGTCAGCAATACAATTAGTTTATTTCAGGTGTGCACCATCAAGTTTGGCCAGCACTTCAGTGAAGATCCTGCCTGAATTTCACACCAGCAGTTGAACTTGGGGGATTGTTCTGGTTCCCTAAAACTGGACCTTACTGAAAAGGACTTCCCAAGGACTTGCTTTATTGTTGGTGTGTTGTCATTCAACAGCGTTCATTTCCAGTAAAACATCAGTGGTAGAAACAACATCCGAGATTTGAGAAATTCTGCTTCTGGTCAGGATTACCAGTTTTCTGATGCTGCTTTTCTCCCCGGTATTTCTTCCAGTTCCAAGCAAAGATTTGGGACACAGCCTGCTTAATATGACTCCCTGCTTGCAGGTTGGGCTGGTTGAGATGAAGCATTTCTCTTCCTTATTCCCTTCTGCCCTCACCTTGCCCTTCACAAAAGGCAGCCCCCTGTCCCCCAGCCCTCGGATGGGTCAGGCTGGCTCTGCCTCAGCGCCCTGCTCAGGAAACATCCTGGGACTGCTGCTACAGAAACTGCCCAGCAGCGTGTGCCCATGAAAAACGTTTTATTTTGGGTGTATTTTTAGTTTGAACAGTGGGCTTGCAGCAAAAGCTGGTAGAAGGCATCATTAGCATGCCTTTCACACTTGGAAGATGTGAAATGCTTTCACAGGTCGTCTTTCTATCTACCTATCCTATATATGTTCTCTATCTCTTAAGTCATGTACATATCTGCCTGTGTATGTGTTAAAGCTAAATCCTCGCGAGGAACCTGTTTGCATTTTTCTGCAGCTCTGTTTCACACTGTTTATATACAGCTTTGCAACCTGGTTATTGAAGGAAACCAGAGGGTGTGTTTTTTTTTTTTTCCAGTTTCTTTTCATAGATTCATAGAGGTTTCTCTGCAGTGTCTGCCCTAGCCTGAGGTGGAACTGCTGCAGTAAGAAAGCTTCTGATTTAGCAGTATGGTGGTGAATGTAATGGGAAAATATACTTAACTAGATACATAGCTTCTAATTTAATTGAGCAAAAAAGAATGTAATGGCAGAGGCGTGCAAGTCATCTCAGTGTTTGTGTAGGTTTTTCCTGGCAAAAACCTCCTGTATGGGTTTTGGTGAGTGCTTGGAGGACCTGCAGCTGACTGAGTATGACCCAACCTTTGCTTCTTTATTTGCATTTCCCCTGAACATGCTGCGTTGCACATTCAGAAGGCTTTTGGGCAAAGCTGGTTTGCTTTCGAGTGCTGAGCATCCACGATACCATTTGTATATTTATGTAAAAGCTCAATAATCTTCCAAGGGCTTTTGGTTCTGAGCATAAAGTTGATAATCTAATACCCTGCTTTCTGTCCAGAAGTGGAACAGAATGGCTAAAGCTAGGTGCGGAGGTAGTTGGTAATTTGTTTACTTAAAGTGCTCTATTTTGTGAAATGCACGTAATGCAAAATCCTGTGTTTTATTCTCAGCATCTAGCAGCAGTGGAAGAAAGAAAGATCAAGTCCCTGGTTGCCCTTCTGGTGGAAACACAGATGAAGAAGCTGGAGATAAAACTTCGCCATTTTGAGGAGCTGGAAACCATTATGGACAGAGAGAAAGAGGCAGTAAGTAGTGGGGACACTAATCTGAAATTCTGGATTGTTATCAGTCACTCCAAAGACTTTGTGCCATCAGCAGTTTCAGCTGTTTCTGACCTTTAGTCATTTCTTTCTACCCCAGCTCAAATTCGTAATTACCCCATTCTGTTGTGTCTGAGCCCTCCTTCTCTGTCCAGAATTTCCCTTTTATCATAAGCAGCAAACTGGCAGTATCCCAGATTTGCTTCCCAATCCTTTTTCCTGTCATGGAAGCACGAGTGTGGACTCAGACTTGGGCCTGTGCGTAGGCCTTGTGATGTGAATGATAACTGACAGCAGAATGGCTTTTCCCTCTAAAAGAGACTGAAATGGATGGAAACCTTGCTTCCCTAGAGGGAAGGGAAACCAGGAGTGTCTGCCTTCTGTTCCTGACCCAGTTCAGATGGGAGATGTGGTTTTAAGCAGGTAGTTTTTTGTTTTTTTTGAGGACGTTCTCAGTAGCTCTTGGAAAAATCCTCAAAGCAGTGGCAGAAGGATACGTGCTCATGAGTAACAGCTTCTCAGGGATTTGCCTGAGCTGTAGAGGTAACAGCAGGTGCAAGAGAAGGAAGGAAACTGTAATGTCAAGAGATGAGAGAGGGTGATCGCTCATAGGGAACAGAAAGGTATCAAAGGAGAACAAAGCTCGATTATCAAACCTGACAATGAAGCATGATCGATATGGAGGATACAGAGGAGGAGGAGCTGGGCAAGTAAAGCAGAGAAATTGTTCGTTTGACTTCAGTCTGATGAGACAGTAGCCAGGGCACAGGCTGTGAATAGGCAGCTGCAGAAAGTAGTGACCCCGAGAGAGCACGTATGGGGCATCTCAGGCAGGGTTTGTGTTGTAACGCTGTTGGTACATCTCACTGAGGACTTGTGCATCCCAAAAATCAACATGTAATATGAAAGAGATGCTGTCTCGGCCTACCAGTGACTGGATTACACATCAATTACTGAGTGTTTTTCCATCAGTGGGGCTTTCAGAGAAGCAGTTTTTCTCTGACTACTGTAAACATGACCCAAAAACTTATTTTTATCAGAGAGCAGTCAATTTTTGCATTTTTCTGTTGTTTAGCTTGCTCATTTTTGTCAATAGGCAATTACTCCAGGTGTGTTGAAGATATCGACTCATAGTTCTAGGGGTTTTCATGTTTGCCCTACCATGTGAATTTAATGAAATTTACATCCTCACTTTGGCATTAATCACATTGATAGAATTTGACGAAGTGTGGTCTTTTGTTGCAGCAGAATGTCAGCAAGAATTTCTAGATTGCTCAGCATCCTCAGCCATTTCGGTGTGGTGTCTGCCTCTGACACTGATTGGCAGTGCAAGAAATGGACCTAACTATTCTGAAAAGGTTCTCTGTAGGTTTCTTTCTTTGGGGGATATATTCTATTACTGACAGGGTTTTTTCCACTTTGAGGCATATGACATTTTCCTTTTCAAAAAGTGCATACAAGTTTTTTTTTCCTTGGCTTTCTAGCAGCTAAATTTGGACTTTTCACCTGTCACTATGGATGTTTGGTGGAATAATTAAAGCAAAAATTTCTTTAGTGCTGTTGCACACTATGCATATTTCCTTATTTGTTGCATTATAGTCAAGGTGCCTTCATTACAGTAAAGGTGAGGTGATTCCAAGTTTTGGAAGAACTCTGTGCTACAAACTGAAGACTGTTAGGTTTTAGGCAAAACAAATGTACTTGGTGGTTAAGCTGATGTAATTTCAGTACTAATTCTGATTGTGTACCCAAGGATCCTGTTGGTAGGAGCCTTGTTGACCCAGAATTTATAATCACACATGAATGCTTTTCTTTTACTGTTCCTGTTAGGGAGGAATTATTTTCTGAAGATGGAATTTGTAGTGCGATGACAACTTGCATAAGTGTACATATAAAGCACTTGTAAGAGGCCCTTCCAATGGGAATCACTGCAAAAATACGTTGCTAAAAAACCTGAAAATCATCAGGAGTGTAGTATTCATGAATGTGTACCTAAAGCACGTGGTGGGTTTAATGAAATGAGCTTTAGGTGTTGTGCAGCAGACTAAAGCACGCTCATCTTCACTGAGATAGCCAAGCTTCACTCTTGCCTGACACTAACTTGCAGATTTTATGGAGTTTGGAAAATGCAGATTACTGGTAATCTGCCCCCAAAAAATGCGTTTTTACCACCATCTTAATTCTGATCTGTACAGCAGAAGTCTGTAAACCTGCTTTGGAACTGATAGTGACATGCAACAACCTGATGTAGAACCAGGGTGTTTGGGGCTCTGCACCAGTTTTAAGACCAGCTTTTGTGCCATAACTTCTGTTTATGTGCCTTTCTCATCCTGAAGGGAGGGAATGTGTAAAAGAAAATTAGTGAAAAGTTCCCTTAAGTACAAGGTGTGTTTTCAGATATTGGATGCTGTTTGGTGATGCTTTAAAAAGCATTTTTTGACTGCTCTGACCTCTTAGATGAGCTGTAGCAGGATAGGGTGCCACGAAGAGAGCAAAGCAGGAGTGTAAAAGAATATAAAAAGTACGGTGTAGCAGTTCTTCTTGCTTAAGCCTTTGTTTCGGGTCATTTGCAGTAATTCTCTTCTGAACCGCCTGTCACCTACCGAATCTGTTTCCATACATGCACAATTACACCATTGGTGTATGTGTCTCTCCTTTTTATCGAGTTCCTCCCACTAATGGATCAGATTGGTCAAGGACAAAGGAATCACGGCAGCATGAATAATCACATTGTGGTCCCTACATGCTGCAAAACAGCCCCCAACAAGGAGCATGTATTATTCATCAGCTCTGTCCCCATCTGGTTCTGCTGGTGAATGTGTGCTCTGTAGTGGAATTTCGTTTTCATCCCTGTTTTGTCAGCAGTCAAACTGCTAACACAAAGCATCGGTGGAGCTTCGGGATTTCTGGAGAACTTCCACGAGGTGGAAGTCTCCTTGGCAACCTGCTTTTCAGATAAATAATGGAGTAAATCTTAAACACTCATTCAAAATTGTAAACTAGCAGCACAAATGCTTGAGAAATATTGAGAAATATTTTTCTGAAGCTTCTTTATCTTTTCATTTGGACATTAACTATGAGGCTGTATAATTTGCAAGCCATCTTTTTACATTAATTGGCCTAAGTTACATGAGGCTTTTCTTTAAATAATACTCATCTGTAATGCAAATCATGGGTGTTTGGATGTCAGGGTGCACAGGTCCTACACTTACAATGAAGGTACAGATCAGGGTCCTGCCTGTAGTCACTGAGCAAAGCTCCTGCCTGCATCTTTGGTCCTTCCCTGGAATATCTTTGGTTTATTTCTCCTCATTCCAACATGCAGAAGATTGAGAGAAAAACATCCAGTTACTGCTGGAACTGCATTGAGGCTGAGTGTTCCGTACAGTTATTATCGAGTAATGTGTTAATTTTGTTACTTTAGGACAAAACAAGGTGACTTCATCGGTTCCGGCTGGAAGCTGGCCTGTACCCGTTACCAAAAACTGCTGCAAATTTTTTGCTAATCAAATGCCGATCCTATTGAAATGGCTTAAATATGTAGTTCTTAACCATGTTCTTCTCTTTGCATTTTTTTCCCCGTTTTTGACGTAGTTAGAGCAGCAGAGACAGCAGTTGCTGACAGAACGCCAGAATTTTCACATGGAACAGCTGAAATACGCTGAATTAAGGGCTCGTCAGCAAATGGAGCAGCAGCACAGTCAAAACCCACAGCAACCTCACCAGCACTCCGGTGGGCCTGGAATGAACCCGCTCGGGGCACCAGCACATCCAGGCCTCCTGCCCCATCAGCAGCCCCCGCCGTACCCAATGATGCACCACCAGATGCCACCACCCCACCCACCACAGCCAGGTAAGAACTGGAAGGAGAAATCCCCCGAGGTTAGTTGTAACCACTCAAGAGTAAATTAAAATAAGAGGAAAAGGTACTGTCGGATGAAATTGTACAAGGTTTTGTGGATGTTCTGTTAGGTGGTGTTTTATATTGGTGCTTCTTGTAAAATGGAAGCAGCTTTAGCTGGAATGGCGATGATCCTTGTGGGTCCCTTCCAGCTCGGGATAATCTCGCTTTGTCTGTAGTGCAGCTTCATTTTAGAGCTTATGTCCCAGTATTAAATGTGTGGGGAGAATCTGGGGGGACTGGAAGGGAGAGGGATACCTTAGCAATGCATATAAATACCTGATGGGAGGGAATGAGGAGGAGGGCACCAGGCTCCTCTCAGTTGCAGTCAGTGACAGGCAAGCAGGGATGGGCACAAATTAAAAATGTGAAATTCCATGTCAACACAAGAAAACCCTTTTCTGTGATGATCCCCAAGCACTGGAGCAGGTTGCTTGGTGAGGCTGAGGGCTCTGTGCTTGGAGTTCAGTGCTCACTCCAAGCCTCTAAAGTGTTTGTTTCCTTTTTCTTTTTTTTAAAAAGCTTGTGAGCCGCCACCAACTATCATTTTCAAATGCTTTTGAGCTCGTTTGTATTTCTTTAGACTTTTTTATGCCAAGTGATCTCTGCTCCTTCAACAGCAATCATTCCCTCAGATTCTCCAGTTCATGACACATCTAATCGGGTAAAAAAATTAAGGGAAAGGCCAAGAACGAGAAACAGAGGCAAAAAGCTCCTTAGGCAGCTTTATTTGGCAGGAGACCTGATTCTCATATGCTCCTACCCCCCTACTTAGGGCTTTGCTTGCTGCCTTCTGCCCTTCAGTTATGCTTGATGAGAGATGAGAATCTCAGAGCTGTGTTGGTCAGGAAAATTGCTTGAAAGTCCAGCCTGCTGCTCTGGGTAAGCCTGGCTGGATCCAACAGCTGAGGGACTTGTCCTGTTGAGGTTTAGATGTGTTCAAGGATGGAGATGTTCCTAATACCAAGGGATGGAGAAATTAGGTGGCCAAGTGACTATGTCTAACAGAAGGAGGAACATCCACTGAGAGTACAAAATATTTCTGCCATTTACTCAAAACTATACTTGTTTTTTGGCAAAATTAATAGCCCTGCTGTTAAGGGGCAGAGTTGCTAAGAGCATTTGTGGTTTTGCCTTAAAACAATTTTAATGTTGAAAGGGATTGGGACTTTGCACTTGTACAGTGAAGATGTTTGTGGGAATTAGAATTGAAGGCTTGCATGCTGTTGGAATGATCATTTAAACTAGAATGTCACCACCTGGGATGTATGAACCTGGTAGAATGGATTGCAGCACAGAAGAGCTTTTGTCAGTTGTCAAATGCTTGACCTAAAGCCATTCTAAAATTGAATTCTAAAGCCTGATTGGTTATTAGCTAAAAATCTTTCAGAAGATCTTGTGTAGCTGAAGAAGCTGGAAAGTTTAGAGTATCATGATCAAGAATAAGGCATGGTAACCAAAAGTGCAAAATAGATTGAGTTTTTGCCTTAATAAAAGCCTGAGGTAAGGGCAGTTTGGAAAAGCCCTCTGTTGATTGTATGCTCTGAAAAAGAGCAAAAGTGCTTAGTAAACTAGCAGGGTTTGCAGATGACCATGAAATGTGAGGCATCAAATCCAATTGTGTGAATCTCGGCAGTAACAAAAACACAATTCAGCCAACAGCTGCAGAGCAATGCCCATCGGAGGGGAAGATAAGAGTCATCCTGTGATCTAGATGCTTAAGCCGTCTTCTCAGGAGGTCAGGGTCAGCGAGTTCATTGAGCACTTGTGGACAAAAAGTTAATTCTGGAATTGTAGAACGGGGATGTGATAAAATACGCTATAATTTTTAGATTCAAATAATGCTGTGGTTTGATCTGTCTATTGTACGCTGTATTGGCAATTGAGTTTGTTCATTTAGTGGAATGAAGAAACGTTCTGTGAAATGGAAAAACGGCAAATTGAAAACAGTGCAAAGGGAGGGGGAATCACACTGCATATCGTTAGACCCGCTCCTATTTACAAGGTGCTATCGAGGCTGAAAATGTAACAAGATTAAATGCGTTGTTGTATTCACTGGGGGACTAATAAAGCCTGATTTCTGATATATTTGCATCCCTGCTTCACATAACGCCTTATTACTTCAGCCCCATCATAATCATCCAGGCCCTCTGTATCTCCAGTGATCCCTTCCAGCGAGTGTTACGCGGAGTGTGGTACTGTGTTAATTAGTCAGCACATCTCTTTTTCAGATTTGATTAAAGTTAGTCAATAGATCGACTCCCCCCCTCCTGTTAGAGGGTGGCAAGCTGCTGGACAAGGAGCAGCACTGCGGGCTCCCTGAGAGGGAAGCATCTGGTGCCGTCTGTCGGCGTGCAGGCACAGGAGGAGGTGGATTTGTCTTTCACTGAGTTCATGGGCTTGGTATCTTTATGAAGGTGAGAATGCAGATGCCTTTTAGGAGACTGGGAGAATCTGAAGGCAAAATCCTTTCCTCTGTACTGAGATGTCTCAGACTGATCCTGCCTAAAAAGCAAGAGAGTCTGTTTTCCTCAGGCTCTTTAGTGGCAGAAACAAAATTTCTAGTTCTGTTAGAGATGCTGGGGAAGTCCACAATGTAGTACCAGAGCTCTTTGGCTTCAACATGAGCTGGTTGAAGGCAGCAGAGCTTTGCACATCTCAAGGGCAAGGAGAGGAAAGAGAAGAGCTCGCTGTTCCTCGAGCAAATTCAGGACTTAACATGCTGAGCCACTCCATTTGTGGCAACAGGGATGCTTCAGCCCTCGGAGAAGGTAACTCACAGCTTGACCTGACTTTCTGTTTAGGTAGCTTAAGCTGCCTGCTGTGTGCCTTTGGTTTCTCTCACAAATCAGTACCTTGCAGCCTGGGTCTGTGCGCAGGCGGTGCGTGTGACAGACACGAAGCTGCCATCTCCAGAAATCCTGCTGCAACCCTCAGGCACTCAGCGATTGCATTTCGCATGTGCACACACCACGTATTGTATACATTTAAAAAAAAAAAAAAAGAAAAATCCCCTATTGCATCGTATTGGTCCTGTTGAATCTGTGTTAAATACTACAGAATTCCTATAGTAATAGTTCCTATCGTAATGTATGTATTTTCCTGAACTTCATTTTTTAGGGCATCTTAGCAGTAAGATAATTTCATGATACACTTTTTCACGCATAGATCAGGAACAAATTTTGCTCCTCAGCTGCTAATTTGGGGTTGTTTGGAACAAACTGGGGAACTTGACCTTGCTGGCTGGACGTCTGTGCCTGAAGTTCCCTCAGTGCGTACCTCCTGGTGTCATGGTGGAGATCTGAAATTCCAGAGGGTTTTTACATAGATTGACCTCACCTAGCAGACGTAGTCCCAGCTAGAGAGGGCCGAGACACACATGTAGAAGAAATCTGAGAGCTGTTTTTTGTCAGCGTTAGCCGAATTGGTGAACCTCGGGCTTCGGAGCTGTCAGCGTGCTGAATGCCAGTGCTGAGCTCAAAATCCTTTTTGCAAGGAAAACAATCAGTTTTGTACCCAAATTCTGTCTCTATCCGTTAATAACCTGCTTCCCTGAAAGTGGACACTTCAAGGAGTGATGCGTGACTTGGTTCTCATCAGTGTTCCCAGCCAGGTTTCTGACCTGAACAGTGGCAAAAAGTGTAAGTGTTGGGTCAGCAGACCGTGAAGAAAAAGCTGAGTCCAATGTCTTTAAAGTGATTGACGTAAGCTGAAGAGATGGCAAGGAAACAAAGTGATGAAAAAGTCTGAAAGGCGTTTAGAAATGGAAGAAAGAAATCGCTGCTTTGCAGCTCCTCTGGATTCAGCAGCAGGCTGGGCCCTCTCTTTGCTAGTCAGCACGGCTTGATGGCTGAAAAGACACAACTTGGAGTTAAAAATTGGAAGTAGGACTCTGCTGGGTCTGCCGTGACGTTCAGCTGAGCTTGGTGCCTGCTGCTCCAGCCTGGCTTTTGAGCTGGGCTGCCTTGAGTTTGTGCTTCGGCGCCGGGATGTGACCAGGTCCTGGTCAGCTCGGTGGTGCTGGTCACTGTTTTCAGACAAGTTGTTAACCCATTTCCTACATTCTTAACCCATTTCCTACGTTTTTGACTTTACCACAACTCTTAACTTCATTTTAAGTGAGCTTATTTGGTTCTCTCCTGTCCCTGGAAGGCATTTAAAATATAGAAAAATAACGTTGGATTCCAGTTTCTCACTGAAAAAATGCACTTCGTAATTAGAATATGAAATAAAACTCCAGTTTTTTTCCTGTGCTCCTGGCCTTGCAGCTGGTTGCATCATCTGAAGCACGTTTTAGGTTGCTCAGTGTTCAGGTTATCCATGAAATGCCGAGAAGTGCCTTGCCCAAGTGATGCCTGTGTGTGCTGTGAGAAACCTGCAGTTCGTGGAGGAAGGAGGAGGTGTGTACTAATAGCTGGGATTCATTAACTCCTCCCTTCAGAGTGGATTTTCAGCTACTAAATTTCTATTTCTATATTACTATTTCTGAGCAAAGCAGAAATAGAATAAAGAGGTAAGGATGCACCTTCCACCATGACTTGATGAGCAACCTTATAGCATTTTTCCCCAATATATTTTCCACGTCTTTTTTTTTTGTTGAAATATTTAAAAATAAAAATGAAAAATGAGCTACTAGTTGCTCTTTCCTGCTGAACTGGCTACAATCACAGGATTTTTTTTTGTCCAGATCAGGATTTTAGGGTTCTCTTCCTTCTGGTAAATATTTCCCAAGGACTGTCGGTGCTTCCTTTTTTTGCATATCACGAGCTTGCTGGCAGGGGACTTTTACCTCGATTTCTTTGCTCTGCTTTCATGCTGAAGGCTGTTTGTGGGGCTGTTTGTGGGCACTTTGTACATGGTTTTGCCCTGCTGGTCATGAGGGCAGGCAGGTTTAAAGCCTTTCTTTAGGGCTTGTGTCACATCACCTGCAAAAACCTGGGTGTGCAAGTAGGAAACGAGCTGACCAGGGGACCACGATTCCCCTTGGGGATGCCAGGTGACATTTTGCTGACTTGCACCGTGCTGAACATCTGCAGAGCTTCCCCGGTGAGTTTGAGCAGCTCCTTGCGAGGAGGTATTATTGAGTTTATATTAAAAACCTGAATATTTGAAGGTTCCCAGCGCTGCTGTGCGTGAGGCTTGTCCTTGCTGCTGTAACACGCGAAGCAGCCTCTCGACAAAGGATCTCACGTTGGGTTTGCCAGACGAGCAGAGCAGCGTGGTGAGTTTTTGGCTGGCCCCAAAGCCCGCTGTGGTGTGCCCAGGTTTTCGGAGGTGCCCACACGATGCCTCTGCCTGGCATCGAATCCATCTGAGCGCACCGCGCTGGAGGGAAGCGTCAGAAACGCCGCGTGCAAGCCAAGTGGAAATTCAGCCTCTCCCCCGAGACTCGATGCGAAATGAGTTATTGTGCCAGGATTTCAAAATGCTTGCTCTGAAATCCTGGCCACGGAAAGGGGGAAATGCCCTCACGGGGCGCTGCTTTGCGTGGTGAATAGCAGAGGTGTGCAGGAGGACCGGCATCGGCTCGGGCTCTGTGCATCGCACCCTGACTGCTACAAAAATCCTCGGGGTTTGCCACTGTAGTGCCCCTCGGGCAGCTGATTTAATAGAGGTGGAGGCTTATTTAATTGAGATAAATACCTTGGAGATGCTGCAAAACCTGCTCCTCATGAGCTTTGCTCTAACATGAATCTGGTGATAGTGAAGCGCTTCGGAGCAGGCATTAGGAAATGTCTCCAATCTCGAACGTGTAAAGGATTTTTTATTTTTTTTTTAGTCCGCTAAATCTCATTTTATTGAACCTTTTGGCTTTATCTCTCCCTGCGTCTGCTGTTTTTTAAGCTCTCCCCCTTATGTAGGTCACACTTCCACGTTTTATGCTTGAGCTGCTGTCTCGAAGCGCTATCTCTTGTGAAATGAAACAGCGTATGATCTCTGTAGGGATGGCACTTCGGTTTTGCCATGGTGGTGGTAGGAATTTCCCCTTTGTTAATCCCAGTTTGGTTGGGTATCGCTTGATTACTGCTCAAATTCAGCATTTTGGAGTTCTCGATGTGATCAGATTGTTCCTCTGCAAGTACCTTAAGCTCATTTTAAGACAAAATCGTTGCTTATCCCATCAGAAAGGCGACGAATGGCCGGCCAGCCCTGTACTCACACACACTCTTCTCCAGCTTATGGGGAAAAAATCTGCGGTGCCACTTAATTTTAAATCTCCAAGAGAGAAAAATACTGACAGATACCTCGGTTCAGATAGCCGGAACTTGCCAGCGAGTGTTGTTAGAAGATTTGGAGTAAGGACGCGATTCGAATTTACAAAGAAACACATTTTTAAGTTGATTTAATTGGTGCTTACGACCTCGTGTGAAGCATCCCTGGGTATGCAGTAAGCCTGATCCAGCTTCGGGTGTTTCAGACGAGGCTTTCCCGTACTGATCATTTAATTCGCATGGGGGAGAGTCTTGCAGGCATGCAGTGCTCGAAGGAGGAAAGCCAAATTGTGCTTGGAGAGTTTCAGGCTTGTGTCAAAGGGCAGCTCCCAGACGGGATTTCTCAGTTCCTGGTTTTTCCTGGTCTGAAACACCACTGGGATGTGCTGATTTTTTTCCAATTTTCTCCCCCATCAGCTTTTGTTTTGCCAGTGAATTAACTTCCCTGATACCTGTGAGTGTCTTGTCCTTTTGCTGCAAAGCCCTCTGCATCCCCGGGCTGTTCTGTCTCCCTTTTCTCATTTTGGCACAGGTTCAGACCTGCCACCGTGGTTTCAGTCTGCTTGGTAGCCTCCCTTTGCTTCTGGATGTCTGCAGATGCAGTTGTTCCCCTTCATTATTTCTTTTGCAGCTGAAAACACAAGAGTTCATTAAAAAATAAAGATGTGCTCAAGCTAGAGTTCTTCGCAGCATAACAACGTCGTCGTGGCGCACCGAGCGCGGCTGTCCTTGTCTTGTCTCCTTCCAGAGCACAACGTTTTGAGTCAAGGTGAGGGAGGATGGGGACGTGGCAAGAAGCAGCGCTGATCCTACTGGGGTGAGCTAACCCAGATCTGGACGCGTTGTGCCAGTTTTTAAGCTTGGCAGGCCAGTTTCTCCCTTCTCTGGCAAATTTGGCTTTTCACGAGTGGTTTGTGGCTTGGTTTGTGTGTGTACTGGGTCAGCGCAGAGGCTTGTGCTGCTGCCTCGGATCTGGTAGGGTATAAATCTTTCCTGGAAAGTAATTCCTTTGAGTTGGCAATAGCCAGGACACATTTCATAAGTGAAGAGAAGAGGCTTGCTTGGTATCGGTGAGCAAAGTGGCCAAATAAATCTCGTTTTCTTCTGGGTAGATGGAGGTGGCTGTTGCTGCAGGCTCTTGGTTTTGTTTTAAGCGTTTTAACAGAATTTTCAGCGACTGAAATTCAAGCTGTCCTCTCGTATGCTGTGACTGCAGTGCCACAGGTCCTCACGTAACGCCAGGCATGGCAGAAGCGCCCACGTCTGTCTCGTGCAGATCAGGAGCTGCCCTCGTGCAACACTTCAGAGCTGACCTGCTGCCACCCAGCTCGTAGAAGCCACCGAATCGGTTTCTGCACATCGACAGCCTTGCAGGGTGGTGCAGAGCTGCCTGCTCCTCGTCTCCCAGCTGTGCTGATTCCTGGATGCTGGAGGATAACCACAGGCTGAGGTTTCTGAGCTCTGCCCTGATACAGAACCGAGACACAACAGCCTTGTGCCGATCCCTGCAGCTCTGCAGGAGGGTGGTGTAGGATCTGTGGGTGTAAACCCAGCAGCACCGATCCTGGAGCTCCTGCCCCACTTGTAGCACGACTGGATGACCACATCTTTAAGTCCCAGGCTGTGCTGGGTTATTGCTTTCAGTGACACTGATCTCGTGATGCCTCCCGTGTCCTGCCGTGCCCTTTCTGCCCACTCCTCAACCCCGAGTGAGCTGGACCAAAGCAGATGCGTCGATGCCCGTGGCAGGAAATTCATGCCAAGTCTGCTTAAATCTTATCTGAGCGCTGCGTGTCGATGTGCTTGAGGGCTGGGTGCCATTCAGGAGGACTGAGACAAGCAGGAGGAACGGGAGGACAGGAGAAATGCAGCGAGGACAAACACAAAGCCTGAGCCTGGGAGGATTTGGACCATGCATGTTGTTAGACCACACATCTGGGGCACTGGGCCCACCAGTATAAGAAAGATACGGGTAAACTGGAGCCAGCCGAAGACCATCAAGGGCTGCATCTTTCTGCATGGAGAGGCTGAGGACAAAGGTGTGCAGCGTAACGTTAGGAAATGCCCCACGTTTCTTCTCCTGTTCGGTCTGGTGACCGGAGGAGTAAGGATTCGAGTCACCTACTCACCATCACCAGAGCAGGAAATCTTCGTCCCCAGCAGGAACAAAATAAAGGAATAAAATAAGAGAGATTAGAGGCTCAAACGTGGGCAGGTTTCGTGGCTGGCTGCTGCTCTTTAATAAGAAGTGATGGAAATGCCACGGTGTGCGCTGCAGGCCACTCGCCAGCGACAGTGTTTGGGGATAAACACACAATTCTTGTCTCTTGTGAATTTTGTGTTTGAGAAATTGGGTGTTTCCAGAGAGCTTCACATCCCAGAGAGCTTCACATCTGCTGCTTGCAAGCGTGCTGGTCTTGCTCCTGCGATGGAGCAGCATCAGCTTGGACATCTTGTTTTGTGACCGTGAGCTCCCGTGTTGTGTTTTGTGGTCCGGTGCTTCCAAGTCTCTACGAATTTTGGGTGATTTTGGCATCGGAGGGTTGTCATCGGGCTTTGTTTCACATAAATGGTGAAATATTTCAGGTTTTGGGGTAAAGTGTGCTCCTCCGGAGTAAGCCTTTACAACCCCTGCCTAATAGCTGCTTCACTAACTACGTATATATGTAAAAATATAATTGGATTACACAAAATAATCTCTTCAAATGAGGTTTTAAAGCAGCAATCAGCAAGTTTTGGTGTCCAAAGCTGCGCAGTCCTAACAATTCTTTTACACTGCTGAAACATAAAGGTCTCTCACAGAGCTGATAAGCAAAGGAGATTTATTGGAACCTCCGTCACATCAGAGTAAGGTTTTTTTTTAACAGTGGAAATACTTATACAGTATAATTTCTAATTAAATGATTTAATTTCTCCCATTAAATTAATCCATTAGGCTCCGTGGCTGCTCTTTTTCATCAAGTGCTCTTAATTCAATGTCTCGTTTGTTCCAGCAGTTTGTTTCCTGTGCCTTTGTGTGCCTGGATATTAAATGCCATTTCAGCACGGCTTCGTGTAAAGAGCTGCGTTACCTTCCACCCGCTTCTCCTGCTGATGCTTTCGAGAGACAACAAGTGCCCAGGAGCTCTCCCTGCTCCCGTGTGCAGGACGGCTTTTCTCCCTGCTCATACAACCGGGCTGTTTTCTGCCCATATTTGTGTTTCTCCACGTCTCAGTGCTTTGTCTCTTCCATCCTCTTGCAGGTCAGATGCCAGGACCTGGCTCGATGATGCCTGGGCAGCCCATGCCAGGCCGGATGATGCCCAGCGTGGCGGCCAACATCCACCCGGCCGGCGGCGGTCCCCCCCCACCCGGCATGTCACCGATGTCAGGGAACCTCATCGGACCCCGCGTTCCTCTAGCAGCTCCCAACGGCATGTGTAAGTGATCTCCTCGGGTAACATTTCATTTGTGCCTGGCGTGGTGTGGCTTTTCTGTGGCTTGCCTCGCTGCTGGAAGAGTCACCGTGGTTGCAAACCCCTCCGTGTGCTGCGGGAATAATATCTGTACGTGTTGGCAGCCAAAAACTGGTTCCCGAGGTGTGCTTGAAGCTTTAAGTGCTCGTCTCCCCTCTAGGCATCCAAACGCACTCCATTGTCCTTTATTTTATTTATAACATCCGTTATTTTATTCATTACGGTGCTGAGGCTTTGTAGTCTTTGTCAGAAGCCTCTCTCGGCTAAGTCGGCGAGAATGCACAGCAGAGCCTCACGAACAAACCCCAGCTAAATCCTTAAATAGCTCAGAATATAAAAACTGACAACTTAGCGCCGTGGATTGAAAAAGAGGAAGTACTAATTTAAAAAAAATATATATATATATTGGGAACGTTCCTTCCATGGTATAAATACCCTGAAAACGAAGTCGATTTACGCCAGCCAAAAAAAAAAAATAAAGCTCAAGTCAGTAGCCACCGTGTGGGTGTTACTTGAATGAGCGTGAGGATTGTGGCCAAACCCCGAGAGTAGAAGAAAAGCTGAATGGCTGCTGCAAGAAAGATGCTGCGGTGGCTTCCCCGATAAATTCAGCCCCGTTACCTGCAGCCTGGGACAAGCTGCTGGCCTCCCTCGCTGCTGTCACCACCCAGCCAGGGATTGTCATCGCTTTTAGTACCTCTGGCCAAAAATAACTGGGAGAAGTCTGCCCGTTTGGGCTCCAGCTGAAGGGAGTTGCCGAGGAGTACTGACTCACTGCTGTTCATCAGCAGAAGCATGAATTACTTCTCCTTCGGATGCTATTTCTGTGCAGATCCTTGCTCTTTATTCTCCTGGTGCTCTAGCTTTCCTTAGGTTTTTTTTTTTCTTCCATTTTTCTGAGCCTCCACCTCTGGGAATATCTCATGTCAGGTTGTATTCCTGCCTGCTCTTTTCCTCTACCTCCCTTTCTTTTTTTTTTTTCCTCCCCTACTAAACAAGTCAGTCATGTTCCATTAGCATCTCCTCCGTGCGCACGAACGCTGCCCTTTTGTGGCCCTCGTTTTCTCCTCTTCCACTTGCTGCAGCTGTGGATTCCTCTGCTGTAACCTACATACGGCGTGCGGAGCTGTGTGTGTGCGAGGTGCATTGTTCCACCTATTTTAAACAGCACGGGGCCATACCTAAAGGCTCGAGCACGGCGATGAGAAATTCTAACCCAGCTCTGAAAGTTGCACGACGTGAACTTCCCCACCCCGTGAGCTGCACGCCTCTCACCTCCCCTGTGCAAACGGGGAAGGTTTTTCCCCTTTTCCCCTCTTTCACAGGGTGCTCAGGGGTAGGAGGGGTGCGATGAGACGTGCTGGGGGCTCCTGGGATGCTTCGAGGGGGGGAAGCCGCAGCCGTGGGCGTTCTTGGGGCTGGTCTGAGCCAGCCACTTGGGCGTGCAGTGCTTCTCCAGATGTTCAGCACCCAGCTCACCGTTTCTCTGCTGTCCTTGCAGATCCCCCCCCTGCGCAGCCGCCTCCACCAGCGGAAGGGGTGACCCCACCTCCGGCAGGAGCCCCGCCGGCCTCAGCAGCTCCCTAAAGCAGTCGAGGAAGAAGGAACTTCTACAGCAGCATAGTGGTGACCAAAAATAACTCCTCAGTTACCTTCTGTTCCCCGGGGGGCTTTTCGCCTCCTGTTCACCTGCCCCAGCTCCTTCCCCTGCTCCCCTCCGCTCGCAGCCCGTCAGGATTTGGCATTCCTTTGGGAAATCTTTAGATCAGAAACGCCAGCGATGCTCCCGTCTTGCTGGTGGGAAGCCCTTTACGCTTCTTCTTGCCTTCCGGAGCGTCCTCAACTCTGGTTTTCTTTCATCTTGGTGTTTTGAGCTTTGGGTTCTCCTGGGAAGCATAAAAAAAAAAAAATAGGAATAAAAAAATGAAGCTTTTAAGGTGGAGGCATTAACCGAGCTTTAGGATGCAGCACGTGCCCAATCCACCTGTGGCTTCGTGCTTCAGGTTCTCCAGGCAGAACGAGCAAAGCATCAAGATCGGATGCTAAACCAGCGTTTTTTGGGCTGAAAAGGAAAATAAATAAGGGCGTGCTGTAGCACGGAAGGTGCAGGAATGCCAGCCATGTTCATTAGAGGTATCTGATCATTAAGGACAGTAGCTGAGTCCTGGGGCTGCCTCGCTAACTTATTAAAGAAAATATTGATCCAGTGCGAATGAAGCCAGGAGGAAATCAATTGGAATAAAACCACTCACCGGTAGGAGTTTTTCTTGCTCCAGTTTTTACCTTCCTTTTGCCTTTGAAGGTGGTAGTTGAAGCTTCCCTCTGAGTAGTTTTGGTACAGTAGCCAACTGAGGAATAAAAAACCACGATTTTTAGTCCCTCTTTTTGGAGCATATACTTTTTACTTTTTAAAATGAACAAAATTTAAAAAAAAATAATAAAAAAAAAAAGTAGGTAGCAAAGAAGTGCTAGCATACGGGATTGGGTTGGGATGGCTGGGGTGCGAATGCCACAGAACTACCTCCTGCGACAGCCGGCGTGGGCAGAGGGCAGAGGCTGCGGGATCGGGATCAGGATCAGGAGAGCCCCTCGTGCACACAGCATCTGCTCCCCCGCCGCCTCGAGGCTGCTGTCGGTGGGGTTGTGGCCAAGGGAAAAGTTTGGGAGGGATCTGAACGAGACCAGCGAGAGGTCTCCCAAATAACCCGAAACCCGCAGAACCCCCTTTGTCACCAGGCTTAAAAACGAGGCTTTGCTTTGAGGAGCACTCAGGTCATCGACTCATCAACACGAACTTTTGGACTTCGGGTCCTGAGGGTGCCTGAGTGTGGGGTGAGCATTTCTGGGCAAGTGGCTGCGGCCTCGATACCCGCAGCACGTAGGAATAACGCTTTTCCACTGTCAAGCTCTAAGAATCCACAGTGCCTAGCAGAGAACGGTCAGGGCCCGCCCGCCTTCCACCTTCCACCAAGGAAATTCCTTCCCAAATCTTACCTTTCCCTGCAGGGGCTTTGGGGTGAGCGTGGGATTCTGGTTCAGACCGTAGTCCGGTTTTAGAATAACCTCAGGTTGTTTTTAGCGCGATCAACTTCAAATATAAAGGATCCAGACGGAGACTTATTTTTTACTGTACTAGTGCTGATCCTACAGAGTACCTGAATTCTTGACACTGTTGTGTTTCTGTATAAATAATACGTGTGCTGACTTTTTTTCATCCTGATCCTCTGGATAGGGCCGGTTTTATTCCTGCAACGCAGCCACCCAATTTTGTGAAATAAAAAAGTCTTTTTTGTACAAAGCTCGGGGCCCCTTTGTCTGCAGTCTGGTTTCTCGGGGTGTGCGTCGGGGATTTGCTGAGCGCTGCTGCTACAACTCGGGGCTGTTTGGGGCGAGCACAAAGCCAGAGCTTGGTACCAGCGAGCCGGGAGACATCTGAGCGAAGCAGGTGAGTGAAAGCCCTTCACAATGCACTCGGTGAGCTGCTCCGGGGAATATCTCAGCTTTTAAAACCTTTCATGAATGTGGATGAGGTAAAACAGCATTCAAGGCCCGGGATGATTTTCTTTTTGATTCCTGCTGTCTCACACCCTGCCTCGGACAACTGCTCCCGCTCGCATCCCTGGCTGAATTAAACACCTGAAAGAACCCCTCAGAGGTGGTGTTTCCAATAGAGGACTGGGCACACTGACCTAGCAGGGTCCCACCTGCTTGGGGTTTCCTCCTTTGTTGCAGGACAGCACAGGGAGGCACGTTTGGGGTGAATTTTTGCTCCTGCTCACACCTCCATCACGCGCAGGGTTTGCAGAGGAGCGGCGGGGCAGCAGCCCAGACAGCCACACGCGCACACGCCACGGCTTGAACCATCTCTGCATCTTAACAACATCCCCAAACTCCTGGCTGCTCGTCGTGCCTGGCAATACCAGCTCCACCGTGTGGTTCCTGAAAAGATCTTTTTTAAAAAAAAAAACTGAATTAAAGCAAAAACTGCGTGCTAGGACACCTAACGAGTTTGGGGAGCCTGAGGGTGCGCATTGCCCTCCGCTGTCCTCCTTGTTCCAATTCCTCCTCCTTTTCCCATGAGAAACTAAAAGGATTTGGCGACTCTGGATGCTCCTTTTCAAGCTGTGCAGCCCCAGGTTGGCAGCAACAAGCACGGAGCTGCTCGGGATAACCCCGAGGGTGCTGCCAGCCCTCGGGGACAGGGGGAAGAGGCTCGTGGAAATTGAAGCCTCTGGCCAGGGGTCACAGCTCGGGGACCCTTTTTGGCAGCCCCAGGGATGCTCCCGGCTGCTGGGAGGCTGCTGGGGGGCTCCTCGTGCCCGGGGGTCACTGTGTAGGGTCCGAAACGCCTCTTTGGGGTGAATTTGGATTTATTTCCCCTTGTTTTCTTTCCTTCCAAGTTGAAGTGTGCTGGGAACCACCTGGTGTTAGTGCCAAAACCAGCAGTCTGCTGCTGAGCAGAGCCGTGGGGAGGGCGGTCGGGAGCAGCAGACGATGAGATTTGGGAAGACCTGGACCCACGGCTCAGACAGCAGGGATCCGTTTGGATCCATTTCACCCAAAAGGAGCCCAGGATGCAGTAGAGGACACGGGGAAGCGGGGGCAGCCTTGGTCCCGCAGCATTTGGAGGCTGCTTGGGGTGGTGGGAGCTCGGCTGCGTGCGCTCAATGGCGCCTTTGATTCATCCTCTCCTCCTCCTTCCCAGCAGCAAGGAAAGGAAAGCCTTGAAGCTCGAGAAGCCTTTCTGAAGTGCAGCGCGTTCGGTGCCACCTTCGCAAGCCTCTGGGCCCCGCGCAGAGCTCGGAGGGGCCGGGAGGTGCTGCTGGCACCGGCCCGGGCTGGGTTTGCTCTCACTTCTTGGTGCTGTGAGCGTGCCAAGGGTGCTGAGCACACCCCGCAGGATTTAACGGTGCCGTTCTGCTCATAGGGCCGCTCAGGCTGATTTATTTTCCTTTATTTCTTTGATTTTTCTTAAATCTTTGCAGATCAGAGCTGCTGGGCGAGCCCTGAGCTCTGCCCTGCCCGCAGCGCGAGCAGCTCTGAGCCTGCTGCCAAGAGCTTCCCCCCATGGGGCCAGGTGGGTTTTTTGGGGACCTGATGGCTTCTTTTGGGGACCTGATGGCTTCATCAGCCCCTGAGAGGGTCTGAGCAGCTCCAGCACCCCGGGGAAGCAGCTCCTGGCATCGAAATGTGTTCAGAGTGAGCACCGAGGCTCTTTTCCTGTGCTTACACCCCAAGCACGGCTCCTGTCCTAGGTTTATGGCAAAGCTCAGCTCAGCTCAGCTCTACGGGGTTTGGCTGGTGCCTGGTAGGTGCGAGGTGTCCGAATTCATCCCCTTTTATCCCCCAGGAAGGGCTGGGATCAGTCGGGGGTTTAGGGCTGCCAGCTCGGCCACAGCCCCTGGGTTGTTTTTAGCACTGCTGGGGCTGGTAGCTAAAAAATTGGCACCCGGCAATTAAAAAATTTGCCCCACGCCTCCCTCCCAGCCCCGTCCTCGCCCCCAGCCCCAATTCTGCCATGGCCGAACCCATTGCTGTGACAGCAGGGACCCTCTGGGACCTCATCCCCTGCCCCATGGGGAGCACCCAGGTCCCCGCTGCCTCTTCCCCATCCTCATCCTCGGCTGCTGCTGCTGCTGCCCTCGGCGGCCCCAAGCCCGGTCCCCTTGGAAACAGCTCCGTGCCCGGAGCCCCGGTGCATTCAGGGGCGGAAGCGCGGGGAATATTAAGCAGGTGCAGCCCCTTCAATCCCCCTTTGAGCGGGGACAGAGCGGGGTTTGTTCGTGCCGCGGGGAGCCCGGCCAGGCGCAGCGCTGGGGGGGGGTACGGGGGGTACCCAAATTGAGCCCCTGCTCTGAGCATCCTTTACCAGGGGGTGTCTTTTTGCTGGGTCTTTTTTCTTGGGGTCTTTTTTTTTTATTGGGTTGGAGGACACGAGGTGACCTTGGGGACCCTCGGGCGCTCCCCAAGCATCTTGGAGAGGTGCGGGACCGCGGGGATGTCACCGCCCCGACCCCCTGCCCGGCCTCGAAGCACTGCAGGGACACCTGAAAAAAAAAAAAAGCAGGCACCGTGGGCACGAACTGAGCCCCCTCAGCACCCCAAAAAGCCCCCCATGAGCGCGCTGTCCCCGTGCGTGCCGTGGTGTCCCCATCACCGCGGTGTCCTCGTGTCCCCACGTGCGCTCGGGGACGCACGGGGCCGTGTCCCCACACCTTGGCGGTGGCACAGGGGGGATTTGGGAGCTGCCCCGGGGTGGGCAGGGGATTGCGCCCCCCCTGCCCCCCCCATAGTTCCCCCGTGGCCCCTCTGGGCTCCCCCCAGCCCTATTATTACACCGGTCACGTCCCGGAGATGATTTTTTCCTTCCCTGCTCAATCCGGCCTCTGTGCGGCCTCTCCGGCTCCTGATGGGCAGGGGGGGGCCTGGAGCAGCCCCCGGCACAAATCCTGACCGTGCCCCCACCCTCACCCCCCCCCAAAGGGCAGAATCAGCCCCCCCACACACCCAAAAATTGCCCCGTGCCCCCCACTTTGGGGAGCATTTTCTGGGGTGGGGGCCCCCCAGCTGGGGGGCTGTTTGGGGGGGTCCCTGTGCTGCTGGAGATGCTGGGGGGGGTCCTGGTGCAGGAAACCCCCCCTTCATCCTACACAGTGTGGGGGGGGCTCAGTGAGGGATGCTGGGGGGGGGGGTCCCACCATGGAGCCCCCCTGTTCTGCCCACGTCTGGGGGCTGTTTGGGGATGCTGGGAGGGGGGCAAGTGCTTTGGGGGGGGGGGGGGGACAGAGACTGGCTGAGATTTGTGGTGCTGGGGAGGGATTTAGGGGGGAGAGGGGGGAGATGGGGGGGGTCCCGGTGCTGGGATTGCAATGGGGGGTGGTCCGGGTGCTTGGAGGGGTGCAGGGGGGAGATATTGGGGGTGTGGGGGAGAGAGATGTGGGGGATTCGTGGTGCTGGGGAGGGATTTAGGGGGGAAATGTGGGGGTCCTGGTGCTGGGATCGCAATGGGGGGGGGGGTCCCGGTGCTGGGAGAGCTATGGGGGGGGGGTCCGGGTGATGGAAGGGATGCAGGGGGGAGACATTGGGGACGGGGGGGAGAGAGATGGGGGGGATTCGTGGTGTTGGGGAGGGATTTAGGGAGGAGATGAGGGAGATGGGGGGGTCCTGGTGCTGGGATTGCAATGGGGGGGGGGTCCCGGTGCTGGGAGGGCTTTGGGGGGGGGGGATCTCGGTGCTGGGATCGCTATGGGAGGGGGGGTCCCGGTGCTGGGAGGGCTACGGGGGGGAGTCATTAAGGCTGGGGGGGGGCATCCCCTGGGTCCGGGCTGTCTCCCGCTCCCATCACCGGCATTTCGGGGACGGGGGGGTGAGGGTCCCATCCCGGTGCCCCCCCATCCGTCCTCCCACCCCCCCCACACCCCCTCCACCACGGGCGGAGCCGGTGCCTCCCGCCCGCCCCCAGCCCGGCCCGGCCCCCCCCGGTCCCCCTCCAGGCTCGGAGCTCGGCGGCGGCTGCGGGGCTTCGGGAGCGGGGGCTCGGGCGGTGCCGGTGCCGGTTCCCGGTGCCGGTTCCCGGTGCCGGGGGGGGTCCCGTGGCCCCATCCATGCCGCCATGGCCCCCCCGCCCCGCGCCGCCCTCGCCCTGCTGCTGCTCGCCGCGATCGGCCCCGCCGCGCCCGGTACGTGCGGGGACACCGGGACGGGGGGGGGGACACACACCGGGGGGGGTCCCGGGGGGGGTCCCACTGTACCCCCCCCTGCCAAAGGTTGGGGGCCGGTGGGGCTGAGCCCACCTGTGGGAGGGTGGGGGGCGGCCCCCGAGGCTGGCGGGGATGGGCAGGGGCCGGGGGGGGGCTGCGGATGGGTGGGGGGGGGGGGGTCGGGTGTTGGTGGGAGGGTTGGGGGGGGTGGGGAGGGGATGGGGGGTGTTATGGGGGGCTGGGGGGTGTTATAGGGGGCTGGGGTCCGCAATGGGGGGGTTAGGGTCTGTTATGGGGGGGCTGGGGTCCTTTATAGGGGACTGGGGGCTGGTATGGGGGGGCTGGGGTCCGCAATGGGGGGGCTGGGGGATGATTTGGGGGGGCTGGGGTCTGTTGGGGGGGGGCTGGGGTCCGCTATGGGGGGGCTGGGGGCCGTTATAGGGCGATTGGGATCTGCACTGGGGGGATTGGGATCCGCTATGGGGGGGGGATTTGGGGTCCGTTTTAGGGGGCCCGGAGCCCCCCCCCCCCCGGAGGGAGTCGATCCCCTGGCAGGGACTGGATCCCCTTGCCGGGGGGGGGCAGGATCCCGTTATATGCCTGGGGGTGGGGGCCGGATCCCCTTGCAGGGCGGGATCCCCTCTGCAGGGCTGGATCCCCTCGTAAGGGGGGGGGTGACTGGGGACCCCCGGGGGTGTCACAGCCGGGGGGGGGCTCCTGGTGTGAACTGGAGCCCAGGGGATGCTCGGGACCCCCCCTGACACCTCCGTGTCCTTGTGCTCCCCGCAGCACCCCAGTGGCCCCCCCATAACGGCAGCGAGGCTGAAGGCAGAGCCTGGGGAGGGGGGGGCTCCCCGGAGAGGGACCCGGCAAACAGAGCCCCCCCAGGGACCCCCAGCAACACCACCACCAACCCCGGGGGGGTCCCATCGGCCGGCGAGCCCCCGCGGGGACCCCAGCTAGAGCCCCCCGGGGGGGGCACGGCCTCCACCACCCACCCGGAGCTTGGGTGCCCGGGGTGCGCCGCCGGTGCCGCCGGCTGGGGAGGGCGATGCCAGCGCCTTGCCCCCCACCCCGGGCTCAGCCGAGGACAACGAGGTGGCCACCGGGGTCACCTGGCCTGGGGACAGCAGCAGGGTGACCATCGGGAGCCCCGAAGAGGCCGGCAGCGGCGAGCACCCCACCAGGGCCTCGGTGCCGGGGGGGCGCACGGCCTCCCCGCCGAGCATCCCCGATATCCCCAACCCGAATTTCGGCACCGATTCGGCCGAATCCGACCCGCTGCTGGCGGCCGGGGGCTCGGCCCCGGTACCGGGGGACTCGGGGCAAGAATTTTGGGTGGCCTCATCCAGCCCGGCCCCGGCGCAGGGGGCTCGTGGCCGTACGGAGAGGACCTGGTTGGAGGTGCTGGAACCCGGCACGGCCACGGTGCCACCACCGGGCACGGCCGAGCCCCCGGCCCCCGAAATCATCGACGTGGATTATTACGATCTCTTCGAGGGCTGGCGAGGGGCTGGGGGGTGGCCGGGGGGCTGCCTCGGGCACGGCTCGGAGGGAGCCAAGCGGCGGGGTGACGCCGTGGGGTCTCCACGAGCTCTACGACGACTTCACGCCCTTCGACGAGTCGGATTTCTACCCCACCACCTCCTTCTACGCCGAGGGCGACGAGGAGGAGGAAGAGGAGGACGAGCTGGAGGAGGAGGATGAGGAAGACGAGGAGGAGGAAGATGGGGGCTTGGAGGACGAGAACGGCTACCGGCCACCCCCCTCGGCCGTGCCCCGCGTCCCCCAGGCACCTCGGGGACCCCGAGCGAGCCCCCGGCCACCACCGAACCCCCCCGGTGCCAACGGGGGAAGCCCCCCAGGAGCGCCAGCGACCCGGGGAGCGCCCGGTACCGGGGAACGGCACCGAGTGCCGGAGCGGCTTCGTGCGCCACAACGGCTCCTGCCGCTCCGTCTGCGACCTCGTCCCCAGCTACTGCCACAACGGAGGCCAGTGCTACCTGCTGGAGGGCATCGGGGCTTTCTGCAGGTAGGGATTTGGGGTGGTTGGGTGGGGGCTGCTGCGCCCCGGGACGCGGAACATTTTGGGGAGGGCGCACGTCCCCGTGGAGGACGTCGGGGAGACCCCCGGCAGCCTCCCAGAGGAGGGCGCAGGGTTTGGGGTGGTGCTTGGGTTCCCCGTAGCTGGTCCGTGTCCCAATCCATGGGGCCGTGTCCCCTTCCATGGGGCCGTGTCCCCATCCCCAAGGCCACACCGGGGGCCGGGGGCTCTCCACCGCCCGCTGCATCCAGGCAGGAATTGGGTCAGGGCTGCGCGGACGAGGCTCCGGCCGCGGCGCCTGTCGGGATTGGCACCGGGGGGGGGACACACACACATGGGGAGGGCTCCAGCGGGGCTGTCCCTGCTTTTGGGGCAGGAACCCCCCCAGTGCCATCCCCTTATGGGGTCACGCACTAATCCCATCCCCGCCGGCTGCCCTAATCCGCGGATATCGGCTGCGCACGGGGGGTTTTGGTGCCGGGGACGGGTTTTTTTTTTTTTTTTTGGGGGGAGGGAGGACCTTGATCGCGTCCCCCTCGTAGGTGCAACACGCAGGACTACACGTGGCACAAGGGGACGCGCTGCGAGGCCATCGTCACCGACTTCCAGGTGCTGTGCGTGGCCGTGGGCTCGGCCGCCCTGGTGCTGCTGCTGCTCTTCATGCTGACCGTCTGCTTCGCCAAGAAGCTCTACCTGCTGCGGGCCGAGAACAGCAAACTGCGCAAAACCAAGTGAGCCGGGAGGGGGGGGACCCGACCCCAAAACCCCTCGCGTCCCCAAAGCCCCCGGGAGGGAGCACGACCCCACCCCAAAACCCCTCGTGTCACCAAAGCGCCCGGGAGGGAGGACGACCCCACCCCAAAACCCCTCGTGTCACCAAAGCGCCCGTCTCCGCGTGATTTTGGGGTGCCACGGGGTGGGGGTGGTAAAAATGTCGCTGCTGCTTTGTGGATCATCATTTTGGAGTCTACTGGTTCCAGTTCGTCTGCCCTACTGGGAGCACTGGGATGGGGAGAGGGTATGATGGGGTTTTGGGGCCATAGGGGGGTGGGGAGGGTGCCACAGCCCCTCTGGGGACACCGTGGGGTGGGTGAAGGTTGGGGTCGTGTCCCCCCACCCCCTCCCCAGCCACTTTTCTCCGGAGCCAGGCGAGGAGAACGCGCTCCCAGCGCGGGTCCCTAATGAGCTCTTAATTAGCGTTTGCCTGGGCCAAGTGTAATTAGCAGCAAACCTCATGCCAGCCCTTGCTCCGTGGCCGTGACTCCTTCCTGCCCCTGCTGCTCCCTCCACCTGGGGGCACCCCCCAAGGACCCTATTCCTCCCCCTAATCACTCCATGGGGACCCCCACCCCAAAAAAAAAACCCCATGGGGGTATCTCCCCCCCCCCCAGATACCGCACCCCGTCCGAGCTGCACAACGACAACTTCTCCCTCTCCACCATCGCCGAGGGCTCGCACCCAAACGTAAGGATGCTGGGGGGGACACCGGGGGGGTCCCCGTGCTGCTGGGCTTTTTGGGGTCTTGTGGCCGTGGGTTTGGGGTGGGGGAGGTGGGCGCCGGGGTCCTACCACCGCCGCTTTTTTTTCGGGTTGCCACAGAGAGACGCCAAGTGCCTCGCCGCCTGCGAGCCGCCTCTAGCCCGGGCCTGAGCCGATTTCCCCGTCTTTCGACCCAATTTTAGCACCCGTAGTGCCTGCGAGAGACCCCCCCCCGGCAGGAGGCTCCCGCTTCTTGTGCCCCCCCCCTCCCCGCCGTGCCCGTTTGGGGCCTGCGTGATCCCCAAACCGGAGGGGACAGCAAGGAAGGGGGGGGACACCCCAAGAAGGTTTTTTTTGGTTTTTTTTGGGGTGCTCCTGCGGCCACCAGGAGCGGGGGATAGAACAAAACGCAATAAATCAGTAATAAAATGCAATAAATCGATAAAATGCAAGAAATCCCACCCCACGGGGCTGCTGCCGGCGCTGTTTGGGGTCACTGCTTGTCCTGGGGGGGGGGGACACACACGGTGGGTGCGAGGTGGGCACGGTTTTGGGTGCTGGAGGTGCCGGGAATGAGCGGGGATGGGTCAAACCCTTTTGTCTGCCCTTCCCGTGGGCTTAAAACCCTACAGGATGGGTGTGGGGGATTTTTTTGTTCCCCTTCGTGCCCTAAAGGAGGCTGGGGGTGCGGGAAAGGGGGGGGGGGAATGAGGTTTTGGGCCACCGGGCGCGTGGTGACCTTTTTGTGCGTAAAAAGGGTACGGGATGGAGAGGGGCTCTGCCAGGGAACGGGGACAGCACGAGGAAAAAGGTTTGAAACCCCAAAAGGGTGAGAGTGGGGGGAGAGAAGGGAGGTAGAGGGATTTAGGATGGGGGTGCCCAGCGCTGGAGGTGCCCAAAATTGGGGTGTTTGGGGTTTTGGGCACCGGAGCCGAGGGGAGCGCAGTTTGGGGTGCTCCGTGGGGGTTTGGCCACCCAAAATCCCCCAAACCCAGCCCTCCTTTCTTTCTTTTTCTCTGTAGGATGACCCCAACGCCCCCCACAAGCTGCAGGATTCCCTCAAATCCTGCCTGAAGGACGAGGAGCCCCCCAGCATCCCCAGCGCCGCCCCGGCCCCATTAGAAAGCGGCAAAGGGGGCGAGGCGGGGGGCTGCGGGGTGCCCTGCCTGCACAACAACCTGGCTTAGGGCACGTTTGGGGGGCACCCGCCTCCCGAATCCCCGTGTCCCCGTCCCCCCATCCCCGCCCGTGGCATGTTTTTGGTGTGTTTTGTCTAGGGGAACAGCGCCGTGTCCTTGTGGGGTCCTTGTGGGGTCCTTGTGGGGTTTGTGCTTCGTGCTCCGTGTCTGCCGCTTGGCTCCGTTCCGCGCCGTGGGTTCTCAAAGCCTCTGCTGTTGACGCCACTTTTTTTTTTGTACTTTTTTTTTTGTCTGCCCCCCCCCAGCCCCAAAACCCCACTTTTTTTTGGAATATGAGTCAAAACATCCCAAAAAAAAAAAGAAAAAAGGGGAGATGTTGAAATAAAACTTTTTTTTTTTTTTTAAACTTAAGCCTCTCTTGCCGGTGTCTGCGCTCTCCCAACACAGGTTGCGGCTGCTAACCCTGACCCTAAGCTCAACCCCAACCCCAACCCTAATCCTAAACCTGACCTCAACCCCAAACCCAATCCTAACCCTGACCCTGACCCTAACGTCAACCCCAAACCCAACCCTAGCGCTAAAACTAACCCTAAACCTAAGCCTAACAGGAACCCCAACCCTAACCCCAACGCTAACCTCAATCCCAACCCCAATCCCGACCCCAACCCCAACCCCAACCCCAACCTCAACCCTAACCCTAACCCCAACCCCAGCCTCAACCCTAACCCTAACCCTGACCCTAACCTCAACCCCAAACCCAACCCTAACCCTAACCCTGACCCTAACCTCAACCCCAACCCCAACCCCAACCCTAACCCTAAACCTAATCTCAACCCCAACCCCAACCCTAACCCTGACCCTGACCCTAACCTCAACCCCAAACCCAACCCTAGCGCTAAAACTAACCCTAAACCTAAGCCTAACAGGAACCCCAACCCTAACCCCAACGCTAACCTCAATCCCAACCCCAATCCCGACCCCAACCCCAACCCCAACCCCAACCTCAACCCTAACCCTAACCCCAACCCCAGCCTCAACCCTAACCCTAACCCTGACCCTAACCTCAACCCCAAACCCAACTCTAACCCTAACCCTAACCTCAACCCCAAACGCTAAAACTAACCCTAAACCTAAGCCTAACAGGAACCCCAACCCCAACCCCAACCCCAACCTCAACCCCAACCCCAACCCTAACCCCAACCCTAGCATCAACCCCAACCCCAATCCCAACCCCAATCCCAACCCTAACCTTAACTCCAACCCCAATCCCAACCCCAATCCCAACCCCAACCCCAAACCCAACCCCAACCCCAACCCCAATCCCAACCCCAACCCTAACCTTAACCCTAACCCCAACCCTAAACCCAACCCCAACCCCAACCCCAACCCCAATCCCAACCCTAACCCTAACCCCAACCCTAAACCCAACCCCAACCCCAACCCCAACCCCAATCCCAACCCTAACCCCAACCCCAACCCCAACCCCAACCCTTTCCCTTCCCTTTTCCATGCCCCCCATCTTCTCTGTCCCCATCCCAGCACAGGTTCCCCCAGGATCTGTGTGCGGCGTTGTGTCCGTCACCCCACAACGTGCTCCTGGTCCCCTCCACCAGACAGACTCACTCCCCGGGCACCTCCGACCCCTTTTTGGGGCCAAACCACAGCAAAACCCATTTTCTATGCATCCTTTCAGCCTCCGATCGCGGCGATTCTCCCGTCCCCAGCGAGCTGAACGGAGCAGGAAGGAAAATCTGGTGGCTTCGGTGGTGTAAATCAGGAAAAAAAAAAACTATTTCCACCCGGGATCGCGGGGGGGACGCGGCTCCTGCCGGAGAGGAGCTCGGTGGTTCCTCTGGGGGAGAGAGAGAGGAAATTAATCAATTAATTAAGCAATTAATCAAGAGGTGATTATCAGCGTGATTATGCCCCTCTCGCTCCGGGGTTTTCATCCCTCGCCGTGCCTCAGTTTCCCCTCCAGCCGCTGCCACTGTCCCCATCCCGCTGCCTGCCCCGAGGAGGACAGAGGAGCCCCGTGACTTTTTCCGTCCCCTTAGGGGAACGAGCCTCCTCCCAGCACCCCCAGAGCCCCAACCCCATTAAATGGGGAGCTCGGGGATGGCCATTAAATTTAAACGCCTCGCTGGTTTCATTTTGGGGTCGGGGTGGCCCTTTTGTGGCCGGGCGACGGCTGGCACGGGACACGGGATGAGGGGAGGGGGCTGGCACGGGAGCCACGTTTGTCCTCATCCCTTCCCTCGTCCCCTTTTCTCCCTCGGACACGTCCCGGGAGCAGCGTGGGGACAAGGAGCCTTTCTTCCCTCGGGCTGGCCATAATCCCGATGGTGTTAGGGGCACTGGGGTCAGGCTGGTGGGACCGATCCCAAACCTTTCTCAGCCTCCTGGACCGTCTGCGGGGGCTGCCAAAACCCCGTCCAGCCCTAAATGCACACACGGGGGGGCTCTGGGGGACCCCAGGGCGTCTCGGCTGCTAAGGGGAGCCCCCAGGTGATGTGTGGGGACCTTGGTGGCCACGGAGAGGACGATGCCACCGATTATTCCTCGATCCCAGCCTAACAGGGAGCAAACCCCAGAGCCCGTGCCGGGTTTAACCAAGAGGAGGGAAGCAAAATCCTCTTAGCTGGGCAAAAACTGCACAGTGCTGAGCTCAGGGGAGAGCAGCTGTGGCTGTTTGCTGATGCCAGTGAACCTCCCAGCACGGCTCTCACCCCGCTCCATCGCCGCTTTCCAGCTGCGGGGCCGGGGGATCCTGCAGGGATTGGGATGAGGGGAGAGGAAGGAGGCGAGGAGGGGGCTGAGCACGGCCTGAGCTCGCTCCTGGCCCTCGTGAAGGGATGTGGAAGGAAAAGGAGATGAAAACGAGTGGGCTGAGAGCCTGGGTGAGGCTTTAGGGGCGCTGGCAGGGCTTCAGAGGAGCGCCGCGAGCAGCAAACCCAAAAGGAAATGCCCCAGGAACAAGCTTGGATCCGTCGCCGGCTCCTCGCTGACCTCGGGCTCGGGAAAAAGGTCGGCAGAAAGTGGGAACGAGGGCGGATCACCAGGGACAGCCACACGGGGGGCGCAGGCATGTGGGGGAATCCGGCCGGCCAAATCGAGATGGGAATAGAAAAAAAAAAGGGCAGCGCCAGCAGGAGGAGGGAGGTGATGGCAAACGAGGGGCTGAGCACTCAAAGGTTTGGTAAAACCAGCCCTAAACACGCCAGCTGCAATGAGTAAGGGAAGTGGAATTAACCCAGAAAGTGTTAATTGGGGTAAATGAGAAGAGTAAGCAGTGTACGTGGCTCGGAGGGGGATTTTCTGAGCTTTATCCTCAGAAAACTGGCTGAAGGCACCTGGGACCTGATCATCGGGGGAGGTAAAGCAAAGGTTTTCTCCCTAAAAATCCTCTTCCCACACGCTCACACCAAGGAGCCCGGTGGTTTCAGTTAACCCTCCCCACCGTGCTCTTGGGAATTGCTTCAAACACCGCACGGTGAAGTGTTTCTGGTGGTTTCTTTTGGTGAATAATTGCTTTTTTGCCACTCGTTTTGGTCCCACACGGCACGGGAGCTTAAGGGTAAGCAGCACGGTTACCTACGGGTGCCACAATGCCATAGGTGCAAGGTTTGCTGCACTGCAAACACCACAAAAGCAAAAAAAGGCAGGAATTTATGTTAATATTAATTTAGAGGGCTCTGCGGCTCCTGGAGGAGCTGGAAGGGAAGCGCTCCGGGGAGAGAAACGTGACGGTGCAGGCAAAAAGGTGGCCAAAAAACGCCCCGATCATCAGCATATGGGAGAGCTCTGAGTTAGGAACAGCTCCAGGCTCTGCCAAATCCCTCCGTGAGCCAAACCCTGAGGGCTGGGAGGACAGGAGGTGAGGGAGTTAAGGCAGGGAGCCCGGCCGGAGCTGGTTCCCCACGCCCCCGAGAGCCAGAGCCGGGTTCCCAGCGCTCTGAAAAGGGCAGGAAAACAAAAGGCCAAGCGATCCGGGCTGTTAAAGCAGCTTTCAGCCGAAGCTCCTCCAGCGAGGAAGCCGTCCAAGGGAAGGAGAGGAAGCCCTTTCACAGCTCTGCAAGTGGTTAAAAGGCAGGAAGCACGGGGCTGACCCCAAAAAGTGGGTTTCTGGGGGGTATCTCGGGGTCCGGGCGCCTCACCCAGCCTGTGCCTACGTTCTCTGAAAAGGGTTAGGGAATGGGGTGGCAAATTTTACAGATAACACACAAATAAACATCAAAAATAAAGGGGGAAGAAGAGCTGCGACGGCTCAACCAAATCCCCATTTAGCCAGCTGGCTTTTCTGCAGCTCTCCCAAACCAGAAGATGGGGGAAGCTGGAGGCTAAGGCGAGCGCTGCGTGGTCCCAAAACTCTTCTCCCAAACCCCCAAAATTTGCAGCTCAGGGGCTTCCCAAGTTGCTCTCAGATCTCTCTCCCGTGGCGTAGTCCCCTTTCTCCTACCAGCTCACCCTCCTAAGCCCACAAATAGTGATAATTTGTGGTTCTTTCTAACCAATTTGTGTCTCCTGGCTCTTGCTCGGCGCTTGCCATTTCTCAGCATCCCCTGATGCCCCCTAATGCTCGCAGCAGACGAGGCAGTGCTGGGACCACGCAGCTCCTCCAGTCCCCTTGGCACATCCAATGCTCCACATGTCTCCCTCAGCCGGGCAATCCTCCTTTATACTACAAAAAGAAAGAAAAAATTACAAAAGTAAATAAGGGGCAAGCGCATTCAGTGCCAAAAAACGCAGATCCAGGTGCGGGGGGGTGAAAATAACTCTACTGTGATTTGGATGCTCACGGCTGCAGGCTGTAAATTAGCTGATATTAATCGGGGAAGAAGCCAGGAATGATCTCGGCTCTGCTGTGAGAGCCCCAAATAAATGCTCTGCAGCATCCCAAAGTGCCGGTGACTTTTTGGGAAGTGTTGAGGACATCGGAGAGCCCTCGTGAAGCCACCGGCGTGCCACGGCCTGGGTGAATGGCCGGGTATTGAGGGTGGTGGCTCGAGGTGTAGGGTCTGGGGGGAGTCCAGGCACTGGTGGCGGACCCCAGGGGTGATACTGGGCCCAGTCCCGTTACTGGTGTGGATGACGGGGGCAGCTCTGTAGGACCGAGGTGACCTCGAGGCAGGTTGATGGAGCCCTGGGGCCGAGCTCTGCCAGCAGGTGGAGGGATGGCACCGCACAACCACGGCACCACAGCGGGGTCGGGGTGCGAAGGGACCCCCAAAACCCCCCCATGGCCGTGCCCAGAGCCCCCAAACCCTCAGGCTGCCCCCAGCCCCATCCAGCCTGGCTTTGGGCACTGCCAGCGATGGGGCACCCCCAGCTCCTGGGGGCAGCCCTCACTGTGACAGATTTCCCTTAATTTCCCCCTAATTTTCCCCAAATCCCCTTCTTTTCACCCTAAAGCCCCCCCAACTCCTGTCACGACCCCCCCCTCCCCACCCCAGCGCCCCCTCAGGGGCTCTCCTCAGGGGCTCCCCTCAGGGGGGGCTCCCCTCAGGGGATGGGGGGGGCTCCTCCACCCCCCCCCTCCCCAGCCGCCATTTTAACACCGTGGGGACCCCCATTAATGGCGGGGGGGGGTCTCATGAATCCTCCCCCCTCAGTCCCCTCCGTGAACACGGAACCGGAGAGGAAGGGGAGGGAGAAAAGGGCTCCGCCTGCCGCATGCGTGGCTGTGGTGTGTCCCCCCCCCCCCGAAACGCACACACAGCCCCCGGTAAAGGGCACCGTGAGGCAGCAGCAGCAGCCCCCGGCCATGCTGGGGGAGCTCAACGAGCTCCTGGGCGCCTCCCCTCAGCGCCCGGGCACGGTGAGGGAGGCGATGGCGGGGGGGGGGGTAATGGCGGAGGCGCGGGCGGCCGCCATGGCGCGGGCACGGCCACGCTGCCACCACAAAAAGTGTCCCTATCACCACCATCAGTGTCACTGCTGTCCCCATTTCTGTCCCTTCTGACCCCACAACCCCTAGGGGGGCTGCCAGGCTTCTGCCCCCATCGGGCGTGGGGCTGCTGGGGGCTGTGGTCCTAAAATCGATGATAAAAGCGTTGCCCCAAATGTTTTCTAGCCCCTCTGATGTATGTAGTCCTGCTTTAGGCTGCTCTGTTTGTTTATTTTGTCCCTGTAGGGTGGGTTTTTGGGGTAGTTTGTGAGTCCTGTGAGGGGTGGATGAAGGAAATGTGGGTGCTTGGATAAAAGGAGGCTGAGGGGAGACCTCATCGCTCTCTGTAAATACCTAAAAGGAAGGGGTGGGGAGCTGGGGTCGGCTTCTTCTCATCGATAAAATGGATAGGACTAGAGGGAATGGCCTCAAGTTGTGGCAGGGGAGGTTCAGGTGGGAAATTAGGAGATATTTCTGTCAGGAAGAGCAGTCAGGTGTCGGGACGGGTTGCCCAGGGAGGTGGGGGAGTCACCGTCCCTGGGGGTGTTCAAGGAGAGGTTGGATGTGGTGCTTGGGGACATGGTGTGGTGGTGGCATTGGTGGTAGGGGGTGGTTGGAGCAGGTGATTTTGGAGGATTTTTCCTGGGAGGGGGTCTCGGTGGATGGAGAAATTGGAGAGAAAATCAGGGGGAAGGACTGCGGCCAAGCGGCATCGTGGTTCGGCACTGCAGCCCTGCAAAGTGGGGCTTGATGCAAATTGGGATTTCAGAAGAGCAAAACCAACAGGAGGTTTGGCCTCGAGATCCCGAGTTTTGACTTGGCAGCGTAGGCAGAACCTAGCAGAGGCGCCAGGCATCTGTGCGGGGATTTGCCTCAGATTTGTGTTGGCTCTTCCATCAGCCAGGGATGTGGACTTCAACAACACACCCAGATGTCCTACCACACCTGGGCTACAAGGGCTGGCCAGAAATCAGTGTCCTGCTGCATTTAAAAAGCACCAGCCCTTTGCAAATCTCTTCCCATCTCTGCCTTTCCATTTTCTGCATCGCCGCGGTTAAATCCGCGCCATTTTCCGAGTGCTGACTGCAGGGCTGGTAGGTGGAAGATGCTGCTTGCCTGCGTGGGTGTATCTGAGATGTCACCCTCAGATGTCATCTGAGATGCTTGTGACATCCGCCGCTGCCCTGCCGATTGATTTTGGCAGTTTCTAACAAGTGGCTGCAGCTTCTGCTTCGTAGCCCGCAGGTGGAAAGAGCGCGAAAGCAGCGTGCGGAGAGACCAGGGAGAGAAAGTGCTGCAAGAAGGAGGCATCCCCTATGGAAGTGCTTCACCCCAAGCCCTTTCTGGCCTTGAGAAGGACGTGCAGGTGGGGGACGAGGGTCAAACCATGCACCCCCACGAGCTGTGGTGCAGCTGCTGCCTCTGGAGGTGCACGGTTCAGGTTTGCCACCCCTCACGTACACGTTGGGGATGGAGAGTTTTAGGCACAGTCCTAAGCAGCTGCAGTGCGACAGCGAAGTGAGGATCGGCAGGATTAAAGGTCAATAACGGGAAGGTTTTGAAGAAGCTGAATAATGTGTGCTCTGTGTGGCAGCATCCCACTGTGTCCTGCTTTCCGAGAGCTGTCAGGTGGACTTTGCTTCAGCGGTGCCTCCTGCTATTGTAATGCCCACCGAGGTGCACCCTTTTTTTTTTTTTTTTGCATGGAAAAATGCTCTCTGGCTGGGGCAGAACAGCCTTTCTGGACCCGAAGTCCTGCCTTGCATCCCGTGCAGACACGTTCAATATTTGCCGTCCCATTAGCACCGCTTCACGACACGTGTCAGGCATCGGGGAGCTGCCTGGGAGATGGCTTGCAAATTGCCTGTGGGTAGCGTGGGGCTTTTTGTTTTTCTTCTAATAGACTGGAAAAAAAAAAAAAGAAAAAAAGCATTGGTAAGTTCTTTGTGATTAAAAACAACCCTTCTGTGATTTGTATTGATTAAAGAGGAATCCTGGCTGAGGTTGTAATGGCAACAAGCGCCTTGATGAGACGGGTGCTGATAACAAGCAGGCGCTGATGAGCCGAATTAATTTCCTGCGTGATCAAAACAAGGTTTATACTTCGTGCGGGGAGCTCTGCTCCAGTGGCTTTTAGGTGGTGGGCAGAGCTTCCATGGAGAGCTCAGCATCCACTGCTGCCTCTCCACGGACCTTTGTAAACGGATGGGTGGCTGCAGTGCTGTTTCTGCCTCCTCCATCACCTGTAGATCCTCCTCTGGCTGCAGACCCGAGCAGGTAACCTCGTCTACCCAGATGGAGCCTCTCATCCTCTGTTCAATTCTTTTGCTTCTTCTTTTCCAGGGCAAATTCACGCTGCTGCGGGACGCCAGGACGGACGGCAGCTTCCTGGTGCACCATTTCCTCTCCTTCTACCTCCGAGGTACGCGAGCAGCAGGGCTCTGCGAGGCAAGGGCTTTGTCTTCGCCTGGTCCTTGGAGCTTCCCTCCCCGAGCAGTGATTCTCCTTGAGCAGAGGCTGGTTTTGCAGAGCACGTGGCGTCCCTGGATTAGCACAAAGCGTCAGGATTTATGGATCCCAGTCCCGGCTTGTTCTTGGGACGTGCTCCATAGCCTTGGGCACTCGGGACTTGCCCCGTAGCCTTAATCTCCCTGCAGCTCGTTTCGTCAGCAGCGCAGCGCAGGCTGGAAATCACAGGGGCACCCCAGAGCGAGGTGATGAACGCGGTTCCTTCGCTACCAAGCCTTTAAAAACACAATTAAAATGTATCAGGAATAACTGAGCAAGTAGATAAGCCGGGAGCGGGTCAACAAACAAACAAGCAGAGGGTTTGATGAGTTGCCTAATTGCTTTTCGGCTCACCTTTCACCTGGGAACAAGCTGCCAGCCCCTGCAGAGAGGGCGCTGGGTGCCTGGGCTCCTCCAGCTTTCTGCTGGCAAAGCAGCCAGCCCTGCAAAAGTGGTGAGACCAAACCTCTCCGCCTTGAAACTCAGCTCCGAGTGCTGTGGGGCTGAGAGCATCCTGCCCCCCCCAGCTCCAGCTTCACCCTATTTTTAAAAACAAATCCGTGCTCCCCGGTAGGGAGGAGCAGGCACAGGGTTCGTGCCCAAGCCACAAGGCCGGCTCGTCACGTGCTGGCTTTCCCCAAAATCACGTTTGAGCGAGGTGGCTTTGTCAGCGTTGCTGGTTCGGGGTGTAATTCCAGACAAGGTCACTCGCTCTGCGAGAGCCAAAACAGGGATTTTTGGCACGCCAGCGATTTCGGTCGTTCGTGTCATGGTCGGCCGTTGGCCTCCTTGCAGCAGGAGCAGCAAACAGTGCAGGGAGATCCCAGGGCAGAATGGCATGAAACAGAAAAAAAGACCCATATTTTTTATTCTTTTCCTCTCTTTCCTGTTCTTTCCATTTCTTTTTAACCTGACTAAAATTTTCCCTGAATCGGGGAAACCCACAGAGAGGTGAAAATTGGGAGCCCGGCCCCGAGCAAACGGAGGGGCTGCCTGGACCTGCCTCACTTCCAGGCTTTGGCAGAGAGATCTGCAGCCTGGCTGCTGGGATTTGGGTGCCTCGACAGTGGCAGCTTGCAAAAATCCGAAATAATAACGCGCCTTTTTGTCTTCCCCCCCAGCTGGCTGTAAGGTTTGCTTCGTGGCCCTGCTCCAGTCTTTCAGTCACTACAACATCGTGGCACAGAAGCTGGTAAGTCTCCTGGCACGGGCGAGAAATTCCAGACCCAATTTTTGTTTTTTTGGGGGAAAGAAATGAGGATGAGGGATGGGAATTGCAGGTGAGCACAGATTCACGGGTCTTGATGGGGCCGATCAGGTTTGGTGCTCCTGCAGCAGGGAACAGAGGGATGTGGTACGGGACAAAAGCCAGGTTTAGGATTAGGATTAGGATTAGGATCAGGCTTGTCTGATTAGGATGCTCACTGCAGCAGCCCCACCGGACCCCCCCTGCCTGCTTTCTTTAGGCTTAGAGGAGTTTTCTGGCGTTCCCAAGACAATCCCAGCCTGTTGGGTGTAATTTTCACTGCGCTGTCCTGAATCATTTTGGGCTGAAACACCCGTAATTCAGGATGATATCTGCATGCTGCTCTTTGTCTCTGGGCCAAGCCACCGGTTAGAGGCAGCTGAGGAGCCACAGGTGAGGACGTTCTTAACAATCCCCTTCCCACCGTGAGTCAGGCAAGGGCTACGTGTACCAGGAAAGGAAAAAAACCCAAAAACCAAGTCGGAGAGGTCGTTCCCAGTGCTGGAAACCTGCTGGTAAGGACTCTGGGGTGTTGGAGAACCAGGTGTTGCGGTGCTGGTGTAGTCCCGTAAATGTGGGATGAATTTTGGTCCTTGCTAAACAGCTGTATGTCACTTCATACTCAGTTTTCACCCTTTAAAAGGAGATAAATGGTCTGAGAGCCCTGCAGAGCGCATCCCCGCTGAGCAAACCTAGGCGCTGTGAGCACCAAATAGTTCCTGCAGACAGCAAGGAAACCTTGGGGGGAGCTTGCTAAGTGGGATGGGGACCCCCTGACCGTGTCTGCTCCAAAAGCAGCATCACATCTCGGTGGATTTCTTCACGGGGTGAAATTTCCTGGTATGCATTTTGCCTGCAGGTTGGACCTCCGTGGGTTATTTCTGTCTGGGTTTCCCTAAGGTCTTGCCTTTGCTCGCTGCCTAAACGAACACCTCGGGTGGTTTTGGGCAGGGTGGTTCCGCTCGTGGACCTGTTGATGATCAGAGCCCTGTTTATGAGTGGAATTTGCTCTGTTCGTGGGTGAGATCCGAGGCAGAAATCCTTCCCTCTGCGGGCTGCTGGAGCCAGGAGGGTAGGATCCAGACTTTGCAGCGGTGTCCTGTGCTCCCCATTGAAATCTGATGTTATTTCCCACTTCCCCACAGCGTTGCCAGCTCTCAGCAGCCCAGAACCAGTTCCTTATCTCTTGGCCAAGTGCAGCGACTTCTTTTTACTTGCAGGAAGAAGCTTCCCTGATTTTTTTATTTTTTTTTGTGCCTGTCCTGCCTCCGCAGTAACAGCTTCACCTTTTCCTTTCCTCCTCACCCCACTCCTGAGGCTCCACGCTGAATTCTGAGGGACAATTAATGGCGTTACGGCCTTCCAGACAGCACGCTGGGCTGTAGGAAGACTTAATAGCACCGGGGCAGCTTGCCAGGTCGCTGTTCCACCCTCATTTTTACAACCTTTGCTTTCTTTTAAAGGAAAAACGCATTTATCCCCGCACGGCCTCCCTCTTGCCTGCTCCCCCATCCTGTGCTGTGACGCCGAGACCCCAAAACTGAGGACACTGCCTGCTCAACCTCTGCTTGCCCCTGCAGGTGCTGCCCCAAAGGAGAAACCTCGCAGGATCTCCTGCTCATGGTGCACTTTGCACCGTGGCTGCTGCTCGAGTTCATGACCGCCGCCTCGCCAGCTCTCGCCTGCAAATATTTCGCTGCCCAGCGGCGAGTTTTTGGCTTTTAGGGCCGTGGGGGAGAGCCGTCGTGCTCCTGTGTGGAGCTGGCAGCCCCCGTCACGCCGGGCTGTAATTTCAGAGGCATCTCCGGGCTCGATCGATAAGGGACGGGTTGCCAGAGATAAGGTCTGCGGGCGATAACGGAGCGCGGCGCTGCGAGGTGGTGAAAGCTTTCAGGGTGTGCTGCGGCTCCACAGCAAGGACGTTTGTTGTGGCAGGCCTTTTAGTGACCGAGGAGGTGCCGTTGGCTGTTTTGGGCGCTTTTCTCACCAATTTTGAGCTTCCCGTGCTGCTCCCTGAGGTGCTTGCTGCTCAGGTGGGTTGCAGCTGCGGTGCGGTGGCGTTAAACCTCATCCAGTGCTGGGGGCAGAAATACAGAGGTAGAAGCGGACGCATCATCTTAGCTGTGCCTCCTCCTCGTGCAAGGAGAGAGCTCTCGGGGTGCCCGAGCACTGGGAACGCTTGGAAAACCTCCAGGGTTTTCAGAAGGAGGTGCTGGGAGCGTGCCAGGCACTGGGCTCGAGCTCCTGGGGGAAAAGCTGCTCCAAGCTTTAGGCTCTGGCATCGCCAGCTCCGTGCCCAAGTGTCCTGCAGCTCCCAGCAGGGCAAAAAGCAAAAAAAAATAAAAAAATCAGGGAATTGCTTTTTCAGCATCCTTCTGGTTCCTGGCCTCTGGCTCAGCGCTGCTGCTTCTTCAGGATTGCTGCATGGAGCAAAAAAACATTTTAATTTCTGAGAGTCCTGTTACGAATTTTCACCCAAAACGTGGGCTGAGGCAAGCTGGGGAGCTGCGGAATTGCCAAAAGTCACCCTCGGTGATAAAGGAGGATGAGATTGATGAACAATGCCTCAGGTTGGGATCCTCTGTGCGTGTGCTGCTCCCAGGTATCAGGGTGCCCAGCCCGTGCCCTCCTCCAGGCGCGTGGGTCGTGCTGAGGAGCTGCCAGGGCGTCAATTTTGCCACAGTGATGATTGGAAAGCAGCAAAAACCCTTCAGCCAGGGAGGTGAAGCAATCAGCACCTGCCAACACCCTGCCCCTGTCTTCTCCCTGACTCTGGATGAGAATTTTCTCCCGTGCTGCCCTCCCAGGAGCAATTCCAGCTCGTTTGGGCGCCCCAAATCACTGCGATTTCTTTTTTCCTCCTGGCAAAATAAAGGGCAGTGACCGTGTCCACCAGCTCGTGCAGTTCCAGGAGTCACCGAGGCCGTGGCTTTATTTTATTGAGATGAGATCTGATCCCAAACGGGCTTGCTGATCCTCTTGGGTCTGCTTGCACCCTTTTTTCTGGAGCTGTTTGATGTTTTCCTCTCCGCAGGGAGTCAGCCTGACAGCCGCCAGGGAGCGGGGCCAGCTCGTCTTCTTGGAGGGCCTCAAGTCCTGCCTCGACCTCTTTTTTGGGGAGAAGGAGCCGTCGGGAGAGCCCAGTCCTCTCCAGTTCCTAAGGTAAGCCCCTCTTCTGCTGCTCAGAGAGGGATTTTTCCCCTATTCCCCAGCATTTTGGGGCAATTTCTGCTCCCATCCTCGCTGCCAAGCGCGTTGGAGCTCTAGAGAAAACGTATTTCAGCTCTCCAACTGGCTTTTTGTCAAATAACTCACAACCCAAACCCTTTGGGATCGGGTGCAGGGGCTGGCAGGGAGGAATTGAACCCGGTTGTGGCACAGCGTTGGGGACAGCAGGGGTGGCACGGGCTGGCGATCCCCTTTTTGGGTCAGCGGGGCGAGGAGAGGGACACGAGGGCGGGCAGAATCCCTCAAGATCTCTTTTTTTTCTTCCAGCGGGAGCACCTCCAACCTCAAAGCCTTGTTTGACTTCGTCCGGACCTCGCTGACACCCGCCGGGGGCGACTCGTGGCGGGGCCCCGTGCTGCTGGTGGACGATCTCAGCCTCCTGCTCAGCCTGGGCGCCTCGCCGGTGGCCGTGCTCGATTTCATCCACTACTGCCGGGTGGTGGTGTGCTCTCAGCTCCAGGTACCGCTCCCTCCGTGTGCTTCAACTCCTGGCTTTGTCTCCTTTACCTTCCTCTGCCCGGTAGGGTTTTGGAAGGCTTTGTTCCTCCAGAAAATTCAAATCATCATCCCGAGGCCAATTTTGGGGGGTTGCATCAAAGCCTGGGGTCCCCCCGCAAGGTTTTTTGCAGCTGTTTCCCCGGAGGTGCTGTGGGAAGGGCTCCCCGTGCCCCTGATGTGGGGACACATCCACCCTTTGCTATTTACACCACGGCCACTTCTCTCCTTGCTCGAGTGAGAAATAAAGTAGACAGCGTCAAATTTTGTTGTTCTCCACCTCGAATCGTGCCGGGGTGTTTGCCCTGTAAGCGCTGACAGGGGACGTTCAGCTCGCTGGGAATATTTACCTCCAAAGCAGCAAAAAAAAAAAGATAAATCACGCTAACACGCTTCTATTTCTGCCCAAGCTGTTCCGAAGCTTGAAAGTACATTTTAATTGATTGTGGATTTGGGGTTATTTTAAGCCCTTGGCAATCTGCAGAGCCCCTGGGGATGTTTGTACCGGAGCTGGCGCTGCTCGGGGGAGCTCTGCTTTCTCCAGGAGCTGCGGAGGTTCGAGCATCCCGGCTCTGTGGCCGTGTCTTTATTCACCTGCTGTGAATTCCTGCGCTGTTTGCAGGGGTTTAAGTGGACAGCGGTGTGGGAACAAAGGCCTGGTGAATTTTGGGCTGCAGATTAGAGCAGATTATACACACCCCCATGGATATACGGGGTACAGAGAGCAAGGTGTGTCCGAGAGGGGTCCGAGGGGCTCAACACCACCCGGCTCTCTCCTTCCAGGGGAACATCGTGGTGCTGGTTCACGGCAGCGAGGATGGAGCAGATGAAGAAAACGAGCTGCTCGGGACCGCCCTGAGTCATCACAGCGACCTGATCCTGTGGGCAGAGGGGCTGGCGACCGGCTTCTGCAAAGATATTCACGGAGAGGTAACGGACCAGCGGGGTCTGCAGGGTTTGCTGGAGCCCCCAGCCCCTTGTGGCTGCGGTGGGGATGTCTCAGTGAGGTCCTGCTCCCTGGAGACTTCCCATTTCTGCGGGGGCTGCCCCCAGGGGTGACAGATTGGCTCCAGGCACCGTGTGATGGATTTTGTGACAGCGACAGCCTTCCCTGGTGGTGTTGGGGGACACGGGGTGAGGATGCTGCAGCCCAAGGGGTGACGCTCCTCGTCCTTTCCCTTTCCAGATTAAAATAATTAAGAGGCTGTCGCTGCAGTCAACGGAGCAGGACGTCGTCCAGGTCTACCAGTACAAGATCCAGGAGAAGAACGTCAGCTTCTTCGCGAGGGGGCTTTCTGCAGCCGTGCTGTGACGCGGTGAGGTCCAGGACAGCAACTTTTTGGCAGAGCTGCCACCGAACCACCCCGCCGGCCTCACCCCTGCCTTCCAGGAGCAAAACTGAGAGAGGACTTCGACACGCAAGCGTGGGCAGCGGCTTGCCAAGAGCTTAGCGCATCCCTTTGTCCTCCCACCCCGTTCCCAACCTACCAAGGCCACGAGGAAGAGCGAAAAACGGCCGAGGGTGTCCCTCAGAGCGTGTGAGCACAGGCAGGAGGGTGCCCCGGGGGGGCCGGGTGTGCCTCGCCTTTTCCGCTGGTGCCAGGCTGGTGCCAGGCGGCGGCGTGGTGGCGGGGAGCCACCACCCCGCCCTGCCACTTGGCGAGGTGACGCAGAGCTGCTCGGGGAGCGTGTCGCAACCCTTACCTTTCTCCCAGCTGGGGCGGAGAGGTTTGCTCAACGCCCCGTTAAAAAAAATAATAAAAAAAAAAACAACAAAAAAAAACCCCACGGTGCTATTTATACGGCCGCTCACCTCACCTCGCGCTGGCGTTAAGCCCCTGGGGCGGTTGCTCTTTGCTTTATTTTCCCTCTTTTCACATAAAACTGTGTCCGGGTGTTTGGGGTGTGAGCTCCCAGGCTCGGTCTTGGTTTTGGGTGATGGGTGCTTGGTTTTTTTTGCTGCGCCCTGATCCTGATCCTAACCCTAAACCCTAACCTCTCACCCCCTTTACCCTAACCCCCAGCCCCCTAACCCCAACCCCAACCCCTACCCAATACCCGTCTACATTTGAAGCACAGCCTGTTATTAAAATATCAAACATATCCTAAAATTTGCCAGCACCTGCCTGTATTTAAAATGCTTTTGGGGGCTCCTAATCCCTCATTTTAATTAAAAAAAGAATGTGGGGAATTAAATAACCAAAACCAGGACCTGGGACTTCATCAGGAGCTCCCATGTGAGGGTGCTGGGGGGCACACGGAGGCGCTGGGCTGCGGGGGGAGCGGCCCCGGGGTCGGGGTCCGGGTCCGGGTCCCGGTCCCGGTCCCGGTCCCAAGCCCGAGGTCCCGGTCCCGGCCCCAGCCCCTCCACGTGCTCCGCCATCCCCCAGCCACTTCCGGGTTCTGTCGCAAGACCCCCATAGCCACGCCCATAAATGGGCGTGGCCACGGGGTGTGGGCGGGGCCACAGCGCCAATGGGGCGTGGCCTGGGTGACTGGGGCCGTGCGGCCAGGCAATGGAGGGGGCGTGGCTTAACCACAGGGGGCGTGGCCTAATGAAAGGGGGCGTGGTCACGGTGACGCCGGCCGGGGGGGCGGGGCCTGCCCTGCGCGCGCGCGCCCGGCGGGGGGGGGGTGAGGGAGGGAGGGGGGGGTGGGGGCGGGGAGCGCCGGGAGCGCGCGCGCGGGGCCGGCGGGCGGCCGTGAGGTAAATCCCGGGGAGGGGGCGGGTTTCGGGCTGAAAAACGGGGCTAAAACGCCTAAAAACGGGACAAACGCCGCAGGAGCGGCCGCAGAGCGCCGCGGGGGGGGGGCCGTGAGGTGAGGAGGGGCCTCGGGGGGGGGGGAAGGGGGTGAGGGGTGGTGAGGCCGGGCCGCTGATGGGGGCCCCCCCCAAAAAAAAATAAAAAGGGCCCAGCCTCAGGGCCCCCTCCCCGAATTTGTGCCTCAGGAGGAGGCCGCGGGGGGGTGTGGGGATGGGTTGGGGCCTGGTCGGGGTGTGTTGTGCTTCCGGGGGGTGTGGGGGGGGGGAATAGGGGGTTTTGGGGGGTTTTGGGGGGATTTGGGTGTGGGGGGGGGGTGAGGGGAGGGGGGTGGGATGGGGGGAGGGAGGGGGAGAGGGGTAAAGGTGGTGGGGGGGTTGGGGGGGGCTGTGGTGCGCAGGGGGTAATGGAGGGGGTGGATGGGGCAGGGAGGTGCGCATCAGGTGGGGGGGTGGGGGGTGGGTGGTTAGTGGGGTGGGGGGGTGGTCAGTCGGGCAGGTAGGTAGGTGGGTAGGTAGGTAAGGAGTCAATCAGGTGGGTAGGTGGTCAATCAGGCAGGTAACTAGGTGGGTAGGTGGTCAATGGGGCAGATTGGTGGTCAATCGGGCGGGTAGGTGGTCAAGCAGGTAGGTAAGTAGTCAATCAGGCAGGTAACTAGGCAGGTAGGTGGTCAATCGGGCAGGTAGGTAGTCAGGTAGGTAGGTAAGTAGTTGATCAGGCAGGTAATTAGTCAATCAGGCAGGTAACTAGGTGGGTAGGTGGTCGATCAGGCAGGTAGGTGGTCAGTGGGGCAGGTAGGTGGTCAAGCAGGTAGTTAAGTAGTCAAACAGGCAGGTAACTAGGCAGGTAGGTGGTCGATCAGGCGGGTAGGTGGTCGGGCAGGTAGGTAGTTAAGTAGTTGATCAGGCAGGTAGGTAGGTGGGTAGGTGATCAGTCGGGCAGGTAGGTAGTCAGATAGGTAGGTAAGTAGTCGATCAGGCAGGTAGGCGATCAGTCAGGCAGGTAGGTGGGCAGGTAGGTGGTCGATCAGGCAGGTAAGTAGAGTCAAACAGGTAGTTAAGTAGTCAATCAGGCAGGTAACTAGGCGGGTAGGTGGTCAGGCAGGCAGGTAGGTAGGTAGTTGATCAGGCAGGTAGGTGGTCAATCGGGCAGGTAAGTAGTCGATCAGGCAGGTAGGTAGTTGGGTTAGGTGGTCAATCAGGTGGGTAGGTAGATGGGTAGGTGGTTGATCAGGCAGGTAGGTGGTCAGGCAGGTAGGTAAGTAGTCAATCGGGCAGGCAGGTGGGTGGGTAGGTAGTCAATCGAGGAGGTAGGTGGTCGACCAGGTAGGTAAGTAGTCAATGAGGGAGGTAGGTAGGTAGTCAGTGGGGTGGGGAGGTGGTCAGTCAGGCAGATGGGTAGGTGGTCAGTTGGGTAGGTAGGTGGTTAATCTGGTGGGTAGGTAGTCAACCAAATAGGTAGGTGGCCAGTTGGGCTGGTAGGAAGTCAGGTAGGTAGGTAAGTAGCCAATCAGGCAGGCAGGTGGTCAGTCAGTTGGGCAGGGAGGTGGTCGCTAGGTGGTCAATCAGTCAGGGAGGTGGTCAGGCAGGGAGGTAAGTGGCCCATCAGTCGGTCACCGGCTACCTTGGGGCTGCTGTGGTTCCCTGGGGACTTTGTGGTGCCGCGAGGATCGCTCGCCCCAGCTGGCGGCCCCAGCCTTTGAAGTTTGGTTAAAGTTTAGGAATCGATTTTTGGCTTGGAGAGCAGGTGAGCAGGGTAGGACGGGCGAGGATGAGAGGAGCTTTTTGGGTCCCTGAGCGCTCTGCTCGTGGTTCGTGCCTGCTGCCCGGACACCAGCACGATCCCGAGCACGCTGCCCGCTGATCTGCACGAAAAAACTCTTCCTGCTCCGACACGGGGCACGGTCTCCTTCGTGGTGAAACCTGTAGCTGTTCCGACAGCACGCCGGCCTGATAAATTTAGGCTTAGACGAGCGGTTGTGTAACGCAGAGAGGCGATTAGCTGGCTTGAATTCACCAGGAAGGAAAACACCCCGGGATTTTCACCCAACGCGCTGCGTGCGCCGAATCCTCGCGCCGAAACAATTCCTCTCAGTATTTCCAGCCGCAGCGCTGAGCTCCGCACAATGCTGGGTATTTTTCCAAACGTGATTTCAGTGTGGCAGCGTCACAGAAGAGCAGAGAAGAATCTGGTTTATTTTATTTTTTTTTCCCCCCCTGAGGAGCGTTAAAATAGGTTTCGGGGCGTCCCGATCTCAGCGATGAATGAGATCTGTCGGGCTTTCTCTGAAGACAGCCGAATTCAGGCTAAACTTGAAGCTGGGGGGCTGTTTTATTGCTGAGATCTCTGGCTGCCCTGCTTCATCTTTTAATTTAAATAACAAACCGGCCCCGTGCGTGTCCTGGATGTGTCCTGATGCGTCCTGCTCGCTGGGTGGTTGCCTTCACCTGAATTTTTTCTCTTGTGTCCTCAGCTGAAGGCAGTCTCAGAATGGCCGGAGCCCGTTGTGCCTAGCAGGATTGGATTCCCTTGGGAATTAAAACCGAGCCTGAGCTCCTGGCAGCAGCACGGTGAGTCTCAGCTGGAGCTGAGGAGAGGAGGAGGGTCCTGAGGGTCGCCTTTCTTTGCTAAAAAAAAGCCCCAACGGCTCGTGAGTGGAGCATTGTGATAAAGATGCCGGGGGGGGATAATAGCTGGTTTGTTTGGAGAAGACAATGCCCGAGCCAGGCTTCCAGGCTCGTTATCTCACGGAGGAGTTTTTGGGGATTGTTTCGCTGCTGGGAAGAAGGAGCTGGGTGAGCTGCCAGTCCCGGCTTTTTTGGGTATTAAAAAGAAAAATATTTGGTGCTGGAGCTGGCAGAAAGCTCCCTGGATCGGATGCTGATGGTCCTGGTGGCTCATTCGGGCTTGCTGAGCGCTGCTGCTGTAACCTAGAACCTGCTGAAAATCAATCCCATGCAGGTGAGTCACCGGACTGATGCCTGCGTGCGCTCGTGCCTGGAACACCTGAAGGTGCAGGCTTACATTTTAGAACCAAACCCCTTCTGCTTAGAGTTGTGCATGACTTTTTTTTGGGGGTGGGAGGGGAACGACGCAGGGAAATACCTGGAAAAAGCTCTCCTGCCCTTCCTGAGCGGGTTTCTGGGTGGTGAGGATACGTCCAGATACCGTGAGCCAGCATCAGTGGCTCTTCCACGTCTCTTTATCCCCTACCAGAGAAGTTTCTTTCTGAATTCATCACTTCAGAGCCCTTCCAGCTTTAGTTTATTGTCTGTACTTCTTGCAAACTTCAGTCCCCGAAGCAGAAGTGCTTCGCTGGGGGAATATTTATGAAGTTCCTGGTAGTAACAGATACCTTATTGATCCGTACAGCGACCCAGGTGGTACTGCTTAAAAATTAATAGCCTGCTGCTCGGGCTTGTACCTGCAGAAAGCCCTGGCTGCATCCAAAGAGCGCGTGTGCAGGAGGGAAAAGGGACTGAAGGTCTGGAAAAAGGGGAAAAACTGCTGGAAACCCTTGTGCAGATGTGGTTTACCTGGGAAAACCTGAGCGTTGTTGTCGTCTTTAACTTTCACCTTGCTTTCAGCAGAGGTGCAGAAGGCCCAGTATTTATTGGGGCAGAAAGTCTTTAAAAGTAGCTGCTAAATGCCCTAAAAGCCCTAAAATCTTCAGGAAATGGCACCAGTGGAAACCGTGGACAGGTAGAAAGCCAAACCCAAACAGCAGGAGGAGGCTTTGGGGCTGCCGTGTGTACCAGCAGGGCATCCCCACGTAACCCTGTGTGCCTGTTGCATCACCCTCCTGATATTTTGGGGGAAAGCAACTCCCTAGCCGCTTGCTGTCAGGCAGCAGCGTCGAGAAATAAAAGGAGCTGCTTGCTCCAAAAGCTGCTAACCCGTGTGGCAGGGGCAGAGAGCCCTGGGGTGAAGGTGTCCCCAGCTTCACCGCATGTTTTATTTTGGGCTGCTGCTTTGCAGCTTCCTGGGATGTTGCGTGGTGCTGGAGGCAGCCCTTCCTGGTTGTTTCCTCAGATGGCCTCGGGTTTTGGAGGTCTGTTGTATCCATTAGCTGCTAAAATCCTTTCCAGATGGAAAGTCTTCCCATATTATTATTTTTTTTATGGCAACTGCTCCTTAATCACCCTTGGTTGGGCTTCTCTGTGCCTCTTCTAATTCTGCTCTGTGTCCTCTCTGAGGTGAGGAGGAGGAAGAATGACCAGGAGGTGATGCTGCTGTTGTCGCACCTTTCTTCCAGGTACCTCCTTCTGTTAAAATGATCAGACGCTTTTTATGATCCTTTTTTAACCTCTTCTGATCAATTTCTGGCCGTACGAAGGTCCTGCTCCTTCAGCACCCAACTGCTCAGCTTTTCAGGAGCTGAACCCGCTTGGAGAAGCCCGGGAAGACTTTCTGAATTGAATCTCCGATCTCTGTGCAGATCTGTGAGGCTGATTCGTCTCCAACGTGTTGCGATAATGATCCTCCCAGCCCAAAATTTTGTTGGCTGCTTTCTGCTGACTTCAGAGCCCGTGCCATGGTGCACTTCCATATCCCTGTCATCTGTTAGCCCTGCAGATTCCCTGGCAGGCCTGCTCCTGGTACCTGAATTGGGATTTATTTATCACTTCTTATACCTTCTTCCAGCTGTTCCTCCACTCCTTTTTGGCCTGCTGCTTGATGTTTTGTAGGTAGTTTGCAAGAATTTTTCTCCCTATTTCCCTCGTTCGGACACATCTTCAACTCCTGGCCAGATTTGCTGATGCTGTAGGCATTTCTCCTGAGCTTCCCGTGGCTCCCAAAGGATATCTTTAGGTAGCTTCTGTTATCACCAAACATTTTGCTCTTCTAATGCCCCTTTAATTCCTTTAAGGAATTAAATCTCTGCTTTGGCATTCGGTAGGCTTTGATAAAATATCCTCAGGTAGGTTTGAGGCATTTGGAGGCGTCTTTTGGGAGAGGCTTGCTGCCATTTGTGTGTTCCTCGGCGCTTGTTCACCTCTTCCAAAACTCCTGGCAGCCTTTTAATGACTGTTGCAATAACAGTGACTTGTGTTTAGCTAAGTAAATGCTGAGTTCTTCACTGCTGGAAATGAATTAAAAGCCAGTCGCTGGCTTTTAGACCATCCCATTGTCTCCTTTGCCTTCTTTCTTTTTGTCCAGAGAGCACAAACCTTCTGTCCGAAACTTCGCTCGGCAGCTTAGTGCCAACACTGGAAATGAAAATGTCAGGGATTCGGGTAAAGGTTTAATTTAAAACCTTTTCCTAACTCATTTTGCAGGTTTTCTAGTCGTGTGTCTCCCTATTACTGCCCAGTGTGAGGGGCACACTGGTGATACTTCTGCAGTGGTATTAAATGATGCTAAAACCATATTTTAGGAGAAGCTGCCTCGTATGATCGTGTTTCTTTCTGTGTAGTAAATAGTGGAGCCCAGATCATCGCTAACGAGAGTCGGGTTGGGCAAGAGAAGAAAAGATTGGGAAACGCCAGGAAGAAACGATTGGGAAATGTTTTCGTGTCGTTGGGAAGGCGTCAGTGCTCCTCGCTTCGTTCGGCTGGCTGCGAAAAGAGGAGGAAACTTTGAATTTGCGTGGTCTGCCTTGGATGCTTGTTATTTTTGTAGATATTTGGTGTTTTATGGTGGAGCATCCCACCACTTCCCCTGTACCAATGAGGTTTCTGATGCCTACTGCAGTGCTCGTTATTGTAGGAAGCAAAAAATGAGCTTTAATAGGAAACGGATTCAATGAATTTGCTGCTCCTGGGCAGGAGTTCAGCTGAGGTTCTTCTCTTGGGGCATGAAGGTCCAAAAGATGTACTGGAAATGGGTTTGGAAGCTTATTTTGGAGCGTTGGTGCCTCTTTGGTAGCTGCTTACATTGTCTGTGATGACTTCTCAAAGCGGTTTCTCTCTGAAAGCTGACTTAAAAACCCAGCTAAACATTTTCAGTACTATTCTGGCCCTCTATGGGATGGCGAGGATGTCGTCTGAAATCACACCGATGAGTTTCTGCTTTCCAGAGATAAGAAGTAGCCTTCCAGGAGGGAACAGGGGCAGCTCTGGAGCCTCGTTTCCCCAGGGCTGTGTTAGGATCGACCCGTTGGGGCCGGAGCCTTTAGGAGGTTAGTGCCGTGGTCGGGGTTTTCCCATAGGAAGCGTTCTGCTCCCCGTGCCCCGCGCCCTCTCGCAGCACAAAGCACCTTATTCTTCTCCTGGGAACGCGAGGGGCTGGGCGTTGGGGCTGATTGTGTGGCCTTTCTCTGAAGGAGGGCCGTGTCTCCAGCCGATTTCTTCCTTTCCCATCTCTCAAGTCCTCAGAAGAGCTTCGTCCCTGGCCCTGGCTGGAGGAGAATTCCCATCTTGGCAAGTGAGATGTGCTGAGAAGTGAGTTCCCGTGGTGTCTTCCCTCTTCCTTCCCTTCTGCTGCTGCTGCTGGGACGTTTTGGGCTGGGAGCAGAGCTCTGGAAGCTGCTGGCACCAGTCGCTGCTGGCATCTCGGGATAGGAGCTGCCTCTGCAGCCCAACAGAGGGCAAGGAATCTGTTTTTTTTTTTAATTTTGGTTCGTGGACGATCTGGCCACTGGGTGTTTTGTGCCTCTCGCAGGCAGCAGCAGGATGCTTTGGGGTTTTTTGGATGTTTTCTGGGGGACATTGTGCCGAGTTTTGGGCATCGTAGTGAACTCAGATCCATAGAGAGGGCTGGAGAGAGATCAGGGGGCTCTTAACTGGACCCCAAATCCATTTTCCCCTCATTTTTCAGTCTGGTTTTGAAGCCATCTGGCTAGCTTGGTCTCGAGTCCTCAAGACCCATCGGTCCCGCTGTCTCCTCTTATTTTGTGATGGACTGAAAGTGGAAGCTTAATTCCGATACCTCTGGGGATGGAAGATATTTGGGAAGCCCGTGCTGGCCTGACAGAGGCAAAAAGTGTGATTGCAGCCCCGGGAGGGTGACTTGGTGCTGGATCAGGTGCTGAGCGATCGGGTTTTGTGACTACCTAATGCCGAGGCATGCTCCGGAGAAGCTTTTTTGTAGGACTCCAATGTTTAAGTCTATTTATCTTTTAAAAAATAAATAAATTACTGTTCATAATGAAGGAAAAAGCTTTCCCAAAAGCTTTTTGCTCCTAGCTGCGCTCCCTCGTACGGAGCCTGCTCTGCTTTAGGGCAAGGTGCTGCTTGGGAACGGAGAAAATTTGGAAATTGGGGACGTTAAAAGCTAAACCTCGCCCTTTTGAGCCTGCTGTTTACATCTCCGACCCTCAGTGCTGTTCTTTTGCAGGCGAAGGGCACGAGGCACACGCACGGTGCCGCAAGGGCAGAAGGAAACACCCCAAGGTCTCACCTCCATTCAGACTTTGGCTTGGATTTGCAGTCGTGCAAAACAGGGAAAAAAAAAAAGACACTCTGAGCGGATTCTATTTTAATATTTGTCCTAAACTCAGAGGCTTTCTTTTGAGTTACTTAACCTCTGTTTGCAAAACCGGCTTTGAATAGGAGCTGTTCCTGCCTTCCACTTTTATAAGCACTGTTGTGACATAAAGCTAACAGATTTCAGAATTGCAACCCCCCAAAAACCAGGAAGCACACGTTAGCTTTGGAACACTCGGGTTTTCCTTTTCATGCTGCTATTTCCCATCAGGCGAAGCAAGCAAACCCAAAATCCTCTTTGCATTCGGTAGAAGCTGTTCCCGGTGGGATGCTGCCCCCAGGATCCCTGGTAGAGGACGAGGCTGGTGGTGCTGGTTCTGCACTTGCTTTTATTTTGGCTGCCTTCCCCTTTTTGTGATCGGTGAGTGCTTGAAGGGTTTTTTTCCCCAATCCTTGCGTTTGCAGCATGCAGGAACCGCATTACGAGTGGCAGTGGGGCTGATGTGAGGCGCCTTCCTTTTTGTTCCTTCCCCCTTTCTGCTTGTTTCAGCCTGGCCATCAGGTGAAGCCGTGTCCTGCTGTTGTAACAGGACAGACGTGGCGTTTGGGTGCTGAAAAGCAGCAGAATTCTGCTTTTAAAGACTTTTTAATATTTGTTTTTCATCTTCTGCCTTGAGGTCAGGGGTATAAGCCTTATATGCGAGCCCCAACATAGCGTTGTGTAGCTCTAGCAAGACTCCTGTTGGAAAAATCACCAGTGAGATGAAATTTAGGATCTTCCAACTTATTTTCTGCATTTTCCTTTCCCCTTCTACTAACACAGGCTGAGCTCTGCTCCTGCTGTACGTTCACCAGGGGTTTGATGTCGCTTTCAGTGATCAATTCGGAGCAGGAGGCTCGTGCGTGCAGGGATTTCCACTCCACAAACAGCTCTGGACGATGGTTTTGTTGTTTGCAAGTTGAAAGCAAAATTTCTTTGGTTTATTCTCTCTTGAGCTCAAGAATTGAAAGGGGCAGGTAGGCAGTTCCCTGTGCCCAGGACAGCGATGTCAATCCAGTCCAGCAAGTCCTGGTGCCTTGCTGAGAGGTATTAACGAAAATATTTGTCCAGGTATTAACAAAAATATTTGTCCAGGTTTTTCATTTGGTCATGAGGCTGATGTGCTGGTGCTTCTGTTGCTAAAATCTGATTATTTCAGTTGTGCTTCTGGGGGAAAAAAAAAAAAGATTATTTTAAAATGGGCATGAAATGGAACTTCACCTGAAATTAGGAGAACTGTCAGTATTTCCTCTCGGATAAAAACACCAAAGTAGTTCAAACCCAAAGTTTTAACTCCAGAAAAAAGCAAGTTGGTGGCTCAGCAAGCCGGCGGCGTTCGCTTTCATTTCTTTTTCTCCCTCCTGAGCTTTCCTCCTGCTTTCCAGGTGGACAGGGTGCCCCCGAAGCCCTGCTGTACCCCGGGATGGCAGCGAGGTGACGGCCGCTGAGGATGACCCTGACTGAAAAGCTGCGCGAGAGGATATCGCGGGCCTTCTACAGCCACGGGCTGCTCTGCGCCTCCTACCCCATCCCCATCATCCTCTTCACGGGGCTCTGTATTTTGGCCTGCTGGTAAGTCACCAAATTCTGCCTGTCCTGGGCAGCTGGGCTCCGGGGGCTGCTCTGGGGGCTCTCACAGCAGTGCTCGGGTTCCCCTGGGCTTGTGGGATATCCCAGAAATCGTTTTTCCTTTATTTTTTTTCCTTAAATGTAGATTTTTGTCATCATTTTGTGTGGGACAAAAGAAAAAGACAGGGAATTAAGTATCTTCATGTGGCTTAATAAGTAAATAAAAAAACAACTAATCCGCAAATCAAAAACTAATCAGCAAATCAATAAGTAAAAGTGATCCCCAAACACCTGGTGGAAGACATCAAAATCATAAATTGAAAATGGGGAGAAAGTAAGTTGGTTTTTCTCTCCCTACTTGCATATTTGGTTCTCCCTGAAGCTTGTACCCTTCAGCCCTTGCCTTGGCATGAATGCCTTGTTTGTTCTTGTGAATTCTCGACTTTCCTCGAGGTTTGAATGTGAGCTGTGGCTGAATGTATTTTGACAATCAGAAACGTTACGTTCCCCTTAATCCTTTCCAGTGAGGCAATGGAAATACCGACTGGGGCTGTGACAATTTTGCTGCTCAGGTCTGTGCAGAGGCGCACGCAGGTTCAGTCTGTGTGGTTTTAAGTCTCAAGGATCTCGTCTCCTGTGGTCGAAACAAGCCACGTGTGGTGAGCTCTTCTGCTTTTAGAAGGGCTCCACCTGTCCAGGACAGTTTTTCTTTGAGCGTTGCTGAGGGTAAGACAGACTTCAACACATAAAAGTAAAAAGGCTGGTGAGGAGATTGAGGAGAAAAGCGCTGAGCCAGTGCTTTTCTCGTTTTGCACTGCTTTGCACGATTTCTTTCAACTCTTAATGATAAAGTTTTATTTCCAGTTCTTCTGTTGGGCAGAAAGATGAAGCTTTTCCAAGGTCGAAGCGAGTGGGTTCTTTGTTCTGCTTATCACTTGTTGATACGATTGCAAGTGATTAACTGACTTCAGCTCTGCTGGATGCAGATTTCAGGGTGTCAGGGCTGCCATCCAGCACGGAGTTCCACCACGAGTCCCTAACCACCGTGCCCCAGCTCTCCTGCTTGCTTTTTGCCTCTTCAGAGCTCCCAGAGGCATTAGGCTCCTATTTTCAGTTACCTTCCAGGTGCTGTTCCTGGGGGTAAATGCAGGAATTTGAGATGACTGCTTCAGTGTAAAATGTTTATCCATTTATCCATACACATGCTGCAGGTTGGGAGGGGTCAAAATAAAAACTGCTTCTTAATGTCCTTCCTAAATTCCAGATTTCCCTGACAGGAGGAGGTGTGAGGTAGGATTGCCAGCATCTGTCCTGGCCAGAACTTGCATGCATCCTGTCTTTCTGGTACTGTGTTCAGAGCAATTTGAATCAGGGTGTTTCGCACCAAGCTCCTGAAAGCTTCAAACCAGGGTTTTTTTGTCAGGTTTGCTTAAATAAAGAAAAAAAGGGGGCAAAAAATGGCCCTGGGAGGGACAGGGTTTAAAAAATATAATGACACCTTGTGAGAGGGAAAGAGCCTTGATAAAAAAAACAAACAACTGGAAGTGCAGCGTGCTTAAAGTTATCCTCTAGAAACACTTTTTGGGGATGTCTCAGTTCCTGTTCTGTGCTGCCCTGCGTTAACTGGTGTGAACTGGTGTGAACTGGGTGTTCATTTGGGAGGCAGCAGCACTGAGACCCCAACTCTTCAGGGTGCAGCCCTAATGCACCCGAGCATTTCAGCGTGGTGAGGACGAGCTCCTTGCAGGATATCTGTGGACAGGCACAAGTTTTTTTTGCTTTCAGCTCCCTGTCAGTTTTCTCCGCAGCCAGGGCTCTGCTGATCTCTCGAGGTGTTTGAAGTGCTGCCCCCAGCCACGTTTCCTTCCTGATAAGCCATCTTCTGTGCTCTCAAACGGAAAGAGGAAGCGGTGCTGCAAGGACCACGGAGCGATCGGAGACTCCTGTTTGCTGGTGGCTTTGCAGTTGCACAGATTATTTCTTGTTTTAAATGCAGGAACAAAAACTTTTACCCAGGTACAACAAAGCCATGCTATCAGTTAGCAGCTGCATTATATTTTGGGCTCCTTGACTTGTGCTAGAAGGCGTGTTCAGCTCCGTGAGGTGTTCATAAGCACGAATCTGAGAGGTTTCTGCCTGGAATAATCTGCTATTTATTTATTTTTCTGCAGGCTAATCTGCCTGCAGTTGTTAGCCCTGTGGCTAGCACAGCTGGAGCTGCTGAAAGCTCACTCCCTGACACAAGGATACCGATTACAACAGTAGAAACCCGGAGCAAGATATTCAGTCGCTTTTCAGTTTGCCCTGCACTAGAATCCTTCTGAGTAAGTGGGTTTTATCCCCACGGTTATCAACAAGGAAGGAGCTGTGACAACTTGTTGGGATCATCACTCCCTGTCCCCAAAGTGTGTGGAAAAAAGAGAAGGTGGCAGAGCACAAGGGAAGCACTCTGTATTCTTCCTCCCTACACGTATTTATTTAGGCAGATAACCACATCTAAGATACAGCGTATTGCTGAAGCATCCCGAAATCTTGAAAGGGAGAGAGGTGGAGCTGTCTTCGTCTGCACCTGTGTGCTCCAAAATCCAGGCGAGCTGGTAAAACCCTACTACAGAAGAAATTAGCTCAGATATTCTCATTTTCTTCCACAACACATCAGTAAACCAAGCCTGTCTTCATGTTCAGATGTTCATCTAACTCCTAAAATCCGGAATAAACCACCTGGCCCACGATTACACAAGCACAGAGCCATGGAGTGGCCGAGGCTGGAGGCCCCCCCTGGGTCCCTCTGGTCCCAGCCCTGCTCCAGCAGCCCCCAGAGCTGGTGCCCAGCCCCAAGAGGGGCTGGGGGCTGCTCCCTGCACATCTCCAGCAGCATCCTGGCTGCAGTCTGCACACACAGCCACGGGTACACCCCCTTCTGAAAGCATTTTGCTGTCTTACAGGCTCGTGGCAGCCCGTGGAGCTGCGTTGTCGACAGCTTCTTCGTGTTCCACCTCCCCAGGGAGCACGGCCACCCCTGGGAGCGCATGATGAAATGAGGAGCAAGTTTTGTGTGGCCAGACCTCTCTCTGAGAAAGCAGCCTGGCAGCACAGAGCAGGGAGAAGCTGTACTCAGACCTTTTAGGGCCCCGTCAGTGGGAGGCAGCGCTGAACAAACCCGATTTATCCAGCAGCAGGTATTGCCTGGCCACTTCGTAAGGCTGAAGAGGGACCCGTTGCTGCCAAATATCTGCTCCCCAATACCCATTGGCAGGACCCCTTTTTGTCAAACATCAGCTTTCTCATCAGCAGCGGGATTTCAGGTCTTGGTGCTGCTTGGTTTGGGGCTGAAACAGGAAAAATCTTGTTCTGCAGCGCGCGAGGTGGAGGCGGTAGCTATTTTCGGGCCGTTCATCTCCACCCTCCTTGTTATCTAAGACCTGGCAGCTCCCCTCTCCTCCGTGTTCACCAGCAGAAGTCTTTTTGGGGGCGGCGATCTCCTCTTGGATTCTGTGAAGGAAGAACATGCAATTGTAGGGCTTGCGGTCCTGTCGCGCTGCCAGCTGCCTGGGGCTGACCTGGCAGGTCTCCATCCTGGCCCTGGAAGCTGTCTTGGAAATATGTAAAGTAGCTGGATGAACATTTTTTTGCTCCAACCCACCTCGTGCTTGGTAACTGCGAGCTGCTCTTGCTTGGATTCAGCGCCGCTGACTTGCGGATCATTTATTTTTCTCCCCTTTGGGATTCGAGGAGGGGCGTCAGGGCGCGCCGTGACACGAGCAGCTCCAAAGAGCCCTCCTCAAAACCAGCCCTGCTCTTTGAATTTCCCTCTGGCCTCTTTTGGATCTTCTTTTTTTCCCTCTCCTGCCTCTAAACTTTCCACTCCGGTGTTCACCTCTTCCCCTGATGGTGAAAAAATGAGAGAAATGCGAGGAGAAGCAAACCTGGATGCTAAAAATCACCGTCCTGTAATTCACCTGGAGCAGCTCTCATGGGACGTGCCCATGGAAAGGACCCAGGCTTGTCCCAGCTCCCTGTCCCTGCTCAGTGGCTGTGGGGAGCCAGGATGCTTCTGACAACCTAGTACTAGCTCTTGGTATTTTTGTTTATTTGCTTTTTTTTTTTTTAAGTACCTCTTAAAAGATGCTCTAACATTTGATGTCCGAAATATCAGGTCTAGTGAATTTCTTGCTATTTTTTTTCACTTTTTTTGTTTGCTGTCCCAGGTATCGCTGACTAGACAGCTGATATATCCCACCTAAGGCTAACTAAATTCAAGACCTGACATTTTAACATCTCACCCAAACATTTGCAGTGAGTGTACCTTGCTTTTTCTTCCACCAGACATTATCAAAACCCTACATAAACCCAAATCCTAAAACACCACTGTGATACAAGTAAATATCTGCCCCCTTTGCTTACTGAGAACATTAATTTCCATCCTAGCTGGCTCAAGAGGAGGCAGCTTTTGGTGTCCACATATCCTGGACGTATCGAGGGAGAGCAAAGATCCCCAAGATGTCTCGGGGGGCTTTTTGCCATCAGAAGTGTCCCTTCTGTTCTTCCCCTCGTTTTACAGCCCTCAATTCTTCCAAGAAATGCTGCTTCATCTTTCCTTTGTTGCGTTCGCCTGTGCTTTGGATTTTTTTTTTTTGGACAAATTGGAAAATCCTAAGGTGAAAAAAAATCCAACCGAAACGAACCCGTCCCTTGGTCGTGCAGAAATAGCCACTGAGGAGTTAGGAGCCGCTGTGCCCGGTGTTTTGGGAGGTGACTTGCACATCAGGATGGGAGTGGTTGGCTTCTGCCCCTGAACGGAACTTTTTTTGTTAAATAACTTTTACAAGAAAAAAACAAAACGATTCTCAACAAACCTTTGTATTAGCAGCAGTCAGGCAGGTCTCTCATCGGTTACATCTTGTAATTCTGTGATTTTTGGATGCCTCTGGTGCTTCTGGAAGCCGTGTACGAGCTGCCAGGAGCTGGATGAACTCGCTTCCTTCCCAGCTTTCATGGAGCAAAAGCCAAGGTTTGGGAGCAGCAGGTACACAGCAGGAGGAAACTTCAACAGAGAAATCAACAACACCCTCCTCCACTCCAAGCAACAACCGTTTCTGTTGCTAAAAATGCATTTATCGAGATGTAAATACACCACTTTCAGGTTCTCTGAATTACAAATGTTTTCCTCGTGGCCCTTTTTGAGATCTCGTGCCCGTTTTTGGGTTTTTGTCAGGCTAACAACAGAGCACACCCGACGAGCCTTGCTCCCTGTTCCAATCTTCTTTTCCAGCTTTTGTTGTTCAGCCCCAAACCTCGCCTTTAGGATGGTTGGGGCTGATCCCTGACCCAGCAGAGTCCTGCAGGAAAACATTTTTTTCTCTCATTTTTTCTCCTTTCTTTGAGAACCTGTGATCTTTGTGTTACCATTCTCACACTGCTCATCCTCTTTTTTCTCAAGCTTCCACCTCATTTTGGAACAGTGATGCCTTCTACTGCCCACTTCCCTACTGAGCATTTCTCCTCATTATGACTACACAGCTACCTTGGACTACAGAAAAGTCATTCTCTCCTGCAAAAACACGATTTAATTTCTCACAATTCCCCCCACTTCTTTTCTTACTCCTACCGTTGTTTTTGCACCTCTTCTCCTACTGCATTTTTGATTTTTTTCCAACATTAAGGTGCAATATTCTTCTTGGATGTCACGGGGGATGACAGATATTCAGTGTCATTTTTATTACAATGCCAACAAATAGTTGTTTGAGCCAATTCTATTCAGGTAGTCACGAAATTAGTTTCTCCCAAATGTTTCTAAATCCCCAGGAACTGTCATCTTGAGCTACTCTATGCAGGATCTTGTTGTGTTTTTTTTTTTTTTTTTTTTTCCCCCAAATATTTTGAGTTCAGTCAAATTCATCCCATTTGATCTACATATATACATATATAACTAGTATTAATTACAGTGCACGCTCCTCCTTAGGAGGTTATTAATAAATCTAACACTATTTGATTCTAGAGTACTATTTTTGCAAACTTATCAAACTTATTTTCCAGTTCTTCAACATATTTACAATAGCTTTTTCTAATTCTCTCACCATTAACCAAGGTAAAAAACCACCTTGCGAAACTGTAAAAAGCTGGAGAATTTTACTAAAGGATTATCTGGGGTCCACTTAATTCTGCGTGTGGTCTCAAGGGGGCTTTGGCTTTGTGGGTCCTCAATAATAGTTAAATCTGGAATTATCACCTCCATGGTTTAAGCTCCTTTCCATCCTAGGGGCTGCTTTTTCCTGGCTTTATTCTATTTCTATAGCCAGTACCACCCCTTGCCATTCGGGACAGGCAGTCTGGTTACAGGATTCTCATCTTGTACCTGCTGTGTGTTATGTCTATCAGCATTCCCGTGGCTACAATATTCAGTACAGCACAGATTATTCCCTACTTTTTGGCTATTTCCACACCCAGGGTCAGTACTATTGCCCCCTGAGTTTCAAAAGGCATCCTTGATAACACATTAAGTTGTAGCCAGGATTATGTGCAGGGAGCTCAACTTCAAAATCTATTCCTTCCCAGGACTGTGCTTGATCTGTCATTTTTAGAAATTGAGAGGCTTCAGACACAGTTGCTGCTGGAAACAGCAATCAGGGACAAGGCCTCTTCAGTTTTTCCAGGCATCTGGGTGCAAATCCGACAATTATTTCAAGATAAAACTCGAGAGATGTTCTGGGTTCATTGGAAATGCTGATTTTTCCCTCCGTCCTACCACTAATCCATTGAGAATAGGTATTACTAAAATAAAATACATCGTTTCTCTCTCTATATATATACCCCTATAATAATTAAGAAATAACAACTAAGAAAAACAGTAAAAATCACAAACTAACAAGGATTCTTCTGGTGGGGATTAAGTACCCCCCTTTCTCCCACTTCCAGAGGGTTCCCTGATTCTGTGCAATTCAATCCCTTTTACTCATTAATTCATTGAGAATTCTTTTAAGGAGGAGTTAAAGGTTTACAACAGATAATTTTAGCAGTTTTAACCTTAAAAGTCTTTGTTAATGCAGTCTCTCTGGTATCAGGGTTGGCGTGGAGCTGGGATCTCCGCTCAGTTTCAGCCCTTCCCCTTCCAACTCTCCGGGCACTGCCCGTGTAACAGCAAATCTTGCTTTTTCCTGACATGCTTTTAGTGACTTTAGAGACCCCTGGAGCTGACACCGGTATCCTAAACTCCCCGAAAACACGGTTTTGAGCTAGTTTTGGGTATTCGTTGTGCAATAGCTGCTGCGGTGACCCGCAGGTCATAGGGGCCAAGGAGCAGGAGGATAAATATCACAGAGCTGCTGGCTGCTGGTGAAATGAAGTTAGCAACAAATACTGGAAACGGTTTGGGTTTTAATGAGGAAAAGCAGGTGATTAGGATGGGGTTTGGGTAGGAAAGTGGCCACCTAAGTACAGTCCTCGTCTCATTTCTGTGCAGGCTGGGGAATCGCTGAGCCATGGCTGTGCCGTAGCACTAACTTTTAGGTGATAATTAATAATTTAGGTGCATTCCTGCAAGGAGAACTGTTATTTTTTTTAAAAAAAAGCAAAAGCATGATGTTTCTCACTTTTGTCTTCACCGTAGCTACCCCCTGCTTAAGCTGCCGTTACCTGGAACGGGGCCCGTGGAGTACAGCACCCCGGTGAAGGATTATTTTCCCCCCTCTCCAGACCCCGTCTCGCAGCAAGGAGACCTCGGCGAGCGCCCTGACTGGGTACGGCTTGGTGTGGGTGTGAAAATGAAGGAGCTGGAGCAGCTCTGCTGGGAGGAGAGGCCGAGGGGTTGGGGTTGCTCAGCCTGGAGAGGAGAAGGCCCAGGGGAGGCCTCACTGCGGCCTTCAGGGCCTGCAGGAGGGCTGAGAGGGAATCCTGGGCAGGGGGTGTAGGGACAGGACACGGGGTGATGGCTTTAGGGTAAAAGAGGGCAGATTTAGGTGAGATAGTCAAAATCTTTCACAGTGAGGGCGGTGAGGCCTGGTGCAGGCCCAAACCATTCCACGATTCCACAAAAGTTGTAAAATGCTATTTAAGGGCCCATTTTTCAAGGATTAACGCAGATAACCTTGTCCTAAGGCAAGCAGTACATTTTATGAAGCGTTATTAGGTTTTAAATACATTTAATGAAGGGTTCTGAGATAGCAGGCCCCAGTTCCCTAATGCCAACTGAAGGCATGCAGTCTCCCTAGAGCAGCAACCACTTGACTGGTACCTATCATGCAGGTAAGCTGGACTTATAACCTAATATTCAAGGGGAAGGAATTAATATTTCTTTTGCATGAACGGGATGGAGCCCCGATGCTTTCCAGGAAGGCTGAGAACAGGTCCAGGACATCAGGAACCAATTGTAAAATGCTCCTTTGTAGCCTGCATTGTTCCTTTTCATTCCAAGGTCCCTGTGAAGTAGAAATTGGCTGTTAGCTTGATGTTTTTGATGCCTCCAGCTCTCCACTCTCTCCACGTGTGCTCTTCTCATTGTGATTGATATCATTTAACCGAAAAGCTTTTTGCTTTACGCTGTTATCTCAGGTTGCTGCTGGCTGATTAAATCTCCTGCTTCCTTGCCTAGTGCTGCTAATTGAGCCCAGAATTCTGCCAGCACTGCAGCCCCTAGAGCAGGGGACACAGACCAGGAGGAATTAAATGGCACGCAGCAGGATCAGCACAGGCTGGGGGAACCACCGTGTGGGAGAGGCATCTGTGAGAGGCAGCGAGTCCCCGCTGCTGCCTTTCCTTCCAAATTCAGCAGGATCTGGGAGCCTCTGCCTCACACAGAAGCACAATACACCGATGACAGAACGGTCAGTGGCAGTTTGCCTCTGTGAGAAACAGACTCTTTTTGTTCTCCTTAGGTTACTACTGCCATGTTTCACCTCTTAACTTGGGAAAGAAAAATAGAGTCTGGCAAACCCCTTCCTGAAAGGTTGCCAAGCTGTGATCTAATTCTGCTCAGCAGCTTCCCACTCACCATGTGTTTTCATTCTCCCTCTGGTTTTCCCCACAGTACGTTGGTGCTCCTGTGGCCTACATTCAGCAGATCTTTGTGAAAGCCACCGTCTCCCCATGGCAGAAGAACTTCCTCGCCGTGGATGTGTTCCGTTCGCCGCTGTCCCGCGTCTTCCAGCTCGTGGAGGAGATCAGAAACCATGCCCTGAGAGACAGGTAGTTACTGTTTGTCAAGGATTTGTGGAGGAGGCAGACCCTCCCCGCTGCTGTGCACACCCATCTTCTAAATTATTCCTCCTAAATCTGATTATTATTATTAGCTTATTAGATTATTAGCTTTGAATGTGTCAGATTCTCAGAATAAAATGAGAGGTCGCTGCTGAGCAGTGGTGGCATATCCCTCCTGCAGGCACAGCACTTTGGTTTTCGTGCTAGAGGACTTGCCTGTTCTTTAATTACTGATAATTGTCAGGAACCCTCCGGTCAGAGTCTTAGGCAGAGAGGTCTGGAATGGTCCTCTGAGGTTATACCTTTTATAGCAGTTTCACATAATCCTTTTCATAAGCATGTGGGGTTTATATTAAAGCAGGTTCATTTGGCCCCACAATGCTTATTCTTCTGCAATTTTGCATGGTCAGGAACCTTCTCCTGACTTTCCACTTCTGGCAGTGTTTAGGACTAGTTTATACCTGCTTGGTTTTGTCCTGACGCAGCCTTCATGCAAAAATATCTCTTTTGTGCCTTATTTTCCATGGAAATGACTTTTCTGAAATACACTGAGGTTGCAAGTCCCTTTTTCACGGCCAATCACATCAGCATTTGTCAAGTGATTGATTGATGCCTCCATGTCCATCTCTCTTTTTATCATTTCCAGCTGATGAGCTCCTACCTGATAGCAGAAATTTTTTTTTTTAGTTCCCAAGTACACGGCCTTGCACTTTGTACAGTTAATAGAAACGGTATTAAATTTAGCCCAGCCCTTACAACATCCATTTCAGATACTCTGTCCCTTTCTGTGTTAGCAGTGTTGCTTTATTTTCTGTCCTTGACAGATGTCTCTATGTCTTATTCCAAGGTTTTCAATAAAAATATAAAATAAATACTGGTTCTCTGAGCTGTCCGTGAAAAATTCCACTTTGTTTTCTTCAAGACCAGCGGTTGCCCTTTCAGCAGCCCCATGGCCATTTTCCTGTTAACCCATTTCTTCACTGAATTAAATTTTTTTGTGCTAACTTCTGTCTTTCCCGTGATCTAAAGCATTTTCCGCATGGTGCTGAATCAAAAGCCTAATTGGGCCTGAGTAGATGAGATCTGCTGTGCTTTCTTTATCTAAGAAGTCAAGTATTAAAAAAAAAAAGGGATCACTCTGATTAGTTTGGCATATTCTCACTTTGAAAACCAAGAATACATTTTGCACATGTTAATTTGCTTCTGTTTTTTATAATGTGTTTCCCCTTGAGCTCCAAGTTTCTATGTGTTGACAAGTTCTTGGCTTTCCAAGGCCAGAAAGGCTTTTCCTCCTTCTCTTTCTTTGTTCAGTGAGAATAATGACACCGACAACAGGCCAAGCGTGGTGAAAAATGGTGAGATTAGAGCCTTTGATCATCTCCTAGCTTTTTAGCCAGGAGCTTTCTTCATTCTTTGTCCTCTGATTCACATAGCTAGGGAACATCTGCTCTTTGTTCCTTTCCTACTTCCCTGGCAGCATCCTTCATTGCTTCATTTTTGAGCGTTCCCTTAACCACTCTACCTGATGAGTTGTCCTTTTTTAAAACCAATCCTTGTGAGATAGCTGTCTGCTTTCTCTGATAATATTTAGAAATGCCACTCCTGCTGTTAAATACAGAGCTTTTGCTAGCAGCTCTCAGAGCCTTGGCACTGACATTCTCTCTGTTTTCATGCCTTCCTTTATCACACATGTATCTTTAGATATTATCTGTGCATAGCTGCCAATTACAGGTGAGAAACAACTTGCTCCTGGTATGTGTGTCATCTGCTCCTTGTCTTGCTGTGTTACCCTTGGTGAGCAATGAGGCAGTGTGGGAGCAACATTAAACTTACACAGCCACCAGAAGGAAAAGGCTAGGTAGGGATTTAGGCACTCAGACCTCGGATAACGTCTTCCATTTGGTGTCAGACTTGCATATTTCAGGAAACATCTAGCTTTGAGAGAAATTCTGAAATTACCCCAGAAGTCATGAGGAAGTTCCTTCCCATCGGTTGCTTTGTCAGTATCAAAGTTAAGCGCAGCTGATTTTCTGAATATGACAAAAAAAGCATACTTTTATACTAAAGTGGGACAGAAGCAGCTGATGATTGCTGACAACTGGACAGGAGACACAAGGTGATTATATTTGCATCAGCAATATTTGTTGTAGTGTAGCAGGCATTGGCTCGATTCATTATTTTTGATATTCATCTCTGCATCTACAACGCACATTGGACTTGCTTCACAAATAAGAACTCTTATAGGCTTTTGTGCAGTATAAAAAGCTGTTGCTGTTATGTTTCAAAGTTAGTTAAAGCCTAAATATAAAGCAATAGTCTCCTTACTCTGCCTGGAGCTGTTATCGGAGGGATCACAGCATCAGTCCTTTTGGATTCTTTTTTAGAAAGCTTCTGTTCCTATGAACACAGTATTTTCTAGCATATTCTCTAGTATTTTGTCTTGACAGATGTGACTTTTCCAGGTAGCTTGCCCTGTAATGACAAGGTACAGATTCTGGAGGGAGAGCTGACAAAGTCATAACTCAGTCATCATCGGTTGGGTTCCATATTTTCTCTCTGCAGTCATGATAGGAAAAAAATCCTCTAGAGAAGGCATTTTAAAATAGGACTCCAACACCTTCTCTGTAATCCGTGGGGCCGAAGCCAGGGAAAACTGGCCTCCAATGTCTTAAATTAGCCTTTGTTAAATATACTCTTCTTGCGCAAACCCCTCTGGTTGCCCATGCCACGGTGAGGGAAGTGTTCTCTTTTGGATCAGCTGCTCTGGCTTGTCTGGCCAAATGGTGTGCTGGTGGGTTTTGTAACGGAGCAGTCACCGTCAGATGCTATTGTAAGCCCAAGCTGAGCCTTTCCTGAGTTAATAGTTGATAAGGATTATGTAATGGTGCTAGCAGGAAGTTCTGGAACAAATCTACACCTTAAATTATCCACCTCAGGCATTCAACATATGTGGAAAGAAATATGCAGAAGAGTTGGAGGTCTTTGAAGAACTCCAGGGAGACAGTTTCTCTGTAGACTGGAGGTATCTGAAACGTGGAACTGAAAATTGTGGCATCTAGGAAAGCTCTGAGGCCATAAAGCATGCAGAGAAATGATAACAGGGTTCTGGAGTTTGCACACTGTTACGGTGAGGTCCCACAGTGGCGTCTAATCTTTGTTTGCATTTCAGTTCTGGTGTCAAGAGCTTGGAGGAAGTCTGCCTTCAGGTTACAGACCTTCTCCCTGGCCTCAAGAAGCTGAGGAATCTGCTCCCCGAGCATGGCTGTCTGTTACTGTCTCCGGGGAACTTCTGGCAGAATGACCGAGAGCGATTCAACGCCGACCCCGATATTATCAAAACCATCCACCAGCATGAACCAAAGACTCTGCAGACATCAGCTACTCTCAAAGGTAAGAGGCTGAAGTGCCAAAGAAGCCCCCTTTCTGTAGGTTTAAAGGTAACAGGTGAGTTGTCCAAGCCTTTTTGTTCTTCTTACTCTAGATATGCTCTGGCCTTTTTCCCTTGTGCCGTTGTCTATTGTATTCAAAGACTGCCTCATTGTCACAGGCAAACATTCATCCTGCTCCCTCTTGTGCTTTTGCTGTCATTTGCCTGCATATACCCTGATATGACACTGGATCTCATGAAAGTATTTTTGCTTTCTTAATTAAAAAAAAAAAGTCTGACCATGTCTGGGGTCTTATTGTTCAGTGATTCCACAAGGCCAGGGGAAATGCTGTTCCTTTGTTTTTAAAGGAATTTTGTAGGTATCAGGAAGCCTGTTAATGTGACAGGTCTAAAAAGGGACTTTATATCCATAAAGCAAGTTTGTTTTAAAGGTTATTTCTTGAGCATCCATAACGTATGCACGCTGTGGTTTGGAGCACATGGAGCCTCTCTTTGACGGCTCATTCACAAGCAAGAGAGAGGTCCACAATATCCTGGGAATTCCTGGACGTAGAGGTAGTGTTCATCATTGTGTTTTAAGCCTTCATTCAGCACACCAGCTTAACAGGCGAGACGTTTAATAGTCCTTTGTGATGTGATACTCCCTTGAACACACAGCATGAGGAACAAACAGGAGGAATTAGGGGTGTGTGAGCAGCTGGAGGGCCGTGCTGGTACACATTGATAGGTGCTTCCTAGGAATAAAAGCTCTTCTGCAGCATTCTTCACAACAAGTCTTTTTTTTCGCCTCTTTTTCTGTTATTGTAAGGTTTTGTTCATCCTGTGTTTTTGCAGATCTGCTGTTTGGACTCCCTGGAAAATACAGCGGGGTGAATCTGTACAACAGGAAGCGAGTGGTGTCCTACACTGTCACACTGGGCCTCCAGCGATACGACTCCAGGTAGGGAGCTGGAGCTGGGCTATTTTTACATTAGGGATCCCTTTTTCTGGACAAGTTAGCTCTTTTCTCTGCTCTGATTATGGCTAACTTTTTGTTTAATCCCCATTTTCTTGTGCTTTAGAGTATTTTGGCATCCTCTGAAGGTGCTACAGAAAAGCAGAATGCTGCTTTGGGGGATAAAACTTGCTGTGCTTTAGGGAAATAAAGCACTATCAGTGCTGTTTCTTTCTTTATATAAAAAAAATATTAAATAAAATACCCAAAGCTGCCAGTGGGAGTTCCTCTGATGATGGCTTCATCTGCACACCGAGCTGTCAACTGTTGCAGCCAAGGCCCAGTAGGGCTGTTTTGACCCAGTTCCCGGTGCGTGGAGTTTGAGTGTTTTGCTTTCCAGAAAGCAGTAATTCAACCGGTACCAACTGTGAAACCCCTCTGGCAGTTTTGGCAAAGCTGCCTTGGATTGAGCAGATCTGAGGACTAAACAGATTTCCCCTAGGACAAAATTGGCAGCCCAGGAGTCGAAACCTGCCCTGCTGCTGCCCGGACAAGAGCCCTTCAGCCTCAAGGACTGTCATGTAGGGCCTGTCAGCAGCAGCACTTACATAAAATGTAGGAGATGTTTGAGTCTGCAGGATGTTCTGTTCCCCAGGGCCAAATTTTGTTGACGACGAGCCCTTGCTTTAAATAATTTTGCTGAGTCTGCACAGTTCCCTTTTGAATCTTCGTAGAAATCAAGGTCTGGGAGATAGCCACAGCGCAGATGTACTCTGCCCTCACCGAGCTCCTCCTTGGGATTGTTTGCTGGTTGTTGGGCACGGTGTGAGTGACAACCCGCTTTATTTTCACATCAGGTTCCTCAGCAGCCTCCGCTCTCGCCTCAAGCTGCTGCACCCCAGCCCCAACTGCACGCTGCGGGAGGAGAACATCGTGCACGTCCACTTCAAGGAGGAGATTGGCATTGCCGAGCTGATCCCCCTCGTCACCACCTACATTATCCTCTTTGCCTACATCTACTTCTCCACACGTAGGTTTGTGGGGTGGAGAGCCTAGAGAGCAGAGCAAGCTAAAAATCCACCTGTAGATATATATATATATATATATGTGCCAGCTAAGGGATGGGTGGTGGGGCACAATTTCCTGGGCTACATATGGGAAAAATGAGTTCCATCCACAGCACTGCAGTTCCTCCTGTTTCAGCAGCAAAGGTGATGTTGAAATTTTATCCTTGTGGTATCTTCTGAGGTGTTCCCTGTCTTACACAGCTTTAAATGCCGTGGTAGTGATGCTTTTTCCGATGTGGACAGACCAATTTTTGGTCATGCAGATCAAATACACGTTCTGAGCTTGTTGCTTTAGACCTTTCCAACCATATTTAAGTTCCTTTTTTCATGCCCCAGCAGTGCTGTACTGCCAGTACAAGCTGCAAGCTCCTGTCCCATCCTTTTAACAGTTCTTAGGAAATGTGAGGATGTGGGATCTGCATTTCAGACGTTGAACTGCCATTATTTCTGGGCTGCAGCAAGTAAAGTTCCTGCAGAATTAAGTCAGATTGAGGATCCCCTCGTGGCTTTTTATTAATATGTTCTCTTCTGCTTCGTAACAGAGACTTTGCATTCTGTTTTTCAGGGAAGATTGACATGGTGAAATCGAAATGGGGCCTGGCCCTGGCAGCGGTGGTCACGGTGCTCAGCTCTCTGCTCATGTCCGTCGGGCTGTGCACGCTGTTTGGTTTGACCCCTACTCTTAACGGAGGGTACGTGTCCAGCACCAAACCCCTTCCCAAACGAGGGCAGGCAGAGGTGAAATCATTTGCAAACAGCTGTTCAGTGCTTAGCCCTTAAAATCTAGTATTTCTCATATAAGCTTAGGTGACAGTGTTTACACACTGCTGTGTAAAATTATAAACAGACTTCTTGAGCTGAAGGACCTGGTGGTTTTTGTCTGTCCAGCAAAAAGACTCGACTTTTTCTTCCTGGAGAAGCCTTTTAGCTTAGCATTTGGCTCTTTCAGCCTAAAGCAAAAGGTATTATCGGGACGATGTCTTAATTATAAATCTGATTTCCTGGCAGCTGAGCAGGCTCCCAAATTTCTTCCTCCTGCAGTGACTTGTCCTAGCACCCAGAAGCGCTCCTTGCTTGATCTTGGGCTCGCTCAGAAGGATCTTTCAGGATGGCAGCGCTGCCCTGGTTGTGCCTGGAGGCCAGCTGGGGAACTTTGCAGCCATCTCTGACATTTGGCAGCTTTGCTTTTGGCTGGGGCTCCTGCACACGTGGCTGTTTGGCCTTTTGATGCGGTGATTCCCACTCATATTTGTGTCAAGTTGAAAACACCTGAGAGCACCATTAATTAAAGTTCAATTTGGAATCTTTTTTTTTTATTATTTTTCTGATCCCTTTCCTAAGTAATTAAGGACGTACCCACCAATTTCCTTCTCAACTCCTCCTTCCAGCTGGAACAATTCGAAGTTTGACCATCAGGGAGGTTTCTCAGTGCTGGTGATAGTTTACCAGGAGCCAGACCTAGGTGGAGGAGTTCTGAGAAGCCTGGAAGAGCTGCAAATAATTGACTTCAGAATCAAAATGATTTAATTATTTGTTCCTATTTTTACCTATTTTGTGGTAACTAAGAGTCTTAATTATAGATCAAGCCCAGATCAGGATAGGATCTACTGGAAATTTACAATTGTAAAGCAAATAAAAACAGTGTTTGGATGCAGATACACGGGGGGCATCCCATCTTGGTTCAGTCTGGTTTTAGTTAGTGCAATGACCATTACCATTGTCACACTTAAGGGCTAAACTAATCCAGTTATTCCTCCTGCAGGCTGGACAGTTAATCAGTTCTTGTTTCTTAAAGTAGTTTTCCTGCAAAAATTCTTTGCCTTAAAATGATTGCACAGATGATTTCCTCCGGGGTTGAAACTTAGTCCTTGCAATACTTTATAAATGCTGTTTAATTGGATGAAGGACACTTGGGTTCTGTGGTGATGGGTTCTGATGACATCGAGGTCTTTATTTTCTGATGACATTAATATTTTTTTAGCAGGTTGATTGTGCTCTTTTAGATAAATGCCGTGTGCTGGCAATGGTGGTTGTACTTTTTGATGCAAGTGATAGGGAAGGATCCCTCAGGGCTTGATCTGGCTCCTCTCCTAAGTGCTGTAAACGTTTAGACACCATAGGGGAGAGAGGCACTTTGACTGAAGCTTGTCTTTTCCTTTCCTAAATGCTCACAATTTTCACTTCTCAGCAGTTGTTGCAGGTGGGATCACGCTGAAAGCAGGAAAGATCTGGATGAGACGAAAGTGGCATTAATATGTGAGCAAGCTGCGTAGAGAATGGGTTGGGACTGCAGGTACCCAAGGGATCCTCCGACCTTTTCCTGATTCCCCAGGGTCTGCCAGAGCACTTCCCCTCTTGTTATCTGATTCCTGAGTGGGGACAGAGTGTTCTTGGTACGTCCTAGACCCGATGCTAACGTGCTAGGGGTTGGCCGGCTTCAGGGTGCAGAGTCAGATTTGTTTGGTTAAACTCTGAGCTGAATTTTGACCTTTTTTTATCTGTTTTGTTTACAGCAGAGCCTTCTAGATACGGGTGTGTTTGTTTTTAGTGGCACCCGTATTTACGATAAGCCTCAGTCCCTCACCAATTTTTGTAAGGTACTGAAGTAGAGCTCGGTGCTTAGGGATCAGTATCTGCTTACTGCTGCTGTATGATATTAAAAATTAGACCTTAAGCATTATCAGTCATCTTTTATCTTGCTTTGATAGTGTCCCCTTGTCTTAAAGCATATTTCAGATATTAATGAAGGCAAGGTTGAATGGGTGAGGTCTTATTAGTCTTTATTTTACAGAAAAGAAGAGTGAGTGGAGATTGGTGACGTGCTGTGCCCAGGATTTACGGCTGAGCAGTAGGTTGTGCAGAATGCCCAGAGTTCACTGAAGTGGGATACGAGTGAGCTGGGGCACTCTGAAAGCCTCTGAACAATTCCAGAGCACAGCCACCACGAGCTGCTAGCTCAGCTGGCTTGGAGGAGCCATGATCTTAAATGACAACCTGCTTCTCTTTATTGATTTTAATTTTTTATGTATGATTTTTTGTCCTAAATTGACTAGCTCAGATGCAAACATTTACATTTTAGATAGGAGAAGCTGATGGGATGGATCCACAAAGCTTCCAAGTGATATCTTCCAGGTTTATCTTCAGATAAACCCAAGATTCTCCCTGCTCACATACATGCATGGAGTCAGGGAGCTGGAGGAGATATTTTCTTCGTGGTTCATGGTGGTTTTTCTGTTGACTGATGGATGCTGGATCTGGCTGTGATGCAGCTCCTTCTGGCATCCAAGTGAGCAGGGAGCTGTGTTGCAGCAGACCATTATCAGGTTGCTCTTAGCCTGCTAGCCATTTACAATGAAACCTGCTGACTCTTCAAGGACCTATCTAAATTCATAACCCGTGCCTGCTAATTAATAATCTTCTGCAGCTGAAGCAACTGGTTAAGTAGGAGATAGTTGAGAGCATTACAGGTTTCCTTTTCCTTTTACTGCCTTCTGAAGGGTTCCTGCAGCTCATCTGCAAACGGTGCTGGACAGCGAGTGCTTTGTGCAGGACCGTGTAAGGACAGGATTCTGCAGGAGCGTGCCCTTACAGACCTCAAAGTCTTATTTTTTCGATTTTGTTTTTGGTTTTGCTTTGAGTGGAGCTCTTGCTGTTTCAGCCTGCCATTTGTTCAAGGAGCTGGAACGGAATCGCTGAGCCAGCAGTGATCCCAGGCAGGGATTTTTCCCCCAGCTGGACTTGTAAGGGACGGGCTGCTGACAGCCCCACGTCTGCAAGGTTTGTTGAAGCCAACATCAGATGAAAGCAGCGCTGGGAAGATGGTCCTTGGGGGTTGTGTCCTGGCAGAAAGCAGGAGGTGTTCTGAAACCCTGGTGTTTTGATTTCTTGGCTCTGAGGGATCTGCCAAGGGCTGCGTGTAGCTGCACGCACACACCTTCTCCTCTTGGATCTGCACGAACCAGCACAGCACAAATTGATCCCCCCCTGAAAGGACGCAGCCCTCTTTTTGCTTAAGTTTAGCTGGAGGGAAGTGAAGAGATTTACCACGTGCATGGATCAGCTTCTTCTCTCCGACTGAGCTGGGCTGTAAGTAGTTGGAAGAGAGAAAAAAAGTGAGAAGAGAGTTGGATAAAGTCACAGTGGTGGCTTTTGGTTGTCTTTCTCTTCTGCTTGAATATATTCTGAAGGGCAAATCCAATGCAGGGCGTATTCTTGAGTCTTGGGTAGAAAATATCCCTGGGAGGGTTTAGTTTGTTCACGTAATACTGTTCATGTAATACTTAGCTGTGATTTAGCAAGATCTTCACTCTTGATGGTGGGACACGGTCCCTACCCTCCTGGTATAACGTTCTCTTGCTGTTCCTGAGGCTGCTGCAGTGGTGCTCAAATCCATCTTTTTGATTTTCACCTCTTTTTGGAGACTTTGTTGTAGAGACTCTTTGAGAGGCGCTGTCCTTTGGGGCTCTTCTTTGGGGACCCAGGAGTTGGATTTGATGATCCTTGTGTGGCTCCCTTGCAACTCGGATACTCTGATTCTGATTCCTGACCCTAGGGAGCATGAAGACTGATTTAGTGGTTGTCTACAATGGCTGTTTTTCAAAAAATCATGCAATTTTGTAAAAATATTAATATCTATCTGACGCAGATGAAATCACACCTCTCACCTCAGCACAGAATAATACTGCAAAATAAAGGGTTTGGCTAAGAGTGGTGGATAGTGTTTGCTGTTCACTTTCTTTACCCAAAGATCTCATTCTCATTTTTTTTTCCTGTTTCCCCCAGAGAGATCTTTCCCTACTTGGTCGTGGTGATTGGCCTGGAGAACGTGCTGGTCCTCACCAAGTCGGTCGTCTCCACGCCTGTCGACCTGGAAGTGAAGCTGCGCATCGCCCAAGGTAGGCACCTCCTCTGGGAAAATGCTGAGAGAGGAAAAAAACTGGGGAAATTCCCAAACTGGGAGATGGGGAATTATCTTAATCGTGGTCTGTAGAGGAAACGAGGACCTTGTGAGTCGAATATGAATTGGTGATTGTATTCTTAAAGTCTTTTGTACTATTTTTGTTATTTCTAAGAAGCTCACATAAACCTCTAACTGTGGGCACTGCTTTTTAAGAGTCTTGACTGAAGCATTGGCAAAGCAAGTTTTAAAAAGTGTCAGTAAGAGAGAGCTGTGTCTCCTGGTAAGGATATTTAGTGCCTGTCCTCGTGTCATGAATATTTTAAGATGCAGTCCACGGGTCGTAAGAAGTTCTGCTGAGGCTGTGACCAAATTATTGTCCCTGGTACAGATACACTCTGCAGCTGCATAGGGGATTTGAGTACGCTCAAACCATGGATAAATGTGGTTTGCAAACTTAAAAGACATTTATAAACATGAGAGATTCTGGAGTGATCCCCAGAAAAATCTACCTGAGCTCTGAAAATCAGAGTGCTTTGTATCCTGGATCAAAAACAGGACGCAAAAACTCACTGATCCCTAACTCGTCTGAATCCCTGTGTTGTCCTGCTCGGTGCCCTCAGCCTGCCAAAATCAAGGTGGTTCTGTGAGCTGAGTCTTCTTCAGCTCCCCGTGTGGCTGGATAAAAATCCATCTGCTGCTCTGGGGCTGGGTGATAACCCTGGCTGATAAACACATGGGAATCTACAGGCCGATTATAAACACATACCCAAATAGGTCAGCTGAATTTTAGCCTAAAAATGCCCTTTTTTGTCTGTTGACTAATTTTAAAGAAGGGGAATCCAGAGAGGAGTCCTTTCAGCTCTGCTCACACCCATTCACTAGGGAACACTCTCCTTTTACCTGTCTGCATGTTTTCTCCCCAGGCCTGAGCAACGAGAGCTGGTCAATTATGAAGAACATGGCCACAGAGCTCGGGATCATCCTGATCGGGTATTTCACCCTCGTCCCAGCCATCCAGGTGAGTGCCAGGCACCCGCTGACATTTCACAAATGATATTGTCTAACACAACAAACCTTATTTTCTGTGGCTTAGTAGCAGAAGAGGTGACTCAGGGAAATGCCTCCCTTTCCACTCTGGTTTCTCCAGTGGGTTTCGTGCAATCCCAAACGCTCCTCCCTGCATCTCAAAGACCCCGTGGCAGTGACCCCCTCATTCTGCCCCATCATTTTGAGGCCTCTCACCCCCAGAACAAGGGGCAGGTCCCTGTGCTCCTTTCTGTTTGTGCAGGGGAGCTTCCTATCACGGAGCTCACTAATCCCCTTCAGCAGTGGAGGGGAAACCCAAAACCAGTTCAGGATCTCCTCTGGGGAAAGGGTGGGCGGTGTTTTTGGGGCTATCTCACCGGATTTACAAGCCTTTGGGTTTCTTACAGCCACGGACATCACAGTCTCTGTTCCAGGGCTGAACAAACTGAAACCTCAAGGAACGATCTAGTAGATTGGGTCTCTAGTAGAGGGTCTAACACTGAAAATGGTGTTGAGGTCTGGAAATTCCTAGCACGGATTTGAGCAGGTGCAGGCAGCAAGGCAGCAGCATCTGCGCAGCTGAAGGCCAGTGCTGGCCGCGCGTGGGCTGAGCGTGTCCTTGCTGTGACATTGGGGAACCACCAGCAGACAGACTGCAGATTAAAGTGGATGATAATCTAAGAAGATTAAACAGCCAGCTTGAACGGCAGCGTTGCAGGTCCTTGAGCCTGGCCCTGGGTGGCCGAGAGAAGTTCAGCAAGAGAGGAGCTCGAGCAGAATTCCCCAGGGTACACCCAGCCACGTGTCCTGTCCGAATTTTTTTATTTGAAGCTGGTTGCAGAGGTTGCTCAGGTCAAACACCAGCGTGTCCCACCCTTTGGGTGTAAACTGGGCTCATTCCTAGGGTCTTTTAGCTCCTCGTCCTGGCAGAGGAGCCGTGGGAAGAGCAGCACGTCCAGGGATGTGTCCTGGGTGCCCGTCCTGCTCCTTCTGGAGCTCACCCGCTGAAATTGGGTTCAGGTCTTGCTGTAGGGGGTGCAGAACCCAAGCATAAGAAGATTTCAGATTCCCAGGGCCAGCAGTTTCAGATAGCTCTAATCCTAAACGGAATAAGTTGGGGGTATTAGTGGAATTAATATTTATACGCAGAGCTTGCCGTTTGTGGAGGCTTTGGCTGAGTGGAATCCAGCTGGGTGCTGCTTTCCCTCTGTTTTCCTCCTTTGGAGAGGAACCCAGGCTGTGTTTTCATCCCCAGAACGTCTCGGGGTGTTGTGTTTGCTCCCCAAACCTCCCGAGGAAGGGATCAAGCTGCGGTCAGAGCCTGCGAGAAGCTGGGCAAGACCCAGGCAGGAGGGGGACAAAAATGAATCTTGTTCTGCAAATGGGGCTGGGCTCTTGGATCTCTTTAGCCCCAGGTTGCTGCTGGTGCCTGCTTTCGATGTGCTTGATCTCTCCGAGTTCCTAAATCTCCTCTGGGCCCCGACAGGTCGTGGCAGCGACCTGTACCTCCGAGGGGTGTCCCTGGCTCTGGGCTCCTCTGGTGCTCCTAATTTCTGCAGTGGCACCTGCTGGGGAAGCGCAGCATGGCAGGGAGCTCAGCACCCATCCCAAAATAAGGACCCAACCCTAAATAAGCACCAGCCGAGGGTGTGATTTAAACAGCCATGGTTTAGCTGGAGCCCTGGAGCTCCTAGGTGTGAGCACAGGGGGGTACAAGGGGCTTCGGTGGTCTTTGTGTGGTGGGAGGACACCTGGCTGAGCCCAGCCCCACTGCTCCTGGAGGAGTTTTCCATCTGGGGGAGGTTTATTGGTGCAGGGAAGGAAACCAGCACTGCTGGGGGCTCTTTGGGTGTGCGATTTGCGCACACAATCAGGGGGCTGAGAGCTTTGGGAGCAGGGACAGCCCCTCTGCTGTTTTCTCCCGGGACTCTTTGATGTTTTACGGCTAAGAACAAAAACTGTGAATGTGAATTAACGTGCTCTCGAGCTCTCACACTGCTCTAACACCAAGCTTTCAACCGTTCCAAAGCCCCGATGGCAGCACTGTGGTCAGTAAAACACCCTCAGGCCCATGCTCTTGGGCAGCAGGGTGCTGAGCTGCCCTTTTCGTGGAGCTGGGATCTCCACCCCGTGTCCCTGAGCTGCCGTAGCTGATTTCTGTGTGTTTGTGCTGCCTGCAGGAGTTCTGCCTCTTCGCCGTGGTGGGCCTGGTGTCCGACTTCTTCCTGCAGATGTTCTTCTTCACCACCGTGCTCTCCATCGACATTCGTCGCATGGAGGTGAGGACGGGCTGGGAGCCCTCGTCCCGGGGCGAGGGGAGCGTGCCCTGGGGTTTCCCACCTCGTTTTTCTCCGTTTTTCTGACTCCTGCTTCTCTCCTGGCAGCTCGCTGACCTGAACAAGAGGCTGCCAGCAGAAGCCTGCCTGCCCCCCGCCAAGGCCGTCAGCCGCTCGCAGCGCTACGAGCGGCAGCCGGCCCTGCGGCCCGCCACCCCCCACACCATCACCCTGCAGCCCTCGTCCTTCAGGAACCTGCGCCTCCCCAAAAGGCTCAGGGTCATCTACTTCTTCGCCAGGACCCGGCTGGCCCAGAGGCTCATCATGGTAGGCATGGCCTGACCCAAACAGGCTTCCAGGGGAAAAAAAATATAAAAAATGGACATTTTTACACATTCTTGCTGTTTGCTCTGAGAGATCTCTGCATAACCAGATTTTCAAGGAACTGTACGAGGGGAAAGAGAAGGTATTTACAGAGCAGAAGTCGTATTTGTTCCTGCAGGCAATGTGGGATGAAGGCACGGAGATGTTTCTCTCCGTGGAAGACGAATTCTTTCCCTTTTGGGGGTGTGACTGTAAGAGGGACACCAGATCCTGCCCTGCTTGTCCCCAGTGCTGTCACCACCAGCAGGCTGGGTTGGGGAGCTCACAAAGTGGTGCTCGGGGTCACCATAAAGGATAAGGAGCTGCCTGGAGCAGGACCCTAACGGAGGGCAGGGTGCTCCCCTCGCTGGGGTGCTGCTGATGGGCTCAGCCAGGCGGTGATGGGGTGGGGGCAGCAAGAAGAAGGCCGAGCACTAAATAATTTTGAAATAATTTTGTCTCCTCTCTCCTCACGCAGGCCGGGACGGTGATTTGGATCGGAATCCTGGTCTACACGGACCCCGCTGGGCTCCGCACCTACCTCACCTCGCAGGTCACCGAGCAGAGCCCCCTGGGGGAGGCGGGTTTGCCCCCCATGCCCGTTCCCGGAGGGGTCTTACCTGCTGGCGACCCCAAGCTCGATCTCTCGGTCTTCCCGGCGGACCCCGTGCAGCTGTCGGAAAACCAGACGCAGCAGCGGGAGCAGAAGTCAGGCTTGGATTCCCTGAGCAGGCTGGAGGCGAACCAGCACAGCTGGGCCCAGGGACATGAGGGCAAAGGGAACGGGCAGACGGAGCTGGGGACCGAGGCAGAGGTCACCTGGGGAGCGGAGGATGAGGAGATCTGGAGGAAGCTTTCCTTCAGGCACTGGCCGTCCCTCTTCAGCTACTACAACATCACCCTGGCCAAGAGGTAAGTGCCCTTCTGCCCTCCGTCCTCCTGAGTTTGGTGATTTGTGTTCCACGCGGCTTGCTCCAAAAGTGTCTCGAGGAGCAACCTGTTAAACAGGCTGTCCTGGGGTGCAGAAGTACCAAACTGCTGGACTGCTTATCTGAAAATAAGGGCCGTGTTTCTTTTTTGTGCTTTTGGGTGTATTCCCTCATCCTGGATTGCATTTTTTTGGAGGTGACAAGCTCAGATAACATGTGTGCTTGTCTGTAAGTGATGGGATGGTACATGTGAGGAACAGAGACACTGAACAAACCTCTGGGTGATATCTGCTGGTCTCCAGCGTACAGAAAACCAGAGCAGATCACTTTATTTTCACTTAAACCAACGTGATCCATCCCATGGGTAGCTCATTCCGCTGGTGGCAGCCCGTCCTGGCCGCTGCTGAGAAGCCGAGCCAAATTTGGGGTTTTTGTCTTCCTTGTGCTTGCTGTTCCTAAGCTGTTCTTAACCTCCATCCCTTCAGGTACATCAGCATCCTTCCAGCCATCCCAGTCACGCTCTACCTGAACCCCCAGGAGGCCTTGGAAGTGCGGCACCCCCAAGAAGCCAACCGCTACCACCCCTTCCTGGCTTCAAGCGGCGCCAAGCTGGGGGCTGCAGCTCAGCCAGACCAAGCCTCCCCCAAGCTGCAGGGACACCGGGATGTCACCCTGTACAAGTAAGAGCCCTTGACACAGCCTTGCCACCGTGCCTCAGCTCTCCGGAGACGCAGGGGGCTCTTTGGCTGCTTGGCTCTTCCCCAAAAAGGGGAAAAAGGAAAAAAAAATTACTGAGGATTTGGCTTTGATGTGTTTTAAGTGGATGGTTTAATGGTGGTGTTAAAGCTGGTGCTCCTAGCACACACGTTATGGGGTGTGTCCATGGGAAATAGGAATTTTTGGGGGGAATAAATGCCATGATCCAACCATGGGTGTGAGATAAATCCCCCATGCAAGCAGAGAATTTCCTTTCCTGCTGAGGAGCCAAGCTCCCAGCTTGCCACCTGGATCTGCATCCTCCTTGGGCTGTGTTGAACACACTTTGTATCACCCTGATCCCCACCTGGCATTTTTTTTTCTTTCTTAACTGCGTGTTCTTCTTATGGACAAGCCTGAAAATCTCATTCAAATCAACATTTTCCTGTAAAAAAAAAAATCTTTAATATTTCAGAAATCACTACAGCTTGTTGGAAGTTTTTCTCAGTTGAAAACCTCGGACTTTTTGGCGTGTGTTTGTAGTGTTTCAAACACTTCCCACGAACTGCTGATGGGATCTTGAGCTCACCTTGTTCTCTGTGTCTCTCTCTCCCCACAGGGTGGCTGCGCTGGGCCTGGCCTCGGGCATCATCCTGGTCCTGCTGCTCTTCTGCCTGTACAAGGTGTTCTGCCCCAAAAACTACGGGCAGAACGGGCTGGCCCACAGCAGGAGGAAGCGGGGCGACCTCCCCTGCGATGACTACGGCTACTCCCCGCCCGAGACCGAGATCGTGCCCCTGGTTCTCAGGGGCCACCTCATGGTAGGTCGGACAGGCGCAGTCGTCGTGGGAAAGGCAGCTGGGTGCCGTGTGCCACACAGCTTTATTTTCCTTTTTTCACTTAAATAACAGCCCTCGTGAAAGACAGGCTGGGTATTTAGCCCGAGAGTAACACAGCTTTGGAGGTTAACAGCAGAGGTGATGCTGGATGGGTGCATTTTGGGGTCTCGTAGCATGAAGTTACCTGCAGGACTTTCCCATTCCTTCCTGGAACTTGCTCTGAGGTTTCTGCAGTCGCTGTTATCCCCTCCTCTGTGCAGCCAGCTGCTGCCTTTATTGGCTGATCCAGCTTTCCTTGCTTGGGGGTAGCTCCACATTCCTGATATTTATTGCCTACTGAATCTTTTTTTCTGCTTTCCCAAAAGCTAGTGGGTAGGTTTGAGCCGTTAAATATTGTTTCCAGTGCTAAAAACACCCCTGGGTGTCCACAGAAGTGAGCTGCAGCTCAGCTCCCTCGTTTTTCTTGAGGCAAAAGATTCTCCTCCCTGTTGGGAGAGGAAATAAAGCGCTCAGCCCCCAGTCAGACGGAGGATGAACAAATATACTCTTCCAGATGAGCTGCACCTCTGTCCCTGCGGAGCCTTTGTCTGCTGAGTGCTGTTTTATTTCTCAGACTGCAGCATTTGCCTTTGTTTTGGGTGTCCCTGATGCTCCTATCCGAGGTTGCTAAGCCAGCCGTGGCGTTTGGACGTGGAATTTATCATCTGTCCGGTGGCTCTGAGAGCCCAGAGGCCTCGCTGGTGCTCAGCTCTGCTCCTCCTTCCTTCCCAGGACATCGAGTGCCTGGCTAGCGACGGGATGCTGCTGGTCAGCTGCTGCCTGGTGGGCCAGATCCGGGTGTGGGATGCTCAGACCGGGGACTGCCTCACCGTAATTCCCAAACCGAGGTACGTGATCGCTCTGCGGTCGCTCAGCAGCCGGCAAAACCCCTTCTGGACGAAATCAGCAGCCACAGTCCTCGGGGCAGCCTCGATCCCTGCCATACCACGCTTGTGCACACTAATTCTTGCTGTCTTTGTGGCTGTGGCATCCCTGTGCCCATCCCAAATTCTCTGACTCGGTGAGGACGGGAGCGCTGACCCCCTGGTGCTGTCTTCCAGGTTGCGACGGGACAGCAGCGGCGTTTTTGATTACCAGGAGAGCTGGGATCACAGCCCGGACGGCAAGAACAGCCTGGACGACTCCTTTGAGAGCAGCCACCAGCTCAAGAGGATGCTCGGCCCGCCCCAGCCTCCCCTTTTCTGTGACCAGCCAGACCTCACCTCCCTCATCGACACCAACTTCTCCGAGCAGGTGAAGGTGCCCGAATCGGAGACGCGGCTCCGGGCTGTGGGCGGGCGCCAAAAAGAAGCTGGCTACGACTTCAGCAGCCTGGTTGGCAAAGTGTACGAAGAGCACAGCACCTCCAACTGCATCAGCTTCACCGGCCTGCCCGCCCCGCACGCCCAGGCTGGGTCCCGCTCCCTGGGCTGCGGCAACGAGGAGGGAGGCTGCAGCAGCCGCAGGAGGAGCCTGGGGGACGAATCTTTCACGGGCTTTGACAAATCGTCGCCGCTTCCTTCCTGGGGAGGAGACTTGGAGAGTTCTGTCTGGAGCCTGGACCTGCAGGGGAACCTCATCGTGGCCGGCCGCAGTAACGGGAAGCTGGAGGTAAGGGGCAGGGCTCCCTGATGAGTAGGAACTCGACACGGGTTTGAAGCAAGCTTTCATTGGAGACGATACCTCCAATGAGAAACTTCCAGAAACAGTTCAATTTGAGTTTGGTTTTGGAAATTAAATGAGAATCTTTCCCTCAGGATGACAGCAGCCTGCCCTGCGGCCGCTCGGTTTCATGGCCGTGACCTCCTGCTGTTGCTCACGCCGTAATTTTTTCCTCCTGCCAGGTGTGGGACGCCATCGAGGGCACCCTGCGCAGCAGTAACGAGGAAGGGCAATCGGGCATCACGGCGCTCGTGTTCCTCAACAACAGGTGTGTACTCGGTCTTTCTGGTGGCTGAGGATCCGGAATAATTCTGAGAGCTGATGCCTTTGGGTCACCACTTTCTGTTTGCTGTTAATTAAGAAGTTTTTCCATCTGCTGGCTGATTCCTGTGGCCTGAGCTCGATGCAATGTCCAGGTCCCCTTGCAGGCAGCAGTGGCTCCTCACAGGGGGTGGCGTAGTTTGGTCCTGATGCTCCTGGCCCTGTGAAGGCTGCTGTTCACACGCGTGCATTTCTCCCCCAGGATCGTTGCTGCCCGGCTGAACGGCTCTCTGGACTTCTTTTCGCTGGAAACTCACACGTCCTTCAACCACCTGCAGTTCCGAGGTAAGCGGGCATCTCACACCCTCTTCAAAAGCTCTTGTCATCATGCTCCGCTCCAAAAATCCCTGTTGCAGGATGCCAAACCAGAGGTTGTGCAGAAATGAAGAATAATTTGGGAATTCCCTGTGGAGCTAAAGCATTTGGAGTGCTGGTTTTCTCCAGTGCCTAAATCTGGAGAGTGGGGGACACATTTTGGTGTCAGCTCTTCCCTGCACCTCGTTCCTCTCCCACCCCACACTTAATTTAATTAATTGCTCACGCAGCAAGGTCTGGTTTTGTTAGCACAGCACAGAGCCCCACGCAGCCAGGAGGTAGTGCAAGGCTTCAGCACAGCCACACACAAATTAAAACACATTTGTGTGGTTTTTTTTTTTTGGTTTGCAGTGCTGGGGTCATTGGAGTTCTTCATTTGATCTCACTTGAGCTCTTCAGGGATCTGTCCTGCCCAAGTTGTAGGGTGCCAATTCCCAGCAGGGAGCTCTGCTGCTGAGCTGGGTGTTGGAGACACTCGCTCTGTTTTTTTTATTGTATCCCGGGACGGTTTGGGTTGGCAGGACCTCAAAACCCACCCAGTTCCAGCCCCTGCTGTGGGCAGGCTCCCCTCCTACCACACCAGCTCGCTCAAAGGTGTTTTGCTGCTGCTGGCGTCAGCCAGGGTGCTGAGCATTCAGCTCTTTGTAGGACCAGGCTCAAGTTCTCCCCGATTTCAGCCCCGAGGCATCCCTGATTTGGCCTCTCTGGCTGATTTTGGCCTCTCTGGGTGATGTTGGGCACTCAGCCGTTTGTTTTTGCCGCAGGAGCCCCGAGCAGAAGCAGCATCCCCTCCTCCCCGGTGTTCAGCAGCAGCGACATCATCATGTGCCAGCTCACCCACACCGTGTCCTGCGCCCACCAGAAGCCCATCACGGCTCTGAAAGCCGCAGCGGGACGCCTGGTGACGGGCAGCCAGGACCACACGCTGCGGGTAAGGCTTTAGGGCTTCCTGCACGGCTGCTGGACGTGCTGGGGGCACAGCCTGTACCTGCGGAGAGCTTCATAAGAGCTAATTAGCTTCATTGCTTCGTTAGCAAGAGCACGAGGGATGCTCACGGTGCCCTTCTGCCCCGCAGGTGTTCCGGCTCGAAGATTCGTGCTGCCTGTTCACTCTCCAGGGCCACTCGGGAGCCATCACGGCCGTGTACATGGACCAGGTGAGGCAGCAGCTGGAGGAGCAGCTTTTATTTTTGGCTCTTTAGCCAAAAGGAAGAAGTTGAGGCGCTGCGGGGCCAGGAGTGGGGCTGCTTGCTCGGCCCCGAGGTGCCTGAGCCGCTCCTGTCCTTGCAGACGATGGTGCTGGCGAGTGGGGGCCAGGACGGTGCCATCTGCCTGTGGGACGTGCTGACGGGCAGCAAGGTGAGCCACATGTACGCCCACCGCGGGGACGTCACCTCCCTCACCTGCACCACGTCCTGCGTCATCAGCAGCGGCTTGGACGACGTGATCAGCATCTGGGACAGGAGCTCGGGCATCAAGCTCTACTCCATCCAGCAGGTGGGTAGCGGGGAAAGCTCCGGGGCGCTTGGAAAAGAACAGATTGGGGGTGAAATCGGGGCTGAGCCCTTTTGGGGTGGCTGAGTGTGCTTACGGTGCTGGTTCCTCGCAGGAAATGGGGTGTGGAGCCAGCCTGGGCGTGATTTCGGATAACCTGCTGGTGACGGGAGGCCAGGGCTGCGTCTCTTTTTGGGATATCGGCTACGGCGACCTGCTGCAGACGGTTTACCTGGGGAAGAGCAACGAGTCGCAGCCCGCCCGGCAGATCCTGGTGCTGGAGAACGCCGCCATCGTCTGCAACTTCGGCAGCGAGCTCAGCCTGGTCTACGTGCCCTCGGTGCTGGAGAAATTGGACTGAGGAAGAAGAGGAGGAAGAGGAGGAGGAAGAGAGGGAGGTGCTGGAGCCTGGAGGCGAAGGCAGCCCTGCTTCGTCTTCCTCCCAGCGAGGCAGGGGCGTTGCTGTGGGCGTCCTTGGGGTGGTTCCCCGGTGTCGGGGGGGGACAGGAGGATGGCAACGGGGCAGGAGGAGGCCCTCGAGTGCAGCCCCACGTGCCTTGGAGCTCTGTGCTCCAGCAGCTCCTTGCCCTATTTATTTATGTGCTGTATATAGTTATTTATTCTGGCAGGAGGGCGGGGGAGCTGCAGGCCGTGGTGGAGCTGCCTCCCCCCCCCCTCGAAGCCCGGTCACCTTCCTCACCCTGCCCTTCCTCCTCCTCCTCCTCCTCCTTGGGGAGGTGTTTCTCAGGTTGGGCCTCCCTGCGGAGGGGACGGAGACACCCACGGGGCTGGGGAGAGGGGCACAGCCTGCGGCGGGGGGACCAAAGCGCCCCGGCAGAGCTCCAGGGCCCCCCATCTCCCCCAAAAATTCCTCCTGATTGTAGAGGTGGGAGGGGGCGACCGCAGGGGGGGAGGGAGGCTGAGGGGGGGGGCTCCTTGCTACCGCCCAGGTCCCCCCCCTCTGCGCCCGCGCGGTGCCTCGGGTGGCCTTAGCCCTGCTGTACGCTTTGTTCTGTACAGTGGCAGCATTTTTGTACCGGATCGTGTTTTATAATGTGTACAAAGACACCCCCATTAAATGGAACTAACCCCCCCCCCCCGGGGCCGTGCTGGTGGTGAAACGCTCCCCAAACCCCTGCAGGGGGGTCCTTAGGGTCGTGGGGACAACGCACGGGGAGGGGACGTTTTCCAGACCCCGCACAGCGCCAGATCAACCTCTTTATTTTAGTAGCAAAGAGCTGAAAAAGTCAGTTCTAAGGGAGTGAGAGAAAGTGGCGGGCGCCGTACACCTGTACAAAGCTTTAGGGGGGGAAGGCAGGGCCCCCCCTGCGCCCCCCCAAATCCCCCAGGGGCCAGCCCAGCACCCTGGGAGGCAGGAGGCCGGGGGCTGCGGCTGTAGTGCAGGATTTTGGGGGGGGTCCGAGGCCCCTCCCTCAGCTCTTGTTGAGTGTCCAGAGGGGGTCGAGCATGCTGAGGGGGTCGTCGGTGGGCCGGGGGCCCCGCAGCCCCTCGCCCGTCTGCGCCTGGAGGAAGTTTTGCTTGTTCATCCGCTGCTTGCCCTTCAGCGACGCGTCCAGGGTGAAGGCCTCGGGCGTGAGGGAAGCCAGCAGCTCCAGCGAGGAGGAGGAGGGAGCGGAGGCCGGGGGCTGTGGGGGCTGTAGGGGCTGTGAAGGCCCCGAGGGCTCAACCGGAGGGGGTTTGGGGGGCTCCTCCTCCACGTGGTTGCTGCTCTCGGCCTCGGCTGGGGGCTCGGGGGGCGCTGGGGGGGTTGGCTCAGGGATTGGGGCGGCGCTGCCGTCCATCACCCCATCCAAAACGCCGTCGGGAAGCGCTGGCAGCGCCTCCGGGGGGGCAGAATCAGGCCCTGGGGCAGGATCGAGCCCCCAGCCCCCCCCAATTTCTCCCCCTGCTCCCGGGGGCTTGATGCTGAGCTTGGCGATGGTGGCCTGGATGGAGCTGATGGACAGGTCCCCCCCCAGCACCAGGTCCTGGGGGTCCTGGTGGAAGTAGAGCTGCGAGGAAAGAGCTCCGTGAGCCCCCGGGGGGGGGTGGGCACTGGCTTTTATCCCCCCCCCACGCCCCCAGCTCCCTGCACCCACCTTGGGGGACGTGCTGTTGGGGGGCTTGGGGCCGGGCGTGCCCACCCCGTGGCGCTGCAGGACCTGCTCCGCGTGCTGCAGGACGGCCTCGTAGCAGAACTTGAGGTGGAGCTGCGGGGACGAGAGCGGGGTGAGCACCCCCCCAGGACTTAGGAGACCCCCCCCAGGATCTGGGGGCACCCCAATACCTCCCCCTCTCACCCCGTTACCTTCTCCTGGAGCATGTGCTTGCGTTGCTGCCGCAGGCGCTTCACCAGCTGGGGCAGGTCGGGGATCCCGTTGCCCGCCTCCACCTCCTGCATGGCCGCGTAGAGCAGGCAGAAGGCGCCCGTACGGCCCACGCCGGAGCTGCGAGGGGAGAACCGACCCCATCAGGCACCCCACAGTCCCTAAAACCCCCCTTTTTGTCCTAAAAAGCCCCCCCGCGGGTGCAGCTCACCTGCAGTGCACGACGATGGGGGTGTGCAGCGGGCGCTGGTGCAGGTAGTGGCCGTGCACCTCCTGGATGAAGCGCAGGAGGCTCCCCTTGCTGTCGGGCAGACCCCTGGAGGGGGTTTAAAGGGTTTTTAGGAACCCCAAACCCCCTCCCCACGCCCTAATCTCCCCCCCCCAGCCCCGTTCTCGTACAGCTCGGGCCAGGAGGTGAACTGCAGGTGGATGACGGTGCGCTTGAGGCTCTGGTCGCGGTACTGCAGGGTGATCATCCGCTCCACGTGGGTCGGGGTGGCCTTCAGCCCCGTGAGGACCAGGGTGACGGGGCCCTGCACCACCGGCTGGCCCCGCTCCGCAGGGAAGTACCGCAGCACCTTTTGCTGGGAGGGAGAGGGAAGAGGGTCACGAGGAGGGGAATAGGGAATAGGGTCACAAGGAGGGAAGAGGGAATAGGGTCACGAGGAGAGAATAAGGTCAGGAGGAGGGAAATAGGGTCACGAAGAGGGAAGAGGGAATAGGATCAGGGAGATGGAATAGGATCAGGAGGAGGGAATAGGGTCACGAGGAGGGAAATAGGGAATAGGGTCAGGAGGAGGGAAGAGGGTCAGGAGGAGGGAAATAGGGTCACGAGGAGGGAAATAGGGTCACGAGGAGGGAAGAGGGAATAGGGTCAGGAGGAGGGAATAGGATCAGGGAGAGGGAATAGGATCACGAGGAGGGAAGAGGGGAGAGGGTCACGAGGAGGGAAATAGGAGGAAATAGGGTCACGAGGAGGGAAATAGGGTCACGAGGAGACACGGGGCAGCTCCGCGGCACCCCTTAAAGGCTCACACCACCCCATTGTGGGCATCAAGAGAGATATTTGGGATTTGGGACCACGCCCCGAGCCCGCTCGGGTTTTACCTTCTCCAGCTCCTGCTCGGACACCAGCATGACGACGACGGACACCTTCTGCTCGTAAATCATCAGCCAGAAATCGGCGGCGGTGCCCAGCAGCGGCGCTTGGGTGGCGATGACGGTGGGGCAGTAGGGCGAGAGGTCCTCCACCCGGCTGGCGTTGATGTAATCGTCTTTCCCCGAGCGCAGCACCACGCGGTTCCTGTCGTAGGGCATGATGTCCTGGTGGCGGTTCTTCATGGAATAACAGCGGGCGATGGCGATGGAAAGCTGCCGGGCGTCGCGTTCCTGGGCGTCCTGCAGCTCCTTCCACACCGCGTCCAGTTGGGTGCCACCCCCAGGGGTGGGTGCCGGGCGCTCCAAACCTTCCAGGAGGCCTCGGAAACGTTCGAGCTCAGCCAGGAGGCGCAGGACGCCTTCGGGTTTCTCGTAGGGGTCCTTCTCGATCAGCTGCACGGCTTTGGGTTTTTGGCCCTCTTTGGCGTCCGCCTTGGTGGGTTGCAGCAGGGGTTGCCCCACCGCCGCTTTGGAGCCCCCGTGCTGGCTTTCGGGGCTGGAGGACAGCAGGTCGTCGGTGGAGGAGCTCTGCCGCTGGAATTGGGGCTCGCCGGGGGGCAGCGAGGGTGGGGGGCGCTGGGGGGGTTGCAAGGGCAGAGGGGGCTGCGGGGAGGGGGCCGGGGAGGGGATCAGGGGGCCCTGCACCGCTGTGGGGCCTTGGAGCTGGCTCAGGACGGGGCTGGGAGAAGGGGCGGCGTGGGGGGGGGCGGATTGGGTGGCGGGGGAAGGCTGGGGGGGCCCCATGGGCACGGTGCCGCACGGGGCAGGGCTGGGGCAAAAAGGGAGGGCTGGGGAGCTGGGGGGGGGCACGGGCTGCAGCCCCCCCAGGGCGGGGTGGAGGGGTTGGGCTGGGGGCACGCTCGGCCCAGGGGGTCTGGGTAGGGGGCCGGGGAAGGGGAGGGTCCCCGTGGGTGGGGGGAGCCCGTGGGGGGGCAGCTTGTCCTGGCCGGGCAGGGGGTAGAGCTGGGGGCACAGCGGGGGCTGGGGAGGGGCTGGGGGGGGCTGCAGCTGCCCCACGGGGCCGGAGAAGGGCTGCTGGGCAAACTGGGGGGGCAGCGGGGGGCGGGCAGGGGGTTGGAAGGGTAGGGGGAGCTGGGGGCGGGCGGGGGGGAGGAAAGGGGCTTGGGGGGGGAATTGTTGGGGGCCCCCCAGGCCTTGGGGGCGAGTTGGCAGCTCCATGGCGGGCTGCAGCTGCGCCGGGGGGGTGAAAGTGGGGTGGGGGTGCTGCCCGGGGGGGAAGGGGTGCCCAAAAGGCTGCTGCAGCCCCCCCGGGGCGTAGGGGAAGGAGGCTGGGGGGGCAGCGGGGCGCTGGGGGGGCAGGAAGGTGGTGGGGGGCACGGTAGGACCCTGATTTGGGAGGCGGGGGGGGGCCGTGCAGCTGGAGATGGGGGCCTGGACGCTGTCCACGGTGGTGGTGGCCGGGCGGGGGGCCGGGCCCTGCTCGGGGGCACCCATGGGTGGGGGCTGAGCACCCCCAGGGGCCGGCCCCATAGTTGGGGGTCTGGGGGGGGCGGCTGCAGGCAGCCCGGCTTGGTTCAGCCCGTAGGAAGCAGCGGGGCCGTGTTGGGGGGACGAACGTGGGGGCAGCACGTGGGGCACCCCATAAGCGGGCTGCGGAGGGCCCCGGAGCAAGGGGGCGGCCGGGAAGAGTTGGGGGGCAGAGGAAGGGGCTGAGCTGGGGGGGGGGACGGCGGCTTGGGGGGCAGAGGGCTGCAGGAGCTGCACTGGAAAGGCACCGGGGGCAGAAGCAGGCACGGGGTAGTGGCCAGGTAGGGCAGGGAAGCGGGCGGGGCTGTAGGGTTGCAGCGGGGCGCTCGCCAGCCTGGCCAGGGGTAAAAAAACCTCGGGGGGGGCTGGGGGGCGCAGCCCGGCTGCTAAAGAGGGGTCGAGGGTGAGAGCGGCCAGCGTGGAAGGGGGCAAACGAGCCAGGTGGGCGGCCAGCACGTCGGGGGGGAGGCTGCGGAGCTCCTCGGGGAGATCGGCCAGGCCCAGGGGGCCGAGCTGAGCCCCCTCGGCAGCTTCGGGGCCGCCCCCGTCCAGCTCCGGAGGTTTCTTCTGTAAGGCAGGTTTGGGGGCCGTGGGGCGGGGGGGCGGCTGCTTCTTCAGCTCCCTGTTGTGGGAGGGGGTAGGAGGAGTCAGGGAGGGGCTGCCAGCCCCAAAAAATCCCCCTCCTGCAGCCCTACAAGCCCTCAGCCACCCTACAGCCAGCCCCGACCCCATAAGCGGCACCTAAAGGTGCTTCCCACCTCGCTGGGGTGTCCCAAACCCCCCACAGCGGGGCACGAAGCCCTAAATTCCCCCCAAATTTGCCACCTACTTCTCCAGGATCTGCTGGCGGTTGGCTTCGGCAGCCTGGCAGGCCGCCCGGGCTTTTTCCAGCAGCTTGGCGGCTTTCCCCTCCAGGTCGGTGTAAAAATCCTTCCCCTCTTGGGATTTCTTCATCAGGTCCTCGTAGGCTTCGTAGGAGGCCACCAAGGTCTGGACGGTGGTGTTCCACCTGGGGAGGTGGGACAGGGGGCTGAGCACCAGGGCTGGCGTGCAATTAACAGCAAGCCCGTGCGTTAATTATCCTTTTTTTGTGTTCCCCGACCCCACAGAGACCCCAAAACCCCGCAGGCTGTGCCCCCCCCGCGCTCACTTGTGCTCCACCTCGGCCAGGGCCTTGCGCACGGCCGCGTATTTGACGTTGGCGTCGGTCAGCGCCTTGAGGATGTTCTCCTGGGCAGCCAGGTTCTGCTCCAGGTACACCTTGATCTGGTCGTATTTCTTCAGCTGCTCCTCGAAGAGTTTCTGTGGGGAAAAATGGGGATGGGGGGGAGCTGAGGGGGTGCAGGGAGACCCCCAAAACCCCGGGGAGGGATGGAGAGGGGCAGGAGGACCCCACCTTCATCTCGGAGCGGTCGGCGGTGACGAGGGAGGTGGTGATGTCGTCCTTCTGGATCATCTCCCGCAGCTGCTGCTCCAGGGACAGGCGCTGGTCCCGCATCTCCTGCACCTTGACCAGGATCCGTTTCAGGTTCTGCAGCACCTGCTTGTCATCTGGGGGGGGTGGGGAGCACTCAGAGGGGGCACGCGGCGTCCCCAAAACCCCAAATTGCTCGTGGGGTGGGAAGTGAGGGCAGGGGGACAGCCTGCAGCGTTTCCTGGCACACCCAGGTTGGATGTTCGAGCCTCTGTTGGATTTATTTTATCCCCACGCCAGGATCTCAAGGTTCCAGGATCACAATTTGGGCATTTTTGGGGAAAAAAAATCCCCCACAGCCTGCCTTGCACCAGGCTGATGCCCCGAGAGCGTGGCTGATGTTGAAAAGAACCCAAAAAACGCACCAGGGGGGTGCAGAACCCGTGCCCCTCCCCACTTTGGGGCACGAAGACGATGCCAGGGGGGCTCCAAACTCACCTTCGGTCAACGAGGGCGAGGGCAGCGCCGCCCGGACCTGCTCCAGGGGCCCGCTGAGCAGGCGGAGGTTGCCGATGTGCAGGTTCATGGCCTTGTGCAGCTCGGTGTTGGTGAAGCTGGCTTTTTCGTGCACCTCCAGGTATTTGGAGCACTCCTTGCTCACCTCGGCCAGCCCGGGGGAAGGAGGAGGAGGAGAACCCGGTGGGGCCGGGCTCTTCCCCAGCAGCTCCTGGAGTTTCCGCTCCTGAGCTTCGTCTTCCTCCAGGAGGTCTCGAATTTCCTTCAGGGAGGCCTCCACGTCGGTGAAAACCCCAGAAAGGACTGGGAAAGAGAGACAGAGGATGGGAAGAGCTGAAATAGTTCCCTGATTCCCACCACAAACCATCCCGGCCCTCATCTGCTCCAGCCCTGAAGCACCAGCAGGCAGAAAAACCCATGAGGAAGCATCACGTGCCGTGAACAGCCACCAAAAGAGGTGATTTTGGGATAAAAAGTGATAAAGGTGCTGAATTTGTGAGTGGGGAAGCCGTTTCCGACACCGAAACGCAACCAGGGCACGGATCCGCGCCCCGTATCCCCCCCCTGCCCTCACCCTGCATGGACTGGACGAGGTTTTTGACGGTGTCGGGGCGCACGCTGAGGGCGGCGCACTTCTCCATCAGGACGGGGGGGATGTGGCTGTACATCTCCAGGTTGTCCACGCTCTCGGGGTCCAGCTGCATCGAGTCCATGAACTGGCTGCGGGCAGGAACAAAGCCCTGAGAGGCGGCAGAAGCTCCCCCCGTGAGCCCAACGGGGCTCCCCAACCTCCCCACCCCAAAGCAAGGGGGCTCTGAGGAGCAGTTATCGGGGTTTGCTCGGAACTGGGCAAACTGGGAGCTCGCAGCGGGGTGGGGAGAGGCTGGGTGGGGCTCACACGTACTCCAGGACTTCGTTCTTGGCTTCGATCTTGGCCATCACGTCCCTCAGCAGCTTGGCCTTCTCCTCGCTGCAAGAAAAAAATCCTTTTAGGGGCGGGATGGGATATGGGAAAGCACCAGGACGCTGCAGGAATCAGCCCAGGGACATTTTAGGAGGGTTTAGGGAAAGCCCTGCAGCTGGTTTGGCCCCCTCTGGACCCCGTTAAGAGGCCTGGAAGCTGGGTTGAGGCACAGGTTCCTTCCTCTGCCCTCTTTTGGGGTCGTTCCCTGCCCGGGACCCACCTGTAGAGCGAGGAGGCCTCGTGGGCAGCCATGGGCACCAGCTTGGCGAAGATATCGGGGCCGGTGACAGCGGGGTCCGTGGGGTTGACAGGGAGAGCTTTCACCAGCGGGGCACCTGCGGTCCCAAAACAAACACGTGCTGGTCCCAAATCTCCACGGGGACGCTCCTCGGGTCCCAAAACCCCTCCTCCTGCTCAGCACCTTCACCCCAAAAGCTCCCAGGGGAGCAGGGCATCGCCAAACCCCACTGTTTGGGGTTCCCTGAGCGTGCACCCCGCCATCAGCAGCCTTCAGCCTCACCTTTCACCGACTGCAGGGTGTCCAAAGCGGGCACGGCTTCGTGGTAGATGAAGTCGTTGTCTTTTTTGGCCGAATTGTACCTAAAAACGAGACCTCAGGCTGACGGGAAGCAGGCAAAAACACCCCAAAAGCCCCAGACCCTATGTGAAAACGCTCCCTGGGTGTTTCTGCCCCCCCCCCCCCTAGTTGTGTCCGGGGGATCTTTGCACACTCACTTGCCACCGATGACGTCCATGGTGAACCTCAGGGCTTCCTGGACGGTTTCGGGCTGGCCCTACAGAAACTGAGGTGGGAGGGAGTGAGTGCGGGTGAGGGAGGGGGATTGCTGCTGCCCCCATACCCCGAGCACGCCCCACACACAGCAGCAGCCCCTCCTCGAGCCCCAAAACACGACCAAAACCCTCAGCTCCACACCCGGGAGCTGCTGGGCGAGAAACCCAGGCAGAATCCGGCCCCTCAGGCAGCCCCAGATCCCCTGTCCCACATTTTCAGGAGGAGTTAAAGAAAAAAACAAACAAAAACCAACAATTCCTGCTGCCAGAGGAAAAAGGAACGCACCTTTGCCAGTTTGATTGCCTCGTTGAGTTTATCCAGGGCGCTCTGGAAGTAAATGACCTGTGGGGAGAAGAAGAATTACTCCCAGGTTTGGTAGAAGTGCTGGAGCTGGCACCAGCACCCCCCGAGGGCTGCAGCTTCGTTCAGGGGCTTTCCTGGTGCCCCTTTCCTGCTTCCCTCGGGGCTGGGGAAACCCCAAGGGGGTGAAAATCTCCTCCGGGGCTCAACAGGACCTCGACCCACGCTGCCGCAGCTCTGCTTACCCTTTCCCCGAACTTCTGCTGCTCCTCGGCTTGTTTTCCCATGTGCAGCTGTAAAAAAAAAGAAGTGTCAGAGCTCCTCGTGGAAAGGAAATCACTCAGCCAAGAAATTCAGCCCCCCCAGATCCTGTTTGTTGGCCCTGAGGGGGGCTGAGAGCGAGGGGTGCTCCCCCCAACCCCAAAAACTCACGTGGGCCACGGCGGCGAAGTAATAAATCTTCATCTGGACCAGTTTCTTCCAATCTTTCTGGATTTTTCCCAGCAGCGAGGCCGTTTCCGAGTTCTCCAGCGCCCGGCAGGCCTCCTTGTAGTAATCCACCACCTGTGGGGTGCAGGGGGGGGATGTTTGGGGTGCCCCCAAAGAGCCAGGCCCCCGTTTGAACCGAGAGCAGCCCCAGGAAGAGCTGGGTTGGGGCAGGTTTGGTGGCACCGGGCTCGGTTTGTCCAGCTGGCGGGTGCTCTGCTGGTCAGTTTGGGTTAAAAATGGGCTAAAAATGAGCTAAAAATGGGTTAAAAATGGGTTAAAAATGGGTTAAAAATGGTGTTCTAAGGAAATCTGCCACCCTTACGCCTGCCTTGGAGGAGCTGGGGGCTGCTCAGGGCTTGCTGCGATGCCACAGGGCCCGGACAGCTCGTCCCCAGGTGTCACCTGGCAGCTGTGACAGGAGTTGAGCACGGAAAAGATCCCCCAAAAGCTCACCTGGGCGCTGATCCGGGCCACGAGGAAGCTTTTCCTGTTGTCCAGCATGGATTTTTCCAGCAGACACTCCTGCGCCTGGCCCTGTGGAGGCAACACTGGCTGTCCCCACGCTCAAATTCTTCTGAAATCCCCAAATCCCTCCTGTAACCAGCACTAGGACCCGCCAGTTACAGCCCCTTTGACTTGAAAACCCCACAGGATGCCCCAAAAGCATGGCACGGAGCCCTGCTGCCTCATGACCCACCCCAAAATCAGCAGGAGCCGCCCCGGGGGCAGCCAGGAGCCCGCTGGCAGCGCAGCCCCCTTCCTACCAGCATGAGGTTGATGTTGAGGTTGAGGATCTGGTGGCTCATGTCCACGCTGTAGGAGTGGGGGAAGTGATCCCGCAGGTAGGTGAAGGCCCCGGCGGCGCACTGGAAGTGGGTGCACGAAACCTTCATGCCCTGGGAAGGGAAAAGAACGCATCAGGTGTGCACAAACCACGCCAGAGGGTGGCTGTGAGGAGCCTGAGGGCACGTTTGGCCTCAGAGCAGCGACACAGCAGGGGGCAGGGGGATAAAATCCAGCTCAGCGGGGCTAAAAACGCTCCCACGGGCCCCCCAAGACCCCAAAAAGCAGCTCCCAGAGGCCGAAAGCTGAGTTTTGAACCCAAAAAGCTCTCAGGGGCGTGCATTGATGCTACAGCCGAGGCCTGAGGGCTGTCAGCAGGTGGCTGCTGGCCCCCCAGGGGGGAAAAAAAAAACCCTTTTTAGGGATTTTTAGGGGCTGCTCGGGGGCTCTTACCTCCTCCGACACCCTCTTGTCCATGGCACCCAGCATGGAGTGCAGCGCACCTGCGGGGAGAGGAGCAGGGCTCAGCAGGCTCAAAACCCCAAAAACTGGGAGTTTCGCACCAAATCTGCAGGCAGCTGGCTCCAGGCAGAGGACATTCAGCAAAGAGAAGCCCCAAACTGACAGCAAACCCCCAGTACCACTGAGTATTTAATGCCCCCCCCGGGGGCACAGCCGCGTTTCTGACCCTCACCCAGGTTGTAGAGGATGCAGGCCTGCTCGTACTTGATGTCCTCGTGGGTCACCGTCTTGCCCGAGAAGATTTCGGTCCTGCAGGGAGAGAGGAGGGGGCTGCTTACCCCCTGCTCGCCTTCCTGGCCCTGCCTCAGCCCCCCCAGAGCCACCCCATGGGCATGGTGGCATTTTAGGATGTCCCCAGGCCACCCCTGCAGCACGGGAAGATGTCCAAAAAGCGCCACAACAACCAGAAGTTTGGCATTATAGGACTTGAGCCTCAAAAATCAGGGAAAACTGCACCCCAAAAGGGCAGGAGGAGCCCCCCCAGCCCTCACCAGGCGATGGGGACCGCGGCCTCCTGCTCAGCACCCATGGGGATCCGGCTCTGCAGGTAGTGGAGCTGCCCGAAATATTTCCTCAGCGTGCTGCAGCCCTCGAAGTCCCTGGGGACGTTGACGGCGTTCTAGAGGGAAGAAAGAAAAAGGGAGAGAAGAAGCAGGAGGCAGAAAACATCGGGGCTGTGCAGGGAGCGAGCTGTCACCCAGCTCCCGTGGGCAAATGGGGGCGATTTGGGGCCGAGCCCATCCCGGGGGGGGAGGGCAGGGGGCTCACCTGGCGCAGCACCTCCAGCTTGCGCAGCTCCTCGTTGTAGTTCTCGGGGTTCTCCCCGTAGTTCTTCAGGACAAACTGGGGGGAAAAAAACAGGTGAGGGGGTGTGACAGAGCGCTGAGGTGTTCATAAACACCAGGGGAAGGCAGATTTATGGAGATTTAAGTTTCCCTCCACGTACAGGTGTGGAATAAATCCCCAGGGGAGGTGTTTGGGGCTGGCAGGATGGTGCTGTGCCGGCTGCGGGGCCTGACTCAGCCACGGGGCGGCTCCCGGTGTCACCCCGTGCCACGCCCGGTGTCACCGCACGGTTCTTCTGTGGCCGTGCCTCCAAAACTGGCACCAGCATCGGAGAAATCCCCCCCCCGGGGCCCTTTAGGGGTGCCTAAAAGAGTCCTGACCCCCTTAAAATCCAAGGGGAGGAGGAGGTGTGCCTGCCGGGACACTCTGCCTGCTGTGGGTGAGGAGCTGCCTCTGCTGGGGGTCTCACGGAGGGGTGGGGGCTCGCCTGCATGGGATCTAACATCATGAGGGCTTCAGAAACGCACCCCCACAGCCAGGCGGGGATGGAAAGCTGAGGGGAGGGGGTCCCAGCTCTGCCCCCTGCATCTTCCAGCCCAGGGGCAGGCTCAGAGGCACCGCGGAGCCCCACACCGGCCCTGCCAGCACCCAGCAACACCCTTCAGGAAGGGGAATGAGGACGAGGCGCCCCCCCAGCCCCCGCGCAGCTTCCTCACGGCTCCTCAGGGCTCCCCCTGAGGCCTCCTGAGCGAGGAGGAACCGGGCCCTGAGAGGAGGCCGGGACAGGAGGCCGGCCACAAACCTGCCGACTCACCCCGGCACCGGGGCGGTCTCCCCACACCCCCTCAACCCCCCCACACCCCCCTCACCCCTCACCACCCCCCCCACACCCCCCGGGCTCCCCTCACAGGCCTCAGCCCAGCCCCGGGTCTTCCCCGTTCCCCCCCCAAACCCTTCCCGTTCCCCTCACTTTCTTCACGGCGGCGTTGAAGGCGAACTCGCCGGCCTCCTTCAGGTCCAGCCAGATCATGGGCATGCGGGGCACGGCCTCCATGGCGCCCCCCGGGCCTGGCCTGGCCGGACCGGGCCCCGCCGCAGCCGCCGCCGCCGCCGCCACCGGCCCCCGCCGCGCGGCGCCTGACGGGAAATCCAAGCCACTTCCGGTCCCGCCCGGAAGCCCCGCCCCCTCCCCAGCGCCGTTTCCATAGCGACTCGCCCCGCCCACCCCGCTGCGGGGCGGCGTTGCCATGGCGACAGCCAATAGGAAAAAGGGAGGCGTTGTCATGGCGACGCTGTTGCCATGGCAACGGGGGAGGTTGAGGCCTACTCCAGGCTTGCGGCCTGCATCGGGCGCTGCCGGGCCCGGCCCGCCCGGGGTCGCTCCTCACGGCCCGGGGGCGCCGCGGGGGCTCGGCCCGGTCCCCCTGCGGCTGGGGCGGCCCCAGCCCGGCTCCCCCGGGGCTCCCCTGGGAGCCTGAGGGCGGCTGGGCCGCGGGGTGTTTGCCTTCAGGCCCAAAGGGGGTGTCTGAGGTGGGCGTCCTGCCAATTAGGAGCATATTTTAATAAACACACACGTCTTAATAAACAAATTTTAATAAACACATCTTAATAAACACATTTTAATAAACATACTGTTATTCCCTATTACCTGACACCTGATCACCCCCCGTTTCACTGGCTGAGTACCACAGGTTCACAAGCTAAGCCTAAGCCTAACCAAACCTAACTCTAAGCCTAAACCTAAGCCTAAGCCTAAACCTAAGCCTAAGCCTAAGCCTAAGCCTAACCCTAACCCTAACCCCAGCCCCATACCTATATATACACACTATTCCATATATATACAATATATTTTTCTTCGACCCTTTAATTTCTCCTTTTTTTCCTTTTTTTGTTCCCACCTTTCCCATGTTTTGAGAACCCATGATCTTTGTTTCACCGTTCCCACACTGCTCACCCCGTTTTTCTCACGCTTCCACCTTGTTTTGGAACAGTGAGGCCTTCCACTGCCCGCTTATCTTCTTGGCACTGCTCCTTGTTATGACTGCACAGCCACCTTGGACTACAGAAAATTAGTTTTCTACTGTAAAAACAACCTAGTTTCTCACACCTGCCGATGGCCCGAGGGTGCCCAGGCACCCAGGAAGGGCGGCGAGCGGGGGTCCAATGCACTCTGACCACCTCTTTTCAGGGTTTGGGGGGATTTAGTGCAGAATGTACCCACTTGAAGTGTTTGGAAACGGCACGGAATTTCCATCGAGCAGAGTGCAACAAATCACTTGACCAATTAGGCTTACTGAAGTGTAGCAATTACCTCTGACTCACCACACAAAGGTGAATTTCACCTTCTCTCTCAGCGAGGTGCCTGCCGTCATGATGCCGGGCACACCCAGTGGGCTGGCACCGCTCAGGGATGTGACAGTGGCTTCAGGTCCAAACTCTGCCCTCTTTTTCCCTGTATTTCCTCGGGGTGCTGCTGTATTACTCTGATGGCGTGCAGAGCCAAATTCACAGCTCTTGTGGCCAAAGAAAAACACCAAAAATCCTCCACGACGAGGAAGCCCTTGCTCCTGAAATCTGGAATATTTGGATTGCCAGCAACAAGGCATCCTCTGGTTTCCTTCAGTACCAAGATGGGTTTGGCTGCTCTTGGAGCTGCTGTGGTCACTATCGCTCCCCCCCACACCCCTGCTTTTCTCTTCAGAGCTTCCTTCCGTATGTTTCTAGAGATAACCGACCGATATCAAGGTCGAATTATAGAGCAGCGTGAGGATTTCATCAGCCACAGTGTGCTGGGAGCTGTGGTGAGCAGCCTTTAAAGCTGCCGTACCGGTGATGCTCAGTGAGGGTGGCTTCCACTTCTGCTAACCAAAACCAGACCCTTGCTGTCACACACACTTTCCACGTCTCGTTCCTCTAAACATTTTCAAATTTCAGATGTGTGTTTTCTAAACGCCCCCAGTTTTCTCAGCCGAGACTCTCCTCCCAGACTCATTTTGGTTATTCCAGTGCTGGTCAGGTATTAGTGGTGTTTCCAGGAAAAAAAAAAAAAGTCACATATGTCACATATTATTTACATTTTGAGTGTGATTCAGACTGCATCTCCTCAAGAACCATACCATGGGGTCCATCCTTCAGGAGCACACTGCTCCAGCATGGGTCCCCCTTCTGGGCTCTGCTCACAGAGCCCTCCCCCTGCAGCCCCCGCTACCAAAACCTCAAATATTTGATTCTCAAATATTAACCAGCTTTCTTAGGCCCTCTTCTCTGCAGGGCCTTACCCCACAGGATTGGGTTCTTCCAAGCAGAAGAGGCCTAATTCTTGAATTCTTGAGCCTCCTTGAAGAGGCCAAATTCTGCTCCTTGAAGAGGCCAAATTCTGCTCTCCTGAAGCCCAGGGTTGGTTACGTGTTTGCTTTTCACCCTCCTCCCTGCCTTTAGGATCCTGAACTCCACCATCTCACGTTCCCTGCAGCCAAAGCTGCCTTTGACCTCCCCATTCCCAGCAAGTCCACGTTGCTGGTGAGCACGAGGTCCATTGGAGCATCTTTCCTTGTTGGCTGCTCTATCACTTGGAGAATAATAATAATAATAATAAAAAAAGGATAAAAAAAGGATAAAAAAAATCACAGATGCACTCCAGGAACCTCCTGGATCGTGTCCTGCTGTGCTGTCCCCTCTTACAGGGCTGAAGCCCCCCATGAGCAGGGTCTGTGAGCAGGAGGCTGCTCTTTCTGTCGGTAGAGGGCCACATCTCCCTGATCATTTTAAAGATGTCAGGGCATTAATTTAGGCTCCTTGGAGCTCTCTTTCCGAGCTTTGGGTTTGCTTCAGAGTTGGGACAGGGTTGTCCCCAACCCAGAGACGTGCTCTGAGCTCGGAGCAGGACATTCATTCCCGGGGGCTCCTCAGGAAAATGGGCACATCTATCTTAAAATTTCTCTGTCTCTGCTCAGGTCTTCCTTCTGCCTGGCCATCGTGTGAGAAAAATCTCAATATTTTTTTTTTCATACAGGGTCTTTTGTGAAGCTATTTTATTCGCAATTGCAATGCAAGCAGGAGCACACAGTAAAAGTTTATCATAACCCTATATCCCCTATGACCCGACACCTGATTTCTCTCATTTCCTCACTACCTATACCTTAAATACTTATATTTACCCCTTATATACTATACTTATACCTTATAGATCTATACTTTATGTACCTATACACTTCTATACCATATAGGAACAATTTAATTTGACCAACCATTAATTTCTCCTTTTTTTTTTTTTTTTTTTTTTTCCCTTCTTTTGTGACTAGAGGGCTCGTGATTTTTGTTTTCACTGCTTTCCTGCTGCTCATCCTGTTTTTCTGAGCTATCCTCCTTATTCTGGGACAGCGGGACCTTCCCTTTATCTCCTTAACGTACTCCCCACTGCCGTGCCTGCACAATCACTTTTGAATGTGCAAGGTTATTGGAATTTTCCGCTGCAAAACCACCTTTTATTGCAAAAACACAGCTTTG